TGTAAGTTAGTTCCTCGCTGTAAATGTATTTTTTGAATCATTTAAAATCGCTTTTTAATTTTTAGTTCAAAGAAAGCATCTCTAAAGATTAAAGATTGATTGGATGAGCAGGAATATCGCTAACCCAAATGGTATGCCGGAGAAAATGAGGAAATGTTCTTGAGGAGAACAGTAAGGGAAATCCTGCTGAGTTATGATCTTTTAATTTTCTAAATAATAATGCTAATTTTGGTTAGTTTGTCGTGATCCTGTACTCAATTTGTAGCCTGGGTATTTTGGAGCACCCATGCATGGATCACATGGTAAGCTAAATACACCTTTAGATAAATTATAAGTATTTAAAGCAAGGTTAGTTCCTATGGTGCCAATGGTGGTTTTATGTAAGTGGTTTAATGAAAAGTACTTTAGTCTACGGATTATTCTTGTCCATGATATCTTGCTACAAGAGATTTTTTAATATTATTTGGATTTGGACATTTTGGTAATGATTTCAAACCTGCACTTTTCAATTGGTTTTTGAATATTAATGCTTTGTTTTGGCACTTCTTCTCGAATTAACCATGATAAGAGGTGGCATATTGGTTCCAAGTAACGAGCATCATCAACAGCAGACTCTTTTCAGTTTGATCTGAATATGATGAGTTTTATGTTTCTTTTGATTCAAATATATTAATAAAGGTTTGATAAACAATATAATTTGTTGATGAAAAGTAAAACCACCAAATAATATTGTTGGCGTTTCAACTGTTCCATTGGCAATTGATGAGACGATGAATGATTCTTCCGTACGAATATCATATATGGAGGGGAATACCAGCTCTATTGCATGGATAATTCAAACATAGATGGCAGATGAAGGATTCAAAGCCCAAAATGAAAAAGGAATTGAAACATAAACATGTAAAGCTTAGATTTGGTTTTCTCTTTTGGGTTCTGAAATTCTGAATTTGTAACCTAATTGCACTGTATTTGGTTTTACCTTTTGATTTAGTTTTGATTTTTATAAACTCGAAAGCCTTTTTTTATTTGATTGTTTTCCCTCTTTATGAGTACAAAGTGAAACTCTTTCTAAGCTTTAACTGTTTCTTGGCGATTTTCATGTAATTTTAGATTTCTGGCTTTTTTTGAAGGAAAAAAGAAGAAAAAAATCGAGGAAGAATGTCAGAGCAGTGAATTAAGGTGGACATACTCTGGTGGAAGGCAGTGGTGAGGATGATGATGATTACAGTGATCAAATGTTTATGTTGCTGATATTGTAGAAGTTGAGACTTTTTATGGAGAAAACTGGATGCTGGTTTCAGGATATAATCATGATAAAAACAGTGATCATTCCATGGCTTCTTATGCTTCTTCAATTCCAAGCCTTCATGAAAAAAACATGGGAAAGAGGGATTCTCTTCAACAGAGTAATACGGTTGACAGTAAAAGGAATCATCATTCTTCAAAGTACAAAGACAAAGCAGCAACAAATAACACGCATGAAAAGAAGGATACCTGAAGTTGAGGTTGATGCTGCAGCAACAAAAGGGGCGGGTTCCAAGTGTTTTGTACAATAAATAAAGTGAGGAAAAATATGGGACGGGAAAACAGACTAAATTATGAGTGTTCAACCTTTTGGCCATAAGGATTGAGGCAGACAGTAGTTATTTTGCATGTTTTTTTTTTGTTTAGATATCCTAGCTTGGAAATAAATGTAATGTGTTTGATTGGAAAATGGACTTAAACACGTTATTTATGGGTTAGTTTTGGCCATTCTATTTAGGAGGAGGTTAATTGTGTATTTTCTTTTGAATTCTTAATGAAGTAGAATGATGGTTGAACAAATGAACTAGCATACTAATTCATTGTAAAACTGATTGAATTTTGCTAGAATGATGGAATTAAACATGTAATTTATGGGAAAATAGACTAAATCATGCTGGTTCTGTATGAATTTTTTTTAAAGAAAATCTAATTAACCAACTTCAAACACAGGGGGCCGTCCGAGCATCCGCCTGAGCCAAGCATCTAGTAATATATATAATCATTTTAATTGATATCACGCATATGAACGTTCTTTATTCTTGGCCGGCTACCATCCAAAATATAATATACTCTTCCATCCAAAAATGGTTGTATAATTTAGATGTTTATTTTAATATAATTTGACCTAAATATAAAAGTACAAAGTAGACAATTATTTCGAGAAAGATTATGTATATAGATGAGAATGCATAAAATAATATTTTTCAAAACTTTCGAGTAATTCAAAAAAAAAAATGTCTGCAAACTAAAATCAAATTGCAAGATCATGTATGTACGTATTGTCTCATGATGCGCCTAATTAAATTCTTTTGAAGGAAATCTACTCTTATAACCATCTATTTGATTATTAGAGTTTCAACTGTCGCAACAAAAATGCTGGTTCCGCCAGTACTGTTTGTTCACAGCCCACCGTTGAAAGGTATTCCAGTGGCCGGCAACCATTCATCACCCTTAAGAAAAGAATTGACAGTGTAGAAACCGGCCTCTTTAGCGTCCAATCTCCGGCTCTTGGTAAAAGTCTTATCTCTTGTTGCCATGTCGGCCTTAGGGCCCCGATTATCAAACTCCAAATACTCACAAGTTTTCTCATTAGTTGCGCCCTGCCATTTCATATACCCTTCTGGACGGATGAAGTCTCCCAAATCTGACTGCATAATCACTGTCACAGCAAACTTCTTCCATGGCCTGCCCAGGAAACTGGCGACCCGCATCTGGTCCGGGCCGAGATCATCGCCGGCGACTATGGTGCAGTTCTGGAGGACCAGTCCTGTACCCAGTGCTGCAACTTCTTTGCCATCGGCGGTTATGGTGTTTTTCTGATTCGATAGCCCTTTTCGGACGACGATCAAGCTGTTTTGAATGACCGCGGCGCCCTTGCCGAAGATGAAGTCAATGGTGCCAGAGATGACGCAGTTGCGATAAAATTGCCTGTGGACTTGGTAGTAGAGTGTGTCTTGGTAGCCTTCAATGTTGCAGTCGAATACGGCAGACATGTCAGATTGAAGTCGGAGCGCAACAGCTTGGTGTCCCTCCGGTCCAGCAGTGTTGCGGAATGTCATTCCACGAGCAATAAATCCATTCCCAAGGGCAGCTATCATACATTCAACAATACATATATTAATGATGAATCATCTCATCTATACATACATATATATACACACATATTTATACTTAGCGCTCTAGATTTTCACTTGCAAATTAATTAAATAAGATGGAACAGCTGTTATATATGGAACAGGAGGTTTCAAAAAAAAAAAAAAAGCTTACAGAAAGTGGCAGTATTGGAAGTTTGAATGTGCATGATTCCATAGTTCTTATCTCCGGTGACGATAGTCTTCCCAGCGCCATCTCCATAGATAAACACATTGGTCTGTTTCTTGTCAACGATCACATTCTCTTCGTAAACTCCAGCCTTGACGTATATAATATAACGTCCAGTAAACCCTTTAGGTGGGTATGCTCTCAAGGCATCAGAGATGGTCTTGAATTGTCCGCTACCATCTTTGGCCACCACAGCATTGGGTACCAACTGTCCACTTTCCTGTTGAGCCAACAATTTCCTGTCTCCAGCCTGAAACCAGGTTGGGAACCCATCGTGACCCATAGCCCCTAGAAGCTTCCGGTTAGTGCTAGGGATGGGGATGTTGAATGATTTTAGAATGTCAGACAAGCTAGCAACAATGTCCATGGCATTGTTGGTAAGCCGAGTGGCGTTAAGCAGGCCATTTTGGATGGAGGACTTGTAGACAGGCTTTTCGAATTCATCGATGCAGTATGTCTGGTAGGAGTACACAGCGCCGAGCCAGTTCAAGAGGTCGTGAACTCGGTCGCTTAGGGTGTGGAGTTGGCTATTCCCAACCGAGGTTATTGCCGCCTGAAGCTCATCCACCGCGTACCCTAACAACTCCTTGCAATCCTCCACCGCCATGTGGTGGAAGGAATCGTTTTTCTCGTCGATTTTTGTATTGCCAACCACGTCTAGCCCTTTGTTTACTTCCTCTACGGTGGCCTGCAGGGCTGCAATCAGATAATCCTTTGGCGTGGCCGATGCATTATTTGCAACTGACTCTAGGCTCCTAGCGCATGCATCCTTAAAAGGAGCCGGTTCACAAAATTTATCCACGGATTTCATGGAACCTCTCGAAGCACCACTGACCTCACTATTACCGTGTCTCACCACCACAACTGCCCCAATCACCACTCCTACTACTAGTATCAGAGACACTATGGATATTACAACTTTCCCACCCATTTTTCTTTTTTTTTTTTTGGTTCTTTTTATTAGGGATGTCAATGTAATCTCTGTAATTACGGTAGATAATTACTTAGTTACGGATATGTAACCCTGATACATTCTATATTTATGTGTGCTCAAACCCTAAAGCAAAAACAAGAGTTTTGACGGCAAAGGTTCTTGACGCCGGCTCTCCTTCACTGTCTTCTTCTTCTTTCTTTTCCCCTTTAGTTGCACGAACGACGAGAAACTAAAGCAAAAAAGAAGAAGAGATGTGCAATTTTTCCTCTTCTCTTCTGCTTTTCTTCCCTAAAAAAAAATTAAAAAAAAAAAGAAAAGAAAAACTCAAATGTATTAAGCTAAAGATTGCAGTTTGGAAATGGTAACTCGATTATATATAGGTTTTGGACAGTGGTGGTAGCATGCGTCGAGATTACCAGAAAATGCGTGGTGCAATTTTGATTATAAGTTGATTGATTGGAACTTATTTGGAGTGGATGGTACAACGTTGTTTGCGTTATCTTTGGTTTTTTACATAAAAAAGATGGCTAGTTTTTGAGAAACAGAAGGCCAAATTTTTATCTTTTTTTCAACAGGCCTCACCCACTAAAAATAATTCGAAATGAGTACAAGTACAGTAAAACTTCTATAAATTAATATACTTGGCTCTCTAAAAATTTATTAATTTATCGAGCTATTAGTTTAAAAGAGTTTTTTTCAATCTTATAAGTAAAAAATATAAAAATTTATTATTTTATATATCAGGAAAAGACTGTTCTAGTCCTAGCCATAACATTATAATTTTTTTAATTAATGGAACAATAACATGATAATAGCAAACATAAACAAAAATACTTAAGCTAAAATCTAAGTCAATCTTCAAATCAAACTTATTATTTTAAGTATTTATTAATTTATGAAATTGTGGGACCTATATTTAAATAGAAGTTTCTTGAAAAAATATTATCTCATAAATTAATCGAGTTTTTTTTATTTTTTGTATTGGTTCCAAGTTGGGATCGGAGAAAAATATTATTGAATAGAGATTATTAATTAATAGAAGATTAATTTATAGAGGTTTTATTGTAAGTGGATTAGTCAATTTATCATTTATTATGGATATTGTATTATAGACAAAAATAAAATAAATAAAATTATATCTTTTCAACAACTACTTGATTTAAGCTTATGTAATTCATATCTACCAAATGTGTTTTGAATTCAGTGCTCAGTGTAATTGCATGTAACCAATCTCAGCTATGCATTTAAGGATAATGATATCGATCTCTACAAAACTAACTCTAATTTGAATGTTTCCTCAGAGTTTATTCACATAATTAATTATCCACAGGCATAAGTTATTACGATTATATAATTAATAACTCGAGATCTACCTAAGTAATGTTAGTACACTTAGCTTGAGACCTAAAGACGCAATAACATTATTTCTACTTTTTCATGATTTAGCCTCCAATAGAAAATAGAAACTAACTGATGGCCTAAATGATTTAGGGTTTGATCTATATATATATATATATATATATGGAAAAAATTTTAAAAAGGACAAAGAAAATATCAAAATTATTCTTAAGGGCATTAGCACATTTTATTCTTTAGTATTAACATTAAGATAGTTTCTATCTCTAATAATGTTGTAAATGTATAGTTTACCCCTTTTCCGCAACTAGTTACTATTTTGCTTCTTTCTCACATAAAACGTATCTCTTCAATCAATCGGTTAATTGTCTGGTGTATTCGTGACCCATTTTTATAGTATGATTCTGACCGTAGTTCTTCATTTCCTGAAAATTGACAATGATTGTTTGATTTCTGAAATGATACTAATTGAAAGAAGCATTGTTAATAAATTTTTTCTTTCCCTTTTCATGCGTTTGACATGAAGAATAAGATCAATATAGACGTCTTCGGATTGCATAAAGAAGCTATGGGTTCATCAGAGTTGCCAATTCTTGGTGAAAATTCAAGAGCCGAGATTATGAAAACTAAATTAAAAAGAGATAACAAGAAAAGACAATTTGAATGGAAGACGATGACTCTACTCTGAAACGTTGGATTGAAAGGAGAAGAAAATCAGGGCCATTGTCGGCCGTCGGCGATCATTTTTTCTTCTTCTTCTTCTTATTTTTTTGATTTCTTATTTTTTTTTATTGAGAAAGACGTCGATTATTTCCTAGGGAAGATTGGCTAATTGGAAGAGGATTAAAAGGAAGGATAAAATAGTTTTTTAAAGTGTTAAAAAATATTAGTTATATTTAACCAATTTTATTAAAAAAAAGAAAAATAATAATGCCCTTGATAATAATTATTATGTGTTAACAAGTTTACATTTTGACTTAGATTAAAGAAAATCTAAATATTTGATTACACAGAATCTTAACCAAAAATCTAAAGATACTTAAGAGATTTTCTCTAAAAAATTATAATTTTTTTTGGAAAATATCCAATAAGAGAATGATCAAGCGTAAAATGTGAGGGTAAAAATTGTTTAAATTATATTCTAAGTGGTTTGTTATTTTCTAAATGGGGTCCAATATGCAAACTAATTCTATCCTAAATTGAATAAACACTAGAAAAGGGAAAGCAAGGTTATTTGAATTGTTAAGTGCTGCATTACTGTCTAGTCTTGTTTTCAATACCCGGTTGAGAAAAACAACTAATAACAAAAAAAGAAAACAATATACTTTGAGAAATAAGATAGTGATAATTATGTAAAATCCCTTCGTCATGTTAGTATGGTTATTGAAAAAAGTTCGAAGCACGAGCTAAACGAGAATGGTCTAGAAGTGGGTTATAGAATTGGAGGAGGTTCAGAGTCTAACGTGTACCCGACATTTTCAATTTTGGGGTGAAGCAAAAACAACACCATCGCCGGTATTCGTGTCCTATTAAATATTGACCCCTAAAACAGTGAAGTTTGCAGGGAATGTAGGCAGCTACAGAATCTTAAAATGTGAACATATTAGATTCCATTCACTCAATTACAAATGAAACCAATTCCATTGAACACAAACAAAAAGGAACACTTTTGAACACGTAACACTTATATGGCCACCAAAACAAAAACAAAAAAAAAATATCCAAGTATACAGAATCTACATAATTACTACTAGTTTCCTGTAATAGTACCTTTCAGCATATATTGGCTCATAAACAAATGGGCATTTCAACAAGTTGAAAACTACAACGTTCAGAAATATTTAGGGAGCAGTTTGAATGGATTTTATGTTTGACCTGCTTCCCCAGCGTTTCCAGGCCTCGTGTTTAGTAGTGGCTGCAGGGCTTTGACTACAATGCTCATATTAGGCCGAAAATCAGCTTCATATTGCACACACAGGGCAGCTACGGCTGCCATCTGCAACAATAATCAAAATCCAGATTTGTGATCAAGAATCAGCTCAGCAAATAAATCTTCCAACATAGTTTGCGTAGAAAAGAGAACAAACATACTATGGTAGCAGAAAGGTATAATTATTTTAACCTTCTACACATAATATGCTCATGCAGTTGTAATTTTCTCTTGTTTAAAAAGTAAATATAATCCACTGTCAAAACAAAGACATCAGAAATAATGCAGTTTCTCTAATTCAAGACCCCCTAGCCACACTATACGCGGTCCCGTTAGCCACAATGCATAAAGAAATTCTCAGGTAAAAAAGCTGTAAAATCTTATTCTAAGTACAAATGGCAGAAGAAAGTGGGAGTTTTCCGGAACACTTTCCTTGCGAAACCAAGATCTAAAAGATTTTTCCTTTTAACCAAGTCTGTCAAAAATTTACCAGCACCGAAATAAACATACCTTCGCAACTGCCTTTGGAGGGTAATCTGTCCCGAGTTTTGCGTCGACACATTGTCTAACCTTGTCTTCACTAAGTTTAGGTGTAGCCTACAAAATAACAGTGGGAAAAAAAAATAGAAAATCATACATTGAATCATAGTAATAAAGATAAAGAAAAATTATGAGAACAGAGGAGTATGTACCCATGTCACGAGACTCTGTTGACCACGCGGCAGTGTGTGATCTACAGGCTTACGTCCCGTAAGGAGCTCCAGAAGGACAACGCCAAAGCTGTACACATCACTTTTCGCGTTTAGCTGTCCCGTCATTGCATATCTACCAATAAGGAGAAGCAAAGAGTCAATGTTGTGCAAGAAAATGCATGTTGACAATACTAACAGCTGAACAAACAAAAGGTTGTTTTTAATGAAAGAGGCCTTAAATCATAAAAGATCTTCGCCTTAGTTCCAACTAATCATCAAATTCACAAATTACTTACTAAATTTGTTAAACAACTGAGCCAAATGAAATTCAAAACATTTAGATTATATCATTACTTAATTTAGATGCTTACAGTTAAACTGATGATCTTGATTTGAGTTTAATTTATCTAATGAATTTTTGCATTTAATTCATATATGGAACTAAACATGAGATCAGATTAAAGAATACTGGACCTGATGAAGTGAATATACCCTAAAACCAAAGGACCAAATAATAGATTTCCTATACTTATATGCAGTGTTTACATGGGGGGGGGGGGAGAGAGAGAGAGAGAGGGGGGTGTTACTCTGGAGCATGATATCCAAAAGTTCCAAGTACACGAGTGGAGTGAAGACGAGCTGCCATATCGGGAGCTTGATTTGATAAATCAAAGTCAGCAATTTTAGCAACATCATCATCGAAGATCAGTACGTTGCTGGATTTGATATCACGATGAATGATGTGTGGACTGGCCTTTTCGTGCAGATACTCAAGCCCTTTTGCAGCTCCGACTGCAATCTTCACCCGCTGTGCCCAGGAAAGAACAGGACCAGGTTGGGCTCCCTTAACACCTTTCCTTCCTGACGAAGATATTCATTTGAAGTCCTTTAGGAAAGTTTTCAAGTGTAAAAAAATAAAATGCAAAATGTGAAAACTAAAAAATTAACTTCACAATTTTAGTCTTTTTTCTTATCCTTTCTAATTAAAAAGATAGCAAATCATAAAAGGAAAAGCTATGTATATCAGCACTATTAATGGAACTATATACTTGATTAGTTTCAATCTTGATAGAGACATGAATTATAACCACATATGTAAGAATTACAAACCTTATCATTAAAGATATGTACCATAATACAAAGACAATATATTACAAATTGTATATTAAAAAATTTGAATGTTTTGTTTGGTAGGTTAAACTGGCGAGGTTGCAATTCAAATAAAATAATATTATTCTACAACCCACAATATTTTGTTCACGTGGAAAATGTTATGTTAAATTTAAAATTTTGAATTTAACGCAATTCGTGCAATGAACGAGGTAAAAACTAGTTTACATTCCAAAGGTAAAAAATGCTTATCATTATGCATAAATTCTGATTCGCTAACAAATTGTCGCGTTTATATGAAAAATATAACGGCATCTTGAAAGCATGAAATTCAACATGAAGGGAGCCTTACAGAAGCCAAAAAAAGAAAGACTAAAAAATTGTTGCATTACATACCATGAAGAATATCGTGAAGAGATCCATTTGATGCAAATTCATAGGCAAGTACACGTTGATTTCCATCAACACAATAACCAAGCAATTCAACAAAATTCTCATGCTTCAGCCTCGACACCATAGAAACCTGAAAACTCAAATGAAGTTCGAAGTGAACAAACCGAGACCCAAAAATTTAACTTCCATATAGCGAGGAAACTTCCAGAAAACCAACCTGCGCCAAGAATTCGTCATCAGGTTGCTTGCTTGAGTCTAGCTTTTTAATAGCAGCAGCTTGTCCACTTTTAAGAGTTCCATAATAGACTCTTCCGTACGAACCCTCACCAATTAAAGAATTTGTTCCAAAGTTGTCAGTTACTTCTCTCAGTTCATCCACAGGAATGGCAGGCACAGCAATGGGCTGGACTTTCACGGCATGTGCAGCCTTGGATGCAGCCTCGGTGGTATGATAACCACCGTCATTTCCTACATGCAAATAAAAATAAATAAATAATAACAGGAAAAAAAAAACAACAAAAAAAGTAAAAATCGGTATGCTGCATTTGAACTGTAGGGAAGAAAGTGAATTTGAAACCCGAATAAGAAAGATTACCAGCAGAATGTTTAACCATAAACTGGCCTCCAGCGTCGGGTTGTTTATGGATATCGTCTTCCCCACAACAGCTGAAGCAGCTCATATTTCAACGGTGACGTATTCTCTGGAAAACAGAACGCAAATCACTATCTTCCCAAAGTGGCAACATGCAAGAATCATTAACAAGAAAAGAAGAATTGGACTTTCAAGTAGCTATTAGGGAATCCTCTTCCAAATGCAGGGAATTACAGATGCTAATACAATTCTTCTCACAGACAGATCACAAATCAACAAGAACACCTCATGTGTATCATCAATCCTTAAACATCAGCAGTAAAGTTTATCATCAATTCTCATCTCAGTTTCACATCCCAACTTTGTTTTCCACAGACAATAAGTTTACATCCCAAATATCTATTTTTCTACATTTCTTTTGACCACAAATTTACCCGGAGTTTCGGCTAGCTCTCCCACGACTCATTTTCACATAAACACAACCATTTTATATCCCAAACACCATTTCTTCCACCCTCCAAGATCTCTTTTTTAACATTCCAATTTCACTCTACAACACCTTTTAAATCCCTAACATCTTAAGACTTCCACATAAATGGTTTTTTTTTTTTGGTTTCCCAATGCAACTCAACACAGTAAGAGAATAAACAATGCAAAAACCCAAAAAAAAAAAGACAAAAAAAAAAAAAAACATCATGAACCTTTAGAAAGAAAAACAAATAACCAGAAAGCCACCAGAGAGGTATAAATTGAGTTAGATCTGACAGAGGCAGTGCAATGGAGAAATGATCAAACCCGTAAACCAACAACAACAGTAATAAAAAAAGGATCCTTTTTCAAAATTAATTTCAAATCAGTTACGAAAAGATCATCACAGCAAATAAATATTCATAGATTGAAACAGCACCGAGTGCTCAGAAAGAACCACTAGAGAAATCCTCGATCAACAAACAAAAACAACTAACATGAACTACCGATTAACCGGCAGAAATGAAGTGGGGAGAGCCCAAAACAACAGTAGACAAGGCAAATTTGCAACTTCTGAGGATAATCAATCCCAAGTGAATATTGTATAACAGTAGCCATCATTAAATAACTTAGTTTAAAGAACGAAACAACAACATTATAACCCACCAAAAAAAAAAAAAAAAATAGAAAGGGAAAAAGGAAAAGATTGATAATTGACCTTAAGAAAAAGCAAATGATTGGAGGGAGAATGAAGCCCAGCTTGGTATAGGCTGGATGTACTACAGATTCTGTTCTTCTGGCTTCTCAGAAGGGAAGAAGTAGTTAGCAGTCTGAAGTCTGAACAGATAGAGAGAAGAAGAAAGAGAGAAGAAAGAACAGTGGGGAGGAGGAGAAGAAGAATTGAATAAAACAAGAATAGAAAATTAATAGAGAGAGAATGAAGACCGGCTGAAGATACTTCTCTGACTTCTGTTACGGTGGTCGTATGCACCTGTATTCTTTCATACTTTGCTAAATTACAAATACAATACCGCAGGTTTCTAAATTATGAAAATTTGAGACTTTTGATTTGTTGCACTTCTTACTAATTATACGTTTTTTTCATCATTTTTTTTTTAAACAGAGCACGATGGTGCAGTTATAGATTTTGTAATACATATTCATCACGAGATTAAAATTTACATCACAAATTAAAAATGTAGTACTCCTCCCGTCCCATAATTATTGTCCAGTTTAGATTTTCATTTTTAGTTCAAATTGTACTAAAAATGAAATCTCAAACTGCATCCGCCATCACATTTGCTTGTCTTGTTGCAATGTATCCTTTCAAAATCCTATAGCAACCTCCATATAGTTTCATAAATTCAATAGTAAACACTATGAACAACACAAATCTCTACCCCTCTATCCTTCCTTAATTACCACTACTAAGTCTACGAAATCATGCCTCAACTCCAGCTGGTTGGAGTGGTTGATCAAAAGGTAGACTTGCAGCATCCAGCCTGAGAGAATGTTGACGTGGAATTTGTGGACGATCGAATCATGGGACAGATCTTTGGGATCATTTTACAGTTTAATCTGTTTGCAAAAACAGTAGCGATTAGAGTAGTACCTTAGCGGCTGTAGGAGCAGTACATGTTTAGTTGTACATAATGCATAGATGATGGTACAGTTATAATGTTTTCCAATTATGACTTTATTCTTTCCCCAATTCTGTTGCTCACCGACTTAACCGTAAACTACTGTCATCTTCCAACTCTATTCCCATGGCAGAAATTAGTTGTTTCACTAAGTTTATGAAGAAACATGAGATTTGTCTAATCTTTCCACTATGAGTCTACAAAACATTCAATATTGTGCCCCATATTTGTGTGTTATAAGAAGTCAGTCATCCACATAGTTGTGACTCTAAACCTGCACGTTCAGGCCAAAACCAACTGATTACAAAGGGCATCAGTGTAAAACCTAATTGAAGCATCACACAGCAATCAATAATGGCCATCATAAAGCAAATTCCACACGGCCTTGTTGAAAGGAATTCGACCCACTAAAAAAACTCGTAACCTTCACTTTTGGCACAAACGTCATTCAAACACGCAACAAAATGCCCCTCCTGCTGCTGGTGAGTTTTTTGCCTTATGTACTCTTTGCAGTTCGTAAATCCTACAAAATCCATTCACGAAAGGAGGAGTAAGTTGATGATGTTTAGTGGAAAAGCAAACGGGGGAAATGGTTAGGCTTCCACATGCATAAGCTTTCATGCTGCAATACCCCAAGCTTGCAGGTTTCACCTAATTAACTTTTGGAGCTTGCACCCTTGCTAATAAAGAATGCTTAAGCCACTTATCAGTAGCTACAAGCCTAACAGGATCATTTGTCACACATTTTGAATGTGTAACTCTAGGGTGTGTTTACCCTTTACTAGATTATTAGTCATCCCCTCCCCTGGATGTCACTATGTATGTAATAGAATAGGCATTTCAGAACAAAAACAAGAAGTTTCAGTAACGCCTCCTACTATGCAACGGTTAACGCATAATAGTAACATGTTTTTCATTTATAGTAGCATGCAACTGTGAAATAATTCCACAAACTTGAGCAGTGGATGCACCGTTGAAGCCAGTTTTCAGTTTATGTCAAAGCAATTTGAGATAAACTTCAGATGCTCGATAAAAGAAGAATGAAAAAACTGAAAATATAAAAAAATAGCGCACATATGAGAGAGCAAAGATTTATAATTTCCTACCAGCGTACACCGATCTCCATGACTTGAAGTCGGTCATGAACAGATAAGGGACAATGGACCTCGGGCTGACACTCCGAGTTGAAAGATAACGCTGAAGTGAAAGCACCATTGGACTTACCACAGTCACCTCCTAACATCAAGAGGGCAAAACTCCAGCATTTGCATGCCCCTACCTGCTACAATAATCTGATAATGGTTCCTGAATCGAACATAGAAACAAAGATGCGAGAGCACGTGAAAAGAATTAGCGAAAAGACAGGCAAAAAGCCCCAATACCACATTTTATTGATAGATTTAGTCGAACCTAGCACATGTATGGGCATCGAGTGCTTCTGGCTCTGGCACACTGACGATTAGATGGGAATGTTCGATTAAATTACCAAATCGACCTAATTTCCAACATCTGACACGCTGATCAAGCCCAGTAGAGAATGCCCAATGACCATCTGTCCAGACATCTATATGCACATACAAAGTACATACTTTTAGCATGTCTTTGCAACCAGTAAAGTATCAAAGAAGAATACGCATAACATACCTTTGACAGCCGAACTGTGAGCTGATATGCTGGTCTCTAGTGATATAAACTTCATCAGATAGTTCTGAATTTCACAAGTGTAAATTGGCTTCGAACTTTGTTGTGCCTGGGATGTACTTTTCATTGACAAAGTAAACCGAAGACAGTTGAGGGCTTGGTCATCGCCCCCACTCAAAACACAGAAGGTAGAATTGTTTTTAGAAGAATCAACGTCCTTAGTGTCCGAGACATAGAGACAATTGACCCCTGATTGATGAATATTTCCAAAAACATGCAACGGCACAATTGTAGGTACTTCTAGGGATATACCATCTACTTTTTCGTCTTTAACATGGCATAAGACAGATGCATCTTCCTCATGAAATAGTGTGCCAGGTGTTTCGGGCACATTATTTTTGACGTCTGTCTCTTTTGTTTTAGTGGTGGAATGAGAAAGAAATTCTTTTTCCGTTTTTCCTTTCTGAAACTGATTACACGACTTCTTCTTTGATACATCACGCCCGAAGCTTCGCCACCATCTTCCGCCTTGGCTCCCTCTACCAGTTTGTGGCCTTTTGTGGGAATCAATTAATTCATTTATTTGAAGGGATGATACTTGTCGCAGAAAATCTTCAACTTCTTTAGTCAAATCCCAGAAGGTTATACTTCCATCTGTAGATCCACTTATGATGATATAGACGCTTCTTCCAACCAAAAGGTTATCTACAACAAATAATAATGTACAATAAAAAGTTTTAATAACAAATAAAAAATTCTTCAAAACCAAAAAAGAACGTTCAATCCTAGGGATCATAATTAACTACCAAAATTTTGCAGGAAAGACAAACTAACCAGCTCATGATTGGCGCACTCATTAAGTTTAACTGCTACTAAGGGAGACTCTATTTAAATTTAATTGCAAGTGGTGTGACGAAAATTTTCAATGACTAAAATAATCAGATAAAAATTACGTACTCCTCGAAAATCGTCAATGGACAAGAGAAGTAAAATCTCAATGAAGACTGAAGGCTTAACTCATGCTCAACTCATGGATGACAGAAACACACTTTAATAGCGACCTTACTGAAACACTTTTTTCACCCCAACCCACATTCGCAAACCAATTTAAATGTTTATGCAACTTAAAACAGTAAACTAACCATCAATCCCTGAACGTTCAGATACGATGACATGCTGCAAGGCCAAGACTGGTGAAGAAGAGGGGCTCAAAATAGCAACATCAAACCTGTAAATGAATTTTGCAAAAGCAAAGATAATCAATAGTTCAAACTCTGTGGAACAAAAGACTGAAAGATGTACAGATCAACCATACCAAAATCGACAAGGTAATAGGAGAGCACGCAGCGTAACAGTAGCATCTGAAGAAGCAACCACAACAAAGCAGACAGATATTCTGGAGAAAAGGCAACAACAGACAACCAAAAACTCCACTCAGAATTTCAGCCGTTATTGAGCAAGAATCTAAAACAAGACTCATGAATTAATTTTTAAGTCGTCCACCTGGAGCTGGTAACAACTTTAACAAGAAATGCCGAAACTGCAAGATATCTCCAGTCATTTTCTTCATATTTGTCTTCTTCGAGACCCTTTTTCAATATCTTATTCATGTTTGCAGAAAGATTTGTAGCATTTACAGTAGTAGCTTCTTTCTCAATTTCAACAATTTGTCTTTTGCTGTCTTGATTCCTGTTTTTTCTTGTCGGCATATCTGAGGAAAGCCACTGGAACAAAAAAGATGAACCATGGTATCTTTGTCTCCAAGCAGTTACAACTCTTTTCGCACCAACCGAAATCAGTAATAATGAATTTTCTAACTCTTCGATTGAACTCTTTTCGCTACGAACATCATTAGGCATATGAGACATGCTGTCGAACTTTATCTTATACAGCTTTGAGACACAACATAAGGATCTGACAGCTGATCCACCGACGTGTTCACCAAGCAGTCTCGAAGATGTCCAGCTGTTGGAACCTTGCACGTATCTAGTCAATCGCACGGTTCCATCTTCACAGCCTGTTGCAATCCCAACAGTTCTGGACGTCGCGTCATGCTTTTTCTTCAAGAAACATTCCGAGGCTCCCGTGATAAAACAGACAGTGTGTATCTCCCTACCGTGGAACTGTAAATGCAGATTTTGAGGATACAATTCTTTGTCACTCTCGTTTACCCAATTTCGATGTACATAAATGATTTCATTCTGCAGAAAAACAATCATGAAGATACAGTTAACTAAGTCTTGAAAAGCGAATATAAAATTCTATGAACTACAATATTTAGTTGTAAAGCTGCTGACGAGTCATAGAGTTCAGAACCTTCTTGCAAATATACCTTTATGAATGCAAAACAGGTATTTTTCTCTGGAAATTTGCCAACGTAATATGAATGAGGGCGACGCCATCCACCACATGCAACTTTGAAAACCTTTGTATCAGATGTTAAGTTCCATATTATGAAATCTGATGATGCAAAGCCAACAGCATATCCTTTAATGTCCAGATTATCATAACGATCACCGTTCCAAAAAACAGACGAAACTGAACTTATTTCTTTCACTTCTTTCATCCCAACAAATTCCAAACTCCCCCAAGCTTTATTACATTCCAAGTAGCAAATGCACCCATCTTGCCCAGTCTGAAAGAAAACAAAGGAAGATGTATTAAAATCTCATCTTGACCACAACCCATTCTTGCCCCTTTTAGCACATCAAGTACTAAGAACAACATAAATAATCCATGCAACTGATAACGCATAAAAACCATTAAGCATCACCACTATAGGTTTGAAACCCTACCGAACAAATCTCTACTTGATCCAAACTAGAACCAGTAATTGAGACGCTGCAAACCCTTGATATTCCATGAGCTGCTTTGAAATAGCTAACTGGGGCCATTGTTTTCACTTCCGAATCAACCAATGTTCCAAACAATAAAGCCTCCGATAAAGGAAACAGTAGAATGTTGCCGTGAATGTCCCCACAAACTAGCACCTGTATGAGACAAAAACAACAGAAGACAGAACTGAACTCCCAAGAACAGCCAATAAATTCTTGTGCAATATGAATTTAATTTATCCATACAGCAGTTACCATCAAGTAGCAATGCTCAGTAGGGGACGCAATTAATGGAACAAAACAAAAGCTAGAATATAAAACACAATATCATACATTTATAGTAATGCACGATGAATAATGATCATGACTTGTTGAGTACGACGCGAAAATTGCGACCCTTGACATGCGAGAATAATCTCGTAAAACAAACGGAATCGACATGAAATTGGCCCGTAAACAAGCTACACAACTCGATTGCCATCCTTTTATTGCTTGAACATGAAATCTAATCCTGTTGTACAGGAAGAATGCAAATCAACATATAAGAACAGAAAAGAACAAACTAACCTCACTCTCTAATGAAGCATCCAAACACATAATTCGTCTTCCATAACATGATGTGTATGTTGATATTAAGCAAACGTCATCAGGGCTTGAGTTAACAATTCCACGATCAAGGGCTAAAGACCCCGAAAGCCTCCATAACTTCAATTGCCCTTTAGGATCAGCAGTGAAAACGAACCTATAAAAATAAATTCTTAGAAGTTCATATAATTTGTGTTGATACTTCAATGGCAAAAGGGAAAAAGAAAAAAACTTTAGACCATCACTGGATGCAATAAAGCAAACTATCTGGACACATATCTGTGGAAAGAAAGATAATCAACAAATGGCATTGACTCCCACTTATATGGTTACCATATACAAAAAAATATTGAAACTAATACCCCAGGTACATCTGCATTACCTTTTTCCTAATGACTTGCACCAATAAGTTCCCAAGAGCTGCCTCTCTATCTCAGCAGACCAAACAATGGTATTCACGACTTCACGTCTTGATTTCTGACCGATAACGCGAACAATCATCAAGCTTCCTTTACCATTCCCCATGGAAATCCAGTCGTCAACCGTATCTGGAACTTCCTGAGTATCGGAATATACGTCCATGCACACAACTGGGGCCCCCTCATTGAGATGGACGAGTTCCGTCCACTTCTCCTCCTTTTTGCTATCAAATAGTAGGTGGTGCAAATAACCATTGTTGGTGGAAACATAAAGTGAGTTTTCCCCAGAGAAATGTAAACAACGTACATATTCACTTTTGCTGCATCAAGGACAAAAGAAAGGTCTTAACTTGCTAATAAAGGTTGCATATATGAAGCCATTTCAGCTTACAAACTTTCAGTAACAAATAAACATACAGAAAAGTACGGATAAATACTCTGTAACCATACAAGTCAGTTTTGTTGCCAAGTAGGTCTCACATCCTCAAACACTGAAATTATGTACAAATCAAAGTATTTGTCTCCCACATCTGTAGTTATTTTAACATCTTAATTTGAAAAATAATGATAATGAACAAAGCAAAACAATCAATAATCAGCTAGCAACTGCTGTTCTGTACATGCACTATCACCATTTCTATTGATAATTTATGACAGTAATTAACATTCACACATCATAAACCAACAAAGTGAATTCATGAAAAGGTACAACCTCTGCTACTAATAAAGTTATGTAAAATCGAAAAGATCAACTAAAAGACTAAACCTGGAAGCCGCAAAGAGCAAGAAATCCATGTCTCCCAATGATCAAAATAAGTTCAGAAAACGTAAATACGATTAAAATGCAAAATAATTCCATAGTATAGTGTGCGCAAAGGTACAATCTTTATCATTAATAATCAAATATCAAGCATACCTGTCTGTCAGGCCAATATACCCTGAAGAATTAGGCAAAGTGAATGTGAAAACTTCATTTCCGCCCATTGAATCTTCCTCAGTGGGTCTCTTTGATCTATCCAAGGTCTTGGAAGAGTACGCTGAAGTCATTTGATAAACTTTTAGTGCAGAATCAAGTCCAGCCGTAACAATAAGTGAATTATTTGGATCATACAAACATCGCCATACTCCTCTTCCACTGAAAATGAGTAATTTCAATACAAAGTGGTCAGCCATAATTGTTATCTCATTTTTTCCCTCTTGGGCAGGAATTCAACACCAATAAAAGTCTTAGGACCAAAAAAACAAGCGGAACATATAAAAGAAAACATCCTGACTTCTGATTCATTATCTTCCTTTTCTTTTAGAGCCAATTACATGAGAAAGTGTAAGAAAGCATGATGTCTCAGGACAGAGGCGAAAAGACAAAATACCCTACAATGATAGGCTTCACCTTCATAGTAGTATGCAAGTCCAAACACAAGCAAAATCTTCTTTTTGCACAACACAACCAAAAATTGAGAATATAAAATATGTGTAAAACCAAACTAGGTCACAGCCTAACCTGTGCTCCTTAATCACTTCAAGTTGTTGACCATCTAAACCCCATACGCGACAAGTACAATCCTCGCCAGCAGTAACAATTAACTGCAGAAGTTAGTTTAATAAAGAGAAAGAATTCAGAGCAAAACAGAATGGAAAAAAAAAAAAAACCTTCATAGATGCACATGATTTTATTTGAAGACAGAGACAGAGAAATTTTTAATAACTGGGTAGACAGATTCCACTTTTTGTGAACATGAAAAACATTGCCCATTAAATGAAGGAAATAGTCACCTGTCTTACTTACATTATCATATACATAGCAGTCCCAAACTCGGGCAGTATGACCAAATAAAACAGGTCCGACCAAATAATGAATGTTTTTGGGACTATCTGAAGCATCCCCTCTGGCGTTACTGACGACCCAAACACGGGCACTGCAATCATAGAACGAAACTTAAATTAGTAAATGTCAAGTTTTAAAAACTTGCAGGTTGAACAAGGTGAAATTTAGGAGACATTTTTTACCTACGATCATCTGAGGCAGACACCAATTTTGACCCATCCGCTGACCATGCTATACGGAAAATTGAACCTTCATGCCCCACTAATCTACCTAAGATAACAACTTGATATTGCAGGCCAGAAAATTTGGCAACCTCATCTATTATAGAATGCTTCTCAAAATCCAATTTCCAAACAACAATCTGCCAAGACCAAACAAATGCATGGAGTCAAGTACGTGTATTTCATACTATGACAAACTGTGAAAACTGGAGAGAGGAAAGAGGTAAAAAATACATCACCTGGTTGTATATAGTGCCAGATGCGATAAGCAAGGATTCAGCATCACAGCCCCACATGCGCATGGAATACAGCAAACATCTATCTAAAAGCAGAAAGTGTTGGAGCTGTCAGGATATTAGAGTCAAAATATAATTAGAGACGACAAAAGAGAAGAAATTAATATTTCTTTTGCGGGAGAATTTTGTTTTCTTCTTCTTTTTTCTTGTCTTAATCCCATGTTACATAAAGCACAATGTTATAACTTCATCACATGAAAGAGAAGAAGGGAAGGACCGTAAGATGGAAAGGGCGGGGGAAAAAACAAAACAAATAATGAAACACTAACCTGGGCATCGGACTTGAGCAAGGACATGACCATTCTTAATATCCCAAAACCAAACAGAATTGTCACTACAACCGATGCCAAGCCAATTACTGGGGCCCGCAGCATGACACTATCATCAGCAACCAACATGCAAGTTAAGATGTTATGGATGAAGAGCTTAATTATTCATTTAAAGAGAGAAAAGGAAAACTATACGGGAGGAGGACCTGCAAGAAGCAAACATCGAGAACCCAGTGGTTGAACTTTGGCAATGAAGAAACAAGAGCAAGTTCCAGATGATCGGTATGATTAAGACAGCTGATCCGAAACTTGTATAACTTGACTCTTCTTTCACCATAGACAGCAATGGTGCAATAAGAAAAAGATAGAGAGTCGTCAGTGTAATGGTGTTGAGAAGAAGTGATGCCATGGACACGGATCCCTTCAAAAACTTGGAAAGACGCAATCTTGATTCCTTTAGGCAACCGGTAGACAAGGATTTCTGAGCCTGTTCCTGTACTAGCAAGAACAATTATTTCAATGAATTATAACTATCAAACCAATCAATACCCAACAAAAACAATAACTAAAGTTCTTAAACGCATCATCTGCTCTACAGATCACATCAACAGCCAAACCTGCAGGTTTCAGACCAAAAAGTCCCGAGTAACTCGATGTATACAGAAATTCTTCCGTGTTTGTTATAGTTCTTGTTTCTCACTAATTATTATATGTGAAGGTTTGACTAATTAAGCTAATATCCCATTGCTAGGAGCTTTATCAAGATGCAAAAACAGATATTCTCATCTAGGCATTTAGTTTTTCTTCTAACACCTAAATTCTTCTTCGTTAGAAATTTCTCAATTTCCATAAACGAGGCAATGAGTCATTACCCCCACCAGAATGCTGGATTCTCAAAGACCCAATATCATTCAATCAAAACATACACACTTCCATAACAGGTTAGAAATACGAAAAATAAATACATTACAAAAAAGAACGAACATCCAAAACACAAGCTTGAATTGAGGAACCAGATATTCAAAATCAAGGTCAAGTAAAAAGACTGAACTTGAAAATCAGAAGAGCAAGGAATGGATGTCCAAACAATCAGATAAGCTGAATATCAAAGCCAAAATGTGAGCAAATTTCATTCCTTATTAGTAGTATCACAAGTTCAGTGAAGTAAGGATATGTCAACATTCAATCAAAAAGAAAAAGCTAGCATACACCATAATCATCCTCCTTAAAAATATAACTAAATATGAAGCTCTTTAAAGAAGAGGAAATCGATGACACAAAATCAAAAGAGTGTTAAAACTCAGTAGGAATAATGCATTATTAATGAATAACAAACGTGTGCAAACTTAGTTAAGTTAGTAAGTTGAGTGATAATAATCATACCCGCTAGGAGAAACGGAAAAGTAGCTTGCTGTCTTGGAAGAAACGAGAGGGCGGATATTTCTCCCAAATACTGCCCTCTTTCCAGCCGCCATTGCTGCTGCTGCTCCCCGTCGTCCATCGTCACCGCCCTCCGCCGAGTAATTCAAACTTCCGACAAAAAAAAAAAAAGTTACGGAAGAAAGCATAGACATAGAGGGTAAGGAAATTCAGCAGCCCAGGCCAAAAAAGTCCCCAAACCAATTTCTTCCATCTTTAATTTACATACTGGTTTAACACTTTCGGGCCGGCCCCAAAAAAAGGAGCAAAATGCTAAAACCATGCGGTGAGCGTGGATCGAACACGCGACCTTCAGATCTTCAGTCTGACGCTCTCCCAACTGAGCTATCCCCGCTGTTGATGCTAAAAATTACAACTTATACAATATAATGCACATACCTATAAATACTATTAATATTATTCTGACATCTTTGTTCTTCCCCAATTCACAAAAACCGGTAGGAATTTTATCCCTTCGGTGGCAGACTTCCCTTCGCGGCGACTTTCAATCCTGATTTTGGATTTTTGATTTTGACCATCAGCACGATTCAATGGGGAAGGCCAAGAATTTCCCTTTCAAAGACGAATTCACTTTTGGTACTCATTATTTGTTCGAGATTTTTCTTCTCAAATTTTTTCCTTGAACATAATCTTTTTATTGATTATTATATGGAATTGATGATGATTATCTCTTCTTCTTCTTTTTTTCTTGTTTATTCCAAATTTGGGCAGAGGAACGATGTAAAGAATCACAAGACATGATCGCTAAATACCCGGACAGAATACCCGTATGCAATCTGTTCTTCTCTTCTTAAATAAGTTACCTTTCAAATTTCTAAGGATTTACCGATAGGCTTTTTCCCTCGGGAAAGATGAATTCGTTTGCTTGTGTTTTTTCCCCACATCAATTTGTGTTTTTTTTTTAATTATTATTATTATTAAGGTTATTATTACTATTTATCAACATTAACAATGTAATTTGTGTTTTACTCGTTATTGAAGGTTGTGGTTGAAAAGTATTTTGAAACGGATCTTCCTGAGTTGGAGAAGAAGAAGTAAGTCCTGTTGCTTCTTCCTCTTTTACTATTTTTGTCATTCCTCTGCGTCATCCTCCTTCTCTGCGTCTTTTTGAGTAGTAATTGATGTTCTTCAAACTCATCGTTAACATTCATGGGTACTTGAACATCACATGATCAACTCATTGTATTCTGTAAACATTATCGGATGATTACCACACGAATTGCTGTGAAAGTAGCTATGAGTTTATTACTATGATTATCATTTCTCTTCTCTTTCCAGATTTTACAGCATGTCCATCCAGACAAACTTTGTAATGTTATATTGTGTAATCTGTGAGTGGTTCTCATTCAAGCTAGTTATCAATATCTGGTGTACGAAGTGCACTTATGTTAGCTCATAGGGGACGCCGACAACCTTGCAAAGTACTGTAGTTATTCTATAATGTCACTTCTTTCTTATCCTTGATTAATGCTAATATGTTTTAATCCTGGATTTCTTCATTATTAATCAAAAGTTTATGCCCCGACCTAATGAGAATGGGGGCATTCTGTAATTCCTTTCATGTGATGAAATCTTGCCGTTGAGAACAGGTTCCTGGTGCCTAGAGACATGTCAGTTGGACAGTTCATCCACATACTTAGTGGGAGGCTACATTTGGTTCCTGGGAAAGCTCTCTTTGTATTTGTTAACAACACTTTGCCTCAAACATGTAAGCCCTGTCTTGTTTTGTCAGTTTCTTTGCTTTCAGCTAATTCTGTGGTTTCGTGGTGTGTTTTTGTTTTGTTTTCAGCTTCTTCTTCTTATGCTTCTTTAGCCTATTAGTGTTTGGATAAAACTAACAAGTTTTTGGCTTGGTTGTTGTACAATCTGCAGCAAGCTTGATGGAGACTATTTACGAATCATACAAAGACGGAGATGGATTTGTGTATATATGCTACAGCAGTGAAAAAACCTTTGGTGCCTCATATGCTCATTGATCAAAATTTGCTTTTATCGTGTAAATTACTTGTTTTATAACACGACTATCCAAAGCTTGTATAAGTTATACAGAATTGTTTCTCGTAATTTTATTTTCTCTACATTTGGTCTTTTCATTTTTGCTACATCCGATTATTAATCTCCTTCTGGAGGGAAGATGCCGAAGTTAAGAGCATTTCTATCTGCACAAGCACTAGTGAGAACACCTAACACACTATTTACGGCAAATTATGTTCCCAAAATCGAACCTGAGTGGTTGGAATGCTAAAAAACAACATAATCTGAACGGACACAAACACTTTAACCTTAAAAAAGGGCAAGTTAAAGAAATATTTGGTCTATACGTTTCCAAAAGTAACTATATATTTGTTGTCTCCCACAAAAATATACCTACCTAAGCTTCAAAATCTTACGAAGCTTTTTGAGGGTAAATAACAGAATGTTGCATGGACAGTTCACAACACTTCGCTATGCCAAAACTCATTTCATAACAGTGCTCTCTTAAATGTTTCCTAACACCGCACCAACCAACCAAACACATTGACAGCAGCATTAAACCCAAATGAATTTACCGAGATAATCATATCATGTCAAAGGGATGTCGAAATGGGCAGTCATAAAGACTTGACTCCGAGCTCCAACTATGCAAAATTTACACAACCATATCCCCTTGGTGCAAACCCTTCATTTCCTCGGTCCTCTGGAAGTTGTAGTCGATGTGAAAAGCTTCTGTCCACCCCCATTGCGCCAAACACCGCGCACAGGCAAACCTTCCGAGGACAGTGCATCCAAATCTGGATCTGGGTCTGGGTCAGAATTTGTGTTTCTATTAAGATCCAAAATCGCAGCTGCAGAGCCATCACCAAGCCGAACTCTATGGAACTTTGACATCTTCTTCTTTTGTTTATTATTTCTTCCACCAACATTCTCTCCTAGTACTCTTTGATTGTCTTCCTGATCCTTTGTAGATTTATCAGATGAAGACAATTCAGCTTGAGATTGAGATTGGCCAGCCACCCCAACTTTTGGCTTGCCCTTATTGGCAGCTCGATAACCATCCTTCGACAAAACTTCAACTTCATTTTCCGATGTAGCTTGATAGCTTGACTGAAGTTGCTTTACGGTACTTAAGATGCTATCAGCTAACTTATCCTTTGAATTAGTACTACTCCCGGTATCATCTGCTTTCTCTTTTCCTTTCTTCGAACTAATTGAACTTTTCAAAAGAATTTTTCCATTCTCGAGTGGGCCATTGTTAACAACCATGTTGGCATTATACGTCTCAATCAGCTCTTTCTGCTTCTGAACATCGGGACAGAGACGTGCCAACTCGAAAACGAGATGCGACAAACCAAATTGCTCCACATAAACAAGATACATCTCTGCATCTATTGAACCTTGACGATATTCAGCCGATATGTCTTTGAATATGGAGTATTTGTCCTGATCAAAGTCTAAAGCCATACGAATTCTTTCAACCAGAGATTTGTTTGCCGTTTGAACAGATTCAGCCACAACTGTTGTCGAAACTTCATTACCCGCACGGGACTTCTGCTGTGACTGAACAGCTGAAACCGGAGGAAAATCAGTGTCCGAAGGGCGAAAAGATCCACTTTCAACAAGGTTTGGAGCTGATGCTGAATGACTAACTTTGCCGGAACTGCTCCTGGAAGAAGATGATCCATTAATAATTGCAGGCCGAGCTAGCACAGAACTTGAATATGAAGATAAAGGAGGCCCATTTTCAGTGGTGACCAACTTGCTCGGCCCAGAAGTCGACATTGCAGATCGTGAGGAAACATTTAATGTGGGCCACGACTGCTGCACATCGGGCGTCAATGTCGTCGACCGATCCTGAGATGAGTTAGGGAAGGCAGAGGACGCCAACCCAGACCAACTACTTGAAGTGGACAAGGCATGCTGTGGAGAACCAGACCGTAATACAGGAGTTCGTCCTCCAACAGCCCCAGCCCGAGATGAACTTGAAGAATTTATAACTTTAACTTTGTTCTGTCGTCGTAAATGTGCGGCCATAGAGTTATTAGAACTGTCCTGTATTGATCTTGGCTGACTGCTGCTAACAGTAGCAGTAACGGGAAGTGGAGGAAATGCAGACTCACCGAGTTGTGAATTCTTTGACTGCAGTGACAAGGCTTCGCGGTATCTTGGTAAGTCGGGATCTGTCGACAAGGACTCAAAAGGTGTAACAAGTGGATCAGCTTCACTTACTTCTGACGACGCAGGTGTCTGCCTTGCAATGGATGAGGTCGATGGTGACTCTCCCATCGGGCGACTGTCTAAATTTGATGCATCAATATAGGCCTGAATGGCGTCAGAAAGATTATTTTCAGAAGTGTCACGCTGAAATGAACGCCCCCTGCCACGATTTCTTTCTTGTTCATTACCCCGTCGATATCGAAAACTAGTCGGTAGCTGCAAGATGCATCCCAATAGATTGTTCAAAAGCCAAGAAACAAAATAAAGCAAATTTTATAGCTATCAAGCCAGCAAAGTACAGCAATAAACCTACCTGCAATGCAGCACTGCGCTGAGAACGAGACATATGGCCTCCATGCTCCATGGCATTATGCCTCTGCAAATGGAAAAATTACAAAGAAACCTGATCAACTTATATATAAAACCTCAAAATGCATGTGCCTTGTTAAGTGGCATAAAAGTACACATTTCTATGTATACCTTCAGTTCGGACTCAGATGAAAAAACTATAAACTTCTTAGCCAGGCAGGAGTCATCCTCACACAAAAAGTGGTCCCGACGAAAGTGAATCTGTTTCAGAGAATAAAAAAAAAATAGCCGCTTAAAATTTTTAAAAAAGAAAAGAAAAAAGGAAAAAGAAGAAATCTCCCAACCTCCAAGTCATCGTAATCCTTGTAGTATTCATATTGTCCAGGATGCTGCCTGCATATATTTGTTGAAATAATGCTCAACTTAAAATGTGGCTATAAAACAAAAAAGGGGCAGACGCTTTCCACGGCCCCCACCAAGGGAGGGGGATGAATGTAAGGGTCTTTACCTTTGACAAATAAAGCAGGTGAAATGTTCAGTAGACATGTGGGAATACAGTTCATTATCTCCATAGAATGGGGTTCGACAAAATTCACATCTAGGATGGCCCATGAAGCCCCCTCTTTCACTTTCACTTCCATCCACAGCGGAATCACCGGTGTTTGTGTGTTGAGTTAGTTGTGATCTGCTATAAAGTTTTTGCTCACAGATAAATACCTGATCAAACAGCAAGGTTTTGGTAGTTAGAGTTTAAGGAAATATTATATCACAGATTCCGACAAATAGCACTGTGGTGAATACATAACTAAATAAGCAATTTTAAACCAAATGAGCTGCAAATATTTTGTATCATAAATCAAACACGCCCAATAAAAAAAAAAACTCCAAAACCAGCTCTAGACATGCAGACAAGCACTTGTGGACAGGTAAGGTAAGAAGATCCACTATATCAACAATGGCTAAATTACATGTCAAAAACAGAAAAAGAAAAAATCAACCACATAAAGCAATAAAGCAGAACTCCTCAACATTCCCATACGAAACAAACACCAACCTTCCTTCCTTCCAAACACAAGCTGCACATAAACAACTTATGCTGATGAAAGAGATGGCCTTTGAGCTGTTCAATGTTCCTAAACCTAGATGTTCTTCTCCTCGACGATCCATCACCAGGCACTTGGTCTGTGCCTTCCTCGGCTGCCTTCTTATCACATACGCTACAAGAGAGCTTGCACATTGCCTTGACCATCTTATAGTGATCAGCATCATCAAAGAATGCTTGTGTGTCCTCGTGGTACCAATAGGAGGTGCCGCCAACTCGACCCTCCTTTGGTTGAGAAGGCAAGATTGAAAAGTCACTAATTGTGTTGGTATAATCTCCAAGAGCCTGGAACACGAAAAGCCACAAGCACACTAATAACTAACAGTGTTAAAAGCAGTACAATTTGCACATCCCACTACACAGCAACTTTAAGGAAAACCCAAATGAAAATATGACAGAAACCACCTCCGCTTTCCGACACAGATTAGTCAGTTTTGAAAATAAAAATTCTAAATCAGTAAAAACAGTAAAGTGCTCAGCCAATGAGCTGTTTACATATTTAAATCCCATGCACAAATACCAGTTAATTCTGCAAATGTAAAACAGAAATGACCCTTCCACTAATAGATACTTCCCATAACATTAATGAGTCATCGATTCATTACTTGTTGGTGATGTGCAGATGAAAATCAGCCTCTCCTACCGATTAACCAAACAAACAAATGCCCCGATTGAAGATAATCATCCGTCGGTTAAAACAAAAAACGCTTATTCTACACGAGATTCGAAAGGGAAAGAGAGAGGGTTTGAGTGGACCTTGGTGACGAAAACGACGTCGGACCGGGTCTTGCAAATGCAGCAACAGGAGTCACCGCAGATAAAGCGAAGACGAGCGACGCAGGTGGAGCACACATCTTTGTGGCCACAAGCTCCGTAAGCCACCCATTCCAACGTATCGGCGCATACTGCACAGTAATCGTCCTCCATAAAAATTTTTCGAAACAGATCGAAGACGATGATCGAACAAAGGGAAAAGATAAAACGATCACTTCAAACAAAGAATTAGGGTTTCGTTTTCCCCCTCTCCGGTCACTTCAACGATTAGGAAAGCAGTAGTACCAGAAGAAGTACGCCCCAGGGAAAATAAAATGAGGTGGTGGAGAAAATCTAAAATTTAAGGGAACTTTTCGGTGGTTGTCACGGTGGTGGGCTGATAGAGTTTAACCGCATATATAATACTAAACCACGCGGAGGACAGAGGAAGAGGCGGACGGCGGCTATATACTAATATTTTTACAATATTGCTCCAAAATTCTCTCTTATTTATGCTCAAGCTCAACAAGGAATAAATAATTAGTTAGTAATTATGACCATGATATGTAGTAATTATGAGTACTATTTAGGATTTTTTAATTTTTTTTTGTTTTCCAAGTTCACTCTCTTCTCCTTTTTTTTCACCTCTTTTCCGCACTCATTAATCTTGGATGGAAATTATTCACCAGCAATTGTGCAGAAATTATACTCTACTTTTTCATAATACGTATAATTAATTTGCATTCTGAAGAATTTTTAGCAGAAAAAGGAACGATACTTTGTATACATCATAATATCAGACGTGTAAGCATTGCTACATAAGATTTAGGGAGAAAAGTAACAATCAATGTATTTTAGTATCTTCCACACATCTCCTATTCCGTTACATTTTGGACATCCAACAAAATTTAAACATTGGTAGAGATGGAAATTTAAATAGATGTATTTCTTTTCTTTGTTGGTTTTTTCAGAATTTAATATTAATAATTATCCTATCTCAGCATACCTTTTTACATTTCTAATACATGTTTTTACATTTTCAATATAAAAAACACCTAAAAACACAAAAAAAAAAAAAAACCAAACAAACACACTTACTATCTTCCACACATCTCCTATTTTATCCGACTTGTAAAATGAGTAAACCAATCAAGATTCTCGGCATGATTTGGATCGAAGAAATGAGCAGACTAAAATTCCAGCACAAGAAACCCAAAACCAGGACAACTTCTTAGTAGCTCTCACCATGTTCAAAGGAATTTAACCAAGCACAACCCAACAAATTAGTTTGGTTCTTGTGGCCAGCGCATAAATTAGCGGCCGCTGGCAATCAGAAGATGGTTTTCGGGAGAGATACTGGGTGGAACGTAATTCACCATCCGAGAATGCAACAAACTTTGTTCTTTTAGCCACATCAACCTCCCAACATCGATGATATCCTTGCACATCAATCCTAGTACAGCTCTATCTGCAGGACTCATCTTCTTAATAGCACCTTCAACTTCACTCTGTTTTGCATCAGGTCCAGACGTATCCTCCTCCCTGTTAACATCATAACCAAGCATTTAACATCGCAAAGAGAAATAAGTACACCAACATTATAAAGAAGAAAAAAGAACCTTCAAGTTAAAAAGGAAACCAAACGGTTTTTCAACAACCTAATAGATCAAACAGCAAAGTTGTAACAAAGGTGTAATTTTACTTACATGAGATTCAGATGCTGTGATTCATCAATTTCGCTGAGATCATATTCATGGTCACTATCAACGGCCCAACTAGTGAACCACGTCATGGCATGAAAGTCATCTTTGGTCACACCCAGATTTGACATAAAACTTTTATCTGCAAGCCGATCAAATAAATATGACAAATAAAATAAAATCCAATCAACTCGGTTATTGAAGCAAAAACAAATGATACCCAAAAATGAACTACATTGATTCTGCAAGCTAAATGGGAAGGATAGACGAGTAGCATTACTTATATAGTGTTTCCATTGGCAAAGATGATGACAGCATGTGGCTACAGCCAGACCTCTGAGGAAGCACTTCTCACCATCTCTGACACCTCGGGGCCATATGCAACATTTCAGCATCATATCTAACAATAAATATATAAACATCTAAGCTTAGTTGCACTATCTGTTCATTCGGCTATGTTGTTGTTAACTTAGTGGTCTAAGCTTCAAGAAACATGGTACTGTTGAAACGTACAAAAGAAACCCTTACTACATTCATATTCTTGAAGTAAAGAAAGTACATACCAGTAGCTGGACCACACAGATGTTTCCCGATTGCCAGGTAACTAAGCCCTTGTAAAGACTCAACAGCATTCAAGTTAAGGTCTTCAACTGCAAAAGGTTTCAAGTGTCAATACCTTAGTGTGCTAGAACAGACGGAATTCTTCGATTTATTGCAGCAGAAAAGGGTCAAGCCCCAGATCTGGTATAATCTTTACAATGTCCACAATTGTAATGCCTACATTAGCAATTGGGTGAGAACCAATTGAGTGAACTTGTTCGTGGGCGTGCATCAATAAAATGACATCAAGAAACCATAAATTCTGAGGTTGTTTTGCTCCTCAAATTAAACAAACAGAAGATTCCAACCTTGCATTAAGACCGACTCAAGAATCGAGATAATGAAGACTGAATGTTTATATGGCTGCTATCTATTAAGACCAGACCACAATTTAACATCATCTTAATATTTATCTCGATCATAAAAGAAATGTAGAAGGGTTGATGCATCTGTGGGAAGTATCAAAGAAAGTGCTCGAAACTAAGCAATAATAACCATAATTTTACAAGAGTACAAAGGAAAACCTTACTATCAATCCTCAGCCTCTCCAATTCCAAGCTCTCTATTTGTCGCAAACTTCGATCAGCCTAAAATGTAGCATATAAAATACACATGAAACACAGCCACATTGAGACATGAAATATAAGAAATGGTTGATAGTAGCAACCTTAAGCTTGTAAGCCTTGCGCTCAACCAATATTACTTTCTTGATGCCATAACAATCGGCTAGCATCTGTGTTAGGTATCCTCTGCCAGCTCCGAAATCAACAACAGCAGGAACCTCTGAATGTTCAACATCCGTCAAACCAGGCTTTTCCAAGATTCCAAATTGCTCCATGTTGCCAAGAATAGAAGCCTGTTGCCGGGCATGTTTCTCTTGAAATGGTAACTTCCTATGATCAACACAAAGTAAAACTATGAGTAAACAATGCTTAAAAACAGTTCAGTAAGAGAAAAATCACCATATACATATAATACTAACTGTTGCCTTTAAAATGTAAATGCCATTCAAAGAAATACTTCCTATAGAAAGTGTCATAAGCATAATTAGTTTAACCCTAATACAATCCAAATGGATCAAATTACAGTAGAGTTACAATGGTACGAAACTGGTCCACTTGTCTATCAGCCCAGATTGCACAAGCATCTGGAATTTGGAAAGAATGCCGAACGATGTCCTCATGGGCCACAACAGATGCGTGGAGGGTCTTGATTTTACGAATCAAATCAAAGAACTGCTCAGCAGTCTTACTGTGGATAGCTCGCCGCTTTTGCTCCGAAGTAACTGGTCCTTCTTCTTCTTCTTCACCTTCAGTGCCGGCATTGATGCCTTTTTGGTAGTAAGGCTGAAGGGACAAAGATAGAGCTTGCTTCTGCAGTGGGCATCTCGCAATGTGATTCCGAAGATTATCTCCCAGCACAGAGCTACCGTAAACAAATGAAAAAATGAAAACCAATTAGGCAAAAGTCGAATCTTAAAGGACTTAGTAGAACTCTACCAATGGGGCGCCTGAGAGTTGAGAATACAACAAATACCACTTGCCGGTAAGTCACTAACATTTAATCCTAAGTGATAAAATAAGTGATGACATGCAAAATCAAATATTTACACCCATGGCCTTCTTTCCAAGTCTTAAAAACAAGTTGTCCATAGATGAGTGTTTTGCACTTAGAGGTAGGGGGGTAATTTGTACTAGGTTGTACAAACTGGAATGTATTCAATTCAATCTTAAAAGAAGAGAAACAAAAGCAGTGATAGTCATGGTATTTATTATGATCAGACTTATGGAGAAGAATAAACAAAGTGAAATTAGTGGAGGGAGAGAGAAGTTACTGAGACGGGTCGATGGGGCAGGGAATCCATTGTTGGTTAGATCTTGAAGTGTGGTTCCCGCAGTAACTACAAACATTTATCATTAAAACAACATAAAAATGAGAAAAGGAAATCGTAATCATCACCGTTCAATAAAACTAGCATCGTTTCCTTCCCTGTGTGCATTACAATTACGACCTGAAACAAAATGAAAGAAGAGGAGCTTACGAGGAATCACGGAGAGGCGGCTGTGAACAGAATCTATTCTTCTTAGGAAGCCAAAACCGGCAGTGACCGCCTTCATTTGTTCCTGCCATCATCACTCCTCAGATTAATCAATTGCTTTATAAACCCTTCTTCTTCTCCCCTCTCGCTACTTGGTGACTATGGCTGCCGAATTCTTGCTGTTGAGTTCGGCTGCGTCCTGACAGGCCGGCACTCCCGTTGAGTTGGGCCTTGGATTCCTTTGGATATCATGAGTCCAGTTTGAAGCTTCAACTCAATCTACTACATGTAAGCCCTGTTTGCTCTAATGAAAAAGTTTTGAACTATACCATTAAATTAAATGTTACCAACACTTGCCTAAGTGGTAAGGTGCTTTGATTCCCTTATACGACGCCTTGGGTTCAAGTCTCATGAATAGAATGAGCAATATTGGGAGAGCTTTCCCTTCAAAAGGAGACCCACTCGCTCGATGCTGATCAGTCTAAATGCAATATACTTAAGACACCGTGTGCAATATGAAAAAATAAATAAATGTTAAAAACAAAAACAACCGACACAACTTGTTGGATAAATACTATAGTTTTTATTTAAAAAGGAAAAGACTAAAGGCTTGTTTGGCCAACATTTTGTTTTTGTTTTTGTTTTAGTTTTTTATTTGGTTTTGAGATGTGATTTAAAATTTTTTTTGAGATAAAATTTAAAAAATTATTTAGATAATATTTTAAATAAAATAATAACATTTTTAGAGAACTACCGGATCACCTCTACCATCGGCGGCCGCCCGACCGGCGGCATTCCGGTGGCGGCAGCGGAGGTGGTTTGGTGTTTATGGACGAAAATTGTGTAATAAGAATTTTTGGAATATTTTTTAAAAGATAAATTAAAAATTATTTAGATAGTATTAGGATTTGTGTTTAAAAGGTGTTTTAAGAAGTAAAATGAGACAAAAATACAAGTAACTTGTCCAAATAAGACCTAAATTATCCATACTTCCATTGCTATTATTTAATTAAAGAATATATAAATTTAAAGACCATACAATAACTAAAACCTCGAAACTATAACCTCGAAGCCGTCAAACTACTTATCAATAAACTGCTTTTTTTTTTTAAGTTACAATGAGAATAGAAGGAAGAGTAATGATTATTGAAAAAAAAATAGTAAAAAATTATATAGAAAATGAATTATAGCTACTCATAATTAAAAGTTATCTTTATAGATTTACCCATGAGTTCAAGAATAATTAATATTCATTCACATTATTGCTTATTACTATCTCCATTTCTATTTATAAGATGGAGTTTAACTAACTTAAAACTAACAAAATTTAGCTTTTTGTCTCTCAAAGGTTCATCCTCTTAGGATTTTTTGGATCCGTCGTTGTAATAATAGCATAGCACATGACCTAGCATCTTTAGCGAAGAATGGTTCCGATAAATGTACCAACTGACTTAGCATGCCAGTATTTATCAGTCAATCGCAGGTGGACGATTTCCAGCAATCGTAATGAAATATCTCATTTTATAAAAAAAAAAAAAAAAAAGCTTTTTGCCTCAAAATTGTTGTAAATTTTTAAAATTGTCATTGATAACATTAATGAAATAGTTAGTTTAATATTTGAATTGGTAATGGAAAAAAAAGTCATTAAATATTTTTTTGGAAATGAAAAACTTAAAAAAAAAAAAAAGATGGCAATCAAACCCTCAACATCCCGGTAATAACTATCCTTATCATAATTCCCTAATCACCCAACTTAATTCTCCCTTGGAAATATAAAAATTTTTTATAAAAAAAAAAGTGAAGAAAGTACTCCCTCCATTCCAAAATAAGTGTCATCCTACACTTTGCACATAGTTTAAGAAACTATTAATTAGGGTAATAAAATTACTTAAATATCCTCAACTTACCCCATTAAAACAATGTCCACCAATAGTATTAATTCTTATGAGGGTAATTTTGAAAACTTTGGACAAAAAATGCATTGAAATGTGAGAACGACACTTATTTTGAAATTTTTTTATTTTGCTAAAACGACACTTATTTTGGAAAGGAGGTAGGATGTATAAAACCTCCTATAGATAGGAAATGGAAGTAGTATTAAAATTCTTCCCAAATACAAGAGAAAAGGTCTCGTAACAAATATTCTTCAAATTTTGCAACCCATTTTTTTACAACCCATTTTTCTCCATTCCCAACGCAAAAAAAAAAAAAACTCACATTAAAACAACTTCTAAACATAGCCACACTTCCCGACAATTAATTAAATAAAAAACTTAAAGTAGCGACCTTTTTTCACAAATTTGTGCAAAAATGGGATCCGAATTGTGGTTTTGATATCTCAATGAAGTACCATTGGTAAGTCTTCACGGAACACCCTTCCTATTAGAGCACATAAACGGGTAAACGAATCACCATTTTTTGTTTTGGTACGAGAATCATACTCCTTCCATCTCACAAAAATAATCTAGTTTTAAAATATACACTTTTTTTAATTTGGTCAATTCCAATTATGTACAACTCATTTTAAGTTCTAAATTTCTGTTTTTGTCCCTATTTATATCATCTGTCAATCATGAAAATTTTGTAAACCAAAACATATTTTTTCTTTTTTTGTGCCGGAAAACACATCACTAAGTTCTAAATTTCTGTTTTTGTCCCTATTTATATCATCTGTCAATCATGAAAATTTTGTAAACCAAAACATATTTTTTCTTTTTTTGTGCCGGAAAACACATCACAGCCGGAGCTTAATCCAGCCGGCTAGAACTCCATGAACAACCACTACACCGTCACCAAGTTGACGTCTTTCTTTTCCCGTCGTCTTCTCTCATTTTTTGACAAATCAACCATGAAAATCATGATTGTTTGACATTAAATCATATTAAAAACAAGCTATATAGCAACCATCTATCCGTCGTCTGAGACGACAAAAAATAAACGAAGCATAAGCCAAACAAAAAAGGATAATAAACATTTTTAATAATCTTAATTGCTGCCGGAATCCGAAAATATAAAACAAAACAAATTCAATTCGAAAGAGCAAGAGAAATCAATTATTTAATCCTGATGTTGTGAATCTTACAACAAATTGAAAAATTACAGAGGAGCGGGTACAAATCACAAGGCTATGGTGATTTGGGAAATAGAACTCCAAACCTCTGCAAACAAAGAAATCTGAGTCACCGGTGGTGGGGTGGGCTTGGCGGCCGCTTAATAAATTTGGATTGGGTCAAGATTTGTTTAAATTTGACTGTAGGTTATGACTTACAAGGCTACTCTAATCATTTCAAGCAAATTTAATTTAATTTCCTCAAACTGAACTATTTTTTTATAACAAACTTTTTTTTATCAAACTGGAATATTTTTGTGGTACGGAAAGAATATCATACTTTTTCTATTTTCATTTCAATTCACAATAATAGATACAATTGTAATTTGTAAAAAGCAGGGATAAAAGAAGAAGAGTCTGGCCCCCAGTGGTTAGATTACACAGTTGCATCAGGGGACAAATTCTCTTTAGCAAATTTGGCAAAACGTTCCAATCCACCCAGCAGTAAACTCTCCAGAAATGGTTGCAGCGCCTGGATTTTATAAGTCAAACAAAGATGCAAAAATATGTCATCCCTACAACATACTGTTTCGCACTTGCTGCTTGGAATTTGAGCTAATAATCATAGGCAGAGATTGAATAACATGCAACAGTTCAAGAGCTCACCGATGCCACTGGGGCCAGCAGCTGAGGGACTTCATAGGATACAGTGAGCTGGACAAGAAAGAACCAGTAGTGAGCCAATCCACAAACACAAGAAACCATACACAACTGATGCTATTGACCTTGGTGATTATAAAGGTAGTTTGTCCACAAAGAAAAACATTAGCCCTGGAAGTTGATGCTCTAACGATACACCAAACTTACCAAATACACCTTGACCTATTTCCAATTAACGACCTAAAAAAGACTTCATGCACGAGTATTTCCCTATAAAGCTATACCTAGGCCTTTGCATTGACCTCTTGTTATGAGGAAAATTTTTCAATTAAAGCTTCAACCATGTACAAACCAAGCATATATCTGGAAAATATATTGCAGAAAATACAGCTATGCTGAACAAGCGGAGTTTGTTTGAAGAGAAAACTCACTTCCACCAGACATGATGAAGCACCTTTAGGATAAAACCGGACAGCACCCCTGCCAATTAAGATATCAATAAAACACCAATCACAAGAGTGTTCGTCAGGATGGAACAAAATTTAAGTGAGGGGTAGTTCTAACAAAACAAGTTTGATTTCACCAACCAGAAACAATCAATACTATCAGCTGACACAATTAACAGTCAAGACCATTGAACAATAATTAGTTTCAGAAGAAACAATTTCAATAACATGATGGTAACAATACATGGAACATGAATGAGTTTGTGTGTCTTCAAGATACAATGTGCATACCTGTTAGGCAGACCTTCCAACGATCTCCAGTGGATTTTCTGGTTTGGAATCGGCTGCAAATACATGTAAAGAAATAATAATAACATGCAAAGTGAGACTGGAGAGAATGATGGCATTGTAAAGATCTTACTTGCATATTTCTAGCAAGCCAAGAATACTCAATATCTCGGCCGAATGCTTGATATTTGAGAGACCAACGTGACAGATCAGGCTTATCGTCCAAAATCTGGTCATTCACAATCAAAACACCCATGGTTAACCAAAAGCGAAATGTCACAAATCATGATTTTACAGGAAATTGAGTACTCTAGCAAGCAAGAAGATAAATTTTGTTCCTCAAAAAAAAAAAAAAATAGAAAGAAAGAAAAAAGAGTAGTATTCCTCATACAACTACTTGTTAGGCTGCTCGTGAGCTTTTTTAGTTGATGATTGAGATAACCAATATAATAAGTAATTTAGTCTGTTTTACTTAAAACAAACAATTTCAATCTCCTTCGGTCCATTGCAACATGTTTTTGTTCCATAAATTTGGAAGAAAAAAAAAACAAAAGAATTTGTTGTCTCTAGAACGTTCATTTAGCCTAACTGATAATAATCTAGAGCTAAAATGTATCAAAAGTACTGTTTGAACAAACAGTAAAATCAAAACATTTTTTTTCAAAGAAGACCATAATTAAATTGATAAGAAGGGCAAAGGACCTTGACGGAAGAAATGAAAGGCATCCAACGAGGAATGGACTGGCGATCGGAATAGCATTTGTAAGCCACCGACGTCGGCACATCTATTTCCTTCTTCACTCTGCAGTCCATCCATCAACAAGCTCCATTAAATCCATCTAATTTTCAACCAATCCAAAAAAAAATAATAATAATAATTAAATAGAAAAAATAAATGTACGTGCAGTCCTGCCACTCCATGACAATACGGGAGCTAGATCTCTGACTGATGGAGGGAATGAAAATCGGAGTAGGATTACACCGGACACCAAATCTTCTGCTTGAGCCGGGAATCCCGTTATTATTGTATCCATATCCAACTATATTCCCACGTCGACTCAGGGAGCAGTAATAAAAAGATGATGATGTGGAGGTGGTGGCAGATGTGGCGGCGATGGTGGTGGCGGAGACGGCGGCCGTCGCAGACATTTGCCGGATAGAATTTTCGCGGGGGTCAACAATACAGTCTGTTTTGCCTTGATATTTATTTATCTTTCGCTACCATACCTTTAAATTTTATTACTAAAACGGTGACCTGTTATATTTTTCATCTACAAAATCAAAGAAATAAACCATTTTGTTGAACCGGAAGAAAAAACACCAAAAAAAACAAAAGATTAAACCCCAGAAAACATCCTCTACATTTAGACAAAAAATTATCTCCGTCACATACATTTCAAAACGTTCATTTTTGTCCCATTTCGTCCAAAAAAATGTGATTTTTTGACTATTTACGTCCTAAGTCAATTTTTCGTCCAATTAACCGTTAAAATGCAAGGTATTTTCATCTTTTAATCGGGTTTTTGATTTTCCAGTAATTAAGAAATAAAAAAATAATTAAATAATAATAAAATTAATTATTTTTAAACCGTTTTAACAAGTGGGCCCTCAATAAATTAATTTTTTTACTTTTATCTACAGTAAATAGTAACTATATTAAAATAAGAAAATTTTCAAAATTCAAAAAATTTCAAAATTTAAAAAAATTTTAAAGTCCAAAACCTTCTCTCTCTGTTTTCCTCCTCCTCTCCGCCGTTTTTCTCTCTTCCATTACCTCCACCCTCTCCGACACCAGCTCCGTTGGTATCAACTACGGCCGTGTTGCCACCTACCTCCCAAAGACAACCTCACAAAAGTCACGTTATACGACACAGACTCCGCCGTGCTGTCAGCACTCGCCGGCTCCGACATATCCGTCACCGTCGCACTCCCAAATGAGGATTTCTCAATTGCTTCCTCCAGCCAATCATTTACCGACTCATGGGTCCAATCCAATATCCTTGATTACTATTCCAAAAATCATAATTTTCTAATTTTTTGGCTGAATCATTTCTTCCTCTTGCTCATCGTCGGTGAGTTTTCCTCATTTATTGTTGTTCTGCCTCGTCAATTTTGGAGCTCTAAAACACCAATCTATACATCCATCTATCTCTAATCAAGTACATTTAAATAATGTTCACTCAACACCATCACATAAAACACGAAATACTCATCAAAGCTCATACAGATCATATATCATCATCATAGTAAATAGAATTATACCAGGAATCGAAGATCTAAACTGCAATAAATGCTAGGGTTTGGAAATCTTAAAGAAGAAGTTTTTGTATATCTGAAAGGAGGAGTTCTGTATATTCATTCGTTTCTATATATTGCCTCTTTTTCTATATACACTTTTAGTACTGAATTATTTACAGACTATAAACTAACACACTCTAATCTAATGATTAACAATCGACTAATTACACACTAATGAACATAAATTGACGGCTGGATCTTGTGCATCAAGATGATCTCCTGGATTGATAACATGGATCACAGTCTTGTTTCCAGTATCTTTCATGTGGCTGAGGTCGATTACAGTTGGCAGCATCAAAGAGCTTGTGTGACTCAGGACCACTTACCGCTGTGGATGATTCCGTAAGCATGTGTATAGCTGATGACTCAAATCTAGTACAGGCAGCCTTATGGTTATTGTGCCGTTCCTGAGGTGAATCAAAATCTTCCAGATTATATAACACACCCCCCCTGCAAAATGAGAGTGGATCAAACTTCTTGGACAAGATGAAATGAAACTGTGGAGCTCCAAGGGACTTGGTGAAAATGTCTGCAAGCTGAGAAGAACTGGAAATGTGTTCAGGATCAATGAACCCTTCCTTGTACTTATCTCTAACCACATGACAGTCCACTTCCAAGTGTTTAGTTCTCTCATGAAAAACTGGATTGGCAGTGATATATAATGTTGCTTGGTTATCACACCAAAAAGGTGTAGGCAATGTCAAAGGAATCTGAAAATCCTGCAATAAGTATAAAATCCATTGTAGTTCTCTAGCAGTGGTAGCCATGGCCCTGTATTCAGCTTTAGCTGATGAACAAGATATGGTGGATTGCTTCTTTGCTTTCTAGGAAATGAGGCTGCTTCCCAAGAAGATACAATAGCCGGTAATGGAATGTCTGGATGATCTACAACTTTCATAATCTGCATCACTATAGGCTGTGAGATGAAGATCAGTGTTTTTGGCATAGAACAAACTAAGAGAGATGCAACCACTGAGATACTTGAGTACGTGAAGTGTAGCTTGCCAGTGTGATTCATGAGGAGAATGCACAAACTAACTTAGCTACTGTACTGAGTAGGTTAATTCAAGTCTGCTAAAATTCAAATAGAGTTGTCTCCCAATAAGTTTTCTGTATTTCTCTGGATCAGCTAGCAAAGGAGTATCATCTTTATCCAGTGATTCAAACCTGAGGTCCCTAGGTAGAGGAGTAGTAGCAGGAACACAATCCAGCATGTTGGCATCTTTCAGGAAATCAGTGATATATTTTTGTTGTTGAATGATCAAACCATCGGGTGTTTGGTAAAACTCCATTCCCAAGAAATAGATGGCCTCTCCCAGATCTTTTATTGTAAAAGCCTTATCAAGGAAAACTTTCACCTTCTGCATTTCCTGATCATCATTCCCTGTCAGCAGTACGTCATCTACATATACCAAAAGGAGAGCAGACTGTTTTCTTTTTTAAGAATGAACAAACAATTGTCATTATATGACAAAAAACCATAATGTTATAACTGAGTGATGAATTATTCCATTGTCTTGAAGCCTGTTTAAGCCCATACAAAGACTTCCTCATCTTATAAACCTGCCCTGGCAATGCTTTGGTATATCACTGAGGAGGTATCATATAGGCATCTTCTTCCAAAAAAACCATTATTAACATCCATTTGACAATGTCTAGGATTTTGAAGCTCCAAGAGCTAACATTAACCTTACTGTCACTGACTTAGCCACAGGAGAGAAAACTTCAAAGAAATCTTCTCCTTCCACCTGATTGTATCCCTTAGCCACCAAACGGGCTCTATATTTATCTATTGTACCATCCTGCTTGCATTTAATCTTATACACCCATTTAGACCCTATGGCTTTCTTTCCTTTAGGCAAAGTTCTAAGATCCCAGGTTCCATTCTTCTCTAAAGCAAGCAACTCTTGATCCATTACATTAACCCACCTATGATCTGTCCTAGCTTAATTATATGTTATTGGCTCTTGAATGCTAGATAAATGTGCTAAAAATTCATGATGTGGAAGGACACAAGCAGAACTAGAGGAAGATGCATCTAGTGGAACTTGTGACCTGATTGATTTAGTAGTTTCAAAATCTTTCAGATAAGAGGGTGGTTGTTTGACTGTGTACTTCTTATAGGTTCACAAACAACATCAGTGGGATACTGTAGAAGGGAATTTGATGGACTAGGAATAGTATGTAATTCTGACAATGGTTCTGATGAAGGGGAGACTGAAATGTGTGTATTTGAATCAAGAATATCAAACTCAGTGCTGGAATGAGTATGTGAAGTTGCAGGATCTAGTTGAGAAAAAAAGAGGGATCAGGTTCTCCTATAGTAACTTGTGGTAAAAGTAATTGATTAGGAAGTTTCTGATCAGAAGGGAAAATATCTTCATAAAAAAGAACATCTCTAGAGATGATGGTCTTATGTAAAGAAGAACAGTACACCTTATATCCTTTCTGAGTATAAGGATATCCTAGAAAAATTCCTTTATAAGATCTGGGATCCAATTTGTCCCTTTGTGAACTAGTATTGACTGCAAAGACTAAGCATCCAAATACTCTCAAATTACTAAGATCTGGTGGTTTTCCATATAAGAGTTCATAAGGGGATTTCCAATGAAGGATTTCACTAGGCGGTCTGTTTATCAAGTATGTAGCAGTTAACACAGAATCACCTCAAAAGGACTTTGGCAGTTTGGACTGAATTAATAAGGCTCTTGCTACTTATAGAAGATGTCTATGTTTTCTTTCAGCAACTCCATTTTGCTGAGGGGTATATGGACTGCTGGTTTAATGTATAATTCCTAAAGTAGAAGTAAGATTTGACAAAGAGTGATTTAAAAACTCACTGCCATTATCTGTTCTGATGATTTTGATATGAGCCTGAAACTAGTTTTTGATCAAATGGATGAAGTGTTCTATTAAAGTAGACACTTATGATTTGTGTTTAAACAGGAAAATCCAAGTACATCGACTGTAGTCATCAACTATGATCAAGAAATAATGACAATACCCCAAAGTAGACTGACTATATGGTCCCCATACATCCATATGCAACAATTCAAAAATTTTATTACTTTAAATAGAACTCTGAGGAAATACAAGTCTGGTTTGCTTGGCCAGTGGGCAATATTCACATTTGTGAGCTAAAAAAACTGCCTTATTACACTCAGAAAGATGTTTCATTACATTCTCAGAAGGGTGACCTAATCTGATATCCATTACATCAAAAGGAACTACTGATAAAGCTTGTGATGAAACTGATTGAGGTGTAGAGATGGCAACGGGATTTCTGATATGAATCATGTAGGCTGTAAATTGAGCTTGAGATTGTTAGATGGCTTATGTGGTAAAGGAATGATGATCTAGGATGTATAATTCTTTGATGACTCTTCCTGCTGCTAGAACCTTGTTGGTTTTAAGGTCCTGTAGCATACAACAATCATCAAAGAATTTAAAACATAGATGGTTTACTTTGGCTAGTTGCCTAATAGAGAGCAAGTTATATTTGTAGTTTGGTAAGTGAAACAAGTATAAAGTGTAACTGTTTGTGAGAGAACAACATCACCAATATGTGAGACTGAACTAATGCTACCATCAGGCAACCAAACAAGAGTGAAATTGTCTACTGGTTTAGTATTTGTCATGAGTATAAGGTCTATGCACATATGCGTAGTTGCACCACTATCAGACACCCAAGAGCCAGGTTTAATACAATCAAGAGACAAATCATTAAGTTTAGTTAAGCATGAAGTACCTGCAAATGCATCAAAGTGTGCAAAATTGACTCCTGTAACACTGCCATTCCCTTCTGTTGGCATTTTTCCTTTGAGCATCCTCCCAACTTCCCTTTGAACAGCATTTGATATCACAAGTTGCAAGTCTCCTGATTCTCCATGTTGTTCCTGGTCCAAGGGGGTGTTTCCAATTGACACCAAATTTGCTGTGTTTCCAGCTGAAAATGAACTTCCTGGTCCTGATTTTTGTTGCAGTTTCTTCTTGTATTCATCCCACCACTCTGGCATTCCACGTAACTTGCAGCACTCTTCCTTGGTATGCTTATGCTTATGACAGTGTGTACAATACAGATTGCTCTCATCTCTTTTCTGATATCCTGATGACTTGGTAACTGTTGTCTGGTTTCCACGACTCTTTTTCCAGTCTGGTACCTTTACAATCATGGCTGAATTCTCTAGTGGCAATGTCATGTTGATACTCACTTGCCTGTGTTTTTCTGCTGTAAGTATCATATTGTATATGTGATTCACTGGAGGTAATGGATCGATGAACAATTATGTTGCTCCTTTCCCTTTCATATACGTCATTCAAACCCATCAAGAATTGCATTCTCTTGTCCTCTGAATCTCTTGCAATCACCCATTCACCCAACTCACTATTCTCCACTGGTATTGATCTCAATTGTGCAAATTGATCCCACAGTTGCTTCAATTTTCTATAGTATGCAGCTACAGATGATTTCCCTTGTCTGGTTAGAGCAATATCTCGCTTGATCTCAAATAGTTGGGGCAGATTTGTGGTTCCACACTATTGAAAAATAATCCATAAAGTTCTTGCATCATATATGAAGGCAAAAGTGTTAGTTATTTCTGGTGACATTGCGCTTTTGGTCCAAGAACACACCAAGCTGTTCGCCTGTTTCCATCGAACAAATTATGGTGAATTCATCACTGGTTTAGCCAAGCTCCCTGTCACAAGTCCATCCTTCATTTTCTATTCCAGCGCTGAAAGCATAGCACCTTTCCAAATCAAATAATTCCTTTCATTGAGCAACACAGAAATCAGTGGTGTTCCTGGATTTTCCGATCCATGAACCATCAGTTGAGCATCAATTAAAGCCTCCATATCTCTCTGTTCATCTCGAGCAATCAGATTTTCAAGACGATTCTGAAATTCATCCATATCTTTCCGTTAATCTTCTCAATTATCCAATCTTTACACAAGAATGTCTCTAAAAATCAGAATAAAGGAAGTAATTGAACTAAGGATGAAGAATAAGGATTCACGATCAAGAAAAAAAAATGGAAAAGAATCGTAGCGGAATTCAGAACAGGATCTATCCTGCTCTAATACCATCATACAGATCATATATCATCATAGTAAACGAAATTATACCAGGATTCGAAGATCAAAACTGCAATAAATGCTAGGGTTTGGAAATCTTGAAGAAGAAATTTTTGTATATTTGAAAGGAGGAGTTCTATATATTCATTCGTATATTCTATACATTGCCTCTTTCTATATATACAATTCTAGTACTAAATTATTTACAGACTATAAACTAACACACTCTAATCTAATGGTTAACAATAAACTAATTACACACTAATGAACATAAATTGACGGTTGGGTCCTGTGCATCAAGATGATCTTCTGGATTGATGACATGGATCACAATCTTGTTTCCAGTATCTTTCGCGTTGCTGAGGTCGATTACAGTTGGCAGCATCAAAGAGCTTGTGTGACTCAGGACCACTTGCTGCTGTGGATGAGTCTGGAAGCATGTGTATAATTGATGACTCAAATCCAGTACATGCAGCCTTATGGTTATTGTGCTGTTCTTGAGGTGAATCAGAATCTTCCAGATTCTGTAACAAAACCCAAACCCTAAACCTAAACCCTAAAACAAAACCCAAATCAGAATCTTTCATAATTGAATTCAAAAATACTTTTAATTAATTTAATTATTATTTAATTATTATTGTATTTCTTAATTACTGGAAAATCAAAAGCCCGGCTAAAAGATAAAAATATCCTGCATTTTGACGGTCAATTGGACGGAAAATTGACTTGGGACGTAAATAGTCGAAAATTCGTATTTTTTTAGATGAAATGGGACAAAAATGAACGTTTTAAAATGTATGGAATGAAAATGATTTTTTGTCCAAATGTACGAGACGTTTTCTGGGTTTAATCAAAACAAAAAGGATAATTTCTCTGGATGGATGTGGAGGGGCAGAATAAGTAAATACTCAATTTTTCAAGGTGCGATTCGCAATATTCAAACTAATTTCTGGGAGAGATGCCCAATCATGAAACTGTCTGTGACAATTGACAACTGACAATTAAACTGCAGACAAACGGCCCGGCAGGAGGAAAAAAACCACCCCACCAGAAAATGGAAGAAGCAACTCCGGCAGCCACCGACAACCAGTCGTACTGGCTCCGTTGGCAAGTCCCAGTTTGTGCACTCATCTTCATTCTCCCTGCGCTGGTGTCTGTGACTCTGATCATCAACAGAAACAGAAGAATCAAAGCACCTCTGGGTCCATCCAATTCCATCCCCACACATCACCACCTCTGGGTCCCCTGCTGGAGGTTCCTACATCCCAGGTGGCTGCTCATTTACAGGGCTCTGGCTTTCTTCACCATGGCAGCCATGCTCTATCAGTTTATCATCACTTTGGGCCTATTCACTTTTTTCTTCTACACTCAGTCAGTTCCATTTTATTCCTCCCTATTCAATTTTCATTAAAGATTCAATCTTTAACTCCCAATTCAATTATAATTATTACTCTATGTTATGTGGGTTTTTTTTTCCTTTCCCCCATGTAGGTGGACGTTTACCTTGGTGATAGTTTACTTCGGAGTATGTGAAATTTTTTGAATTTGCTAATCTTCTCTGATTGATTTGATTTATGCATGGAACTCTGCAATCGCTATTGCTCTTTTAGTTGTAAGTTTTCTCATCTTTATGTAGCTCGGCACCTTAGTTTCTGTCCATGGATGCTGGACCCTCTCAGCAAAATCCAGTGAGAGTGGAGAACAAGCTGACAAGGCTATCAGGTTCTGGGGCAATCTCATGGAACATATATATCAGGTTCACTTTTTTTTCTCGGCAAGTTGGAATCATTTCTCGCCGAAAATGAAAGCTTTCTTAGGGCAATGTGAGTTTCTTGTTGATTTGGACTTTTTGGTTGAGCATTTGTTCGGGCTCGAACTGCACTTGTACTGCAAGCTGCAGAACTTGGATTTGTCATTTTGTGAATATATCTCCAATGTTGTAAAAGTTTCAAGCTAGTTGTAATATGGTGGCACCTCGCCCGCTCGATATCAGATCATGCTTATGGTTTGGAGGGATTTGACAGGGAGCCGGAATAGCAATGTTTCCTTTTAATGAATGTTCTCGTTGTGATAACATGTCATGGAAATTCCAAATCTTAGAGCCACTTTTCAGGCTTTTGCCTGTGATGATGGCGTTTATAAACAATTTGCGCCTCATTGAACCTTACTGATTTATTGTAAAAGGGTTTGCTTTAACTTTCTCTATCCACTTGGTCACATATTTGTTTGAACAGGCTTGTGCAGGGGCAGTTATGCTAACAGATATTGTGTTTTGGTGCCTTTTAGTCCCATTTATGTTGAATGAAGAATTTCAACTCACTCTGGTGGGTACCGACTTGTTGCATTCCCTTTTTGGGCTCTTGAATGTATTTGTATTCCTTTATTGATCATTGTTGTTCATGATATGTCGAAAGATCTTTAATTGTTGTTTTCTCCTTGATATTTTGCAGTTGATTGCATTCATGCATTCTATTAATGCGGTTTTTCTCATCCTTGATTCCTTTCTGAACAGCATTGTAAGTAATTTATTACAGTTTCCCTCAATCTATACAATCTTCTGTTTCCCAATATGCGGAGCTAGATTTGAGAGCTAATTGAAAAGGTTTTCGATTGGCTTCTAGCCGTTCCCATGGTTTGGCCTTGTATACTTTGTCCTGTGGAGCTGCTCATATATTATTTTCCAGTGGGCTCTTCATCTATGTTGTGTAGCGTGGTAAGTTACAGTTGTTGCTCACTCTCTTCTTTCAGGCCAGAATAGTTGTTTCTAGCGTAATAAATATATCCTTACAGGTGGCCATATCCGTTCCTTGATCTCTCCAACCCATGGGCGCCGATGTGGTAAGTGGTAACTCCCTTTTGCAACTTCTTTTCTCGTCCACTTATAACAACTTAGCCGTTGTCCTATTATGTGGACGCCCTATTTCCTCGTAAAACCAAAGAAAGTTTACAACAAGTAGAGACTTTCTGAATTATGTCAGGTATTTGGCGATGGCGTTGATTCACATTCCCTGCTATGGATTATACATGCTGATTGTGAAAGCCAAAGATTTCATTTGTTCAAGATTGTTTTCTGACTCTTATAAGAGGTTGGTTTCTTGTCTGGCCGTCTGTATCTTGAAATGTGGAAGAATTTACTCATTAGTGAAGGGAATTTGTAGATAATGCAGAAGTAATCAAGTTAAGTAGATAACCAACATTATGTTCGGAGAGAAACCTAATAAAAAATTGACTCTTGAATAAATGGCAGGATTTCATCGGACAAGAAGCAGCCCTAGATGTCATCATCCCTGATATTTTGTTTGTTTCCGGTTCTCCGTGTATTTTGTGTGTGAAGGAAGAAACAGTGATTCCTTTGTTCTCACTTCTCATGGGGAGAACGAAAGATGTTTTAGGAGAAATTCAAGCATGTTGGTGTTGGCGTGTTGCAGTTGCAGACAGGATAGACAAGCAGGTTATTCGAACTGTTAAAGGAAGTACATGTTATGTGTAAGTATAATAAAATGGCATAGATGAGGTATATTTAGATAAATTATGGGTGCCAAGAATTTTATCCATCAAAGTGTATGGCATGTGTAGTATAAAACACTTGGGAAAAAAAGAGTCATTAGAAACATCATTCTCTCTCTCTCTTTTTTTTTTTTTTTTTTTTGTATGTAGAAGATGTGGTTCCGTCTGTTGCTGTGTTTGTGCGTGCACAACTAAAGTTTGATGATCTCTTTTAATTCGAAAGATGTTTAATTCTGCATTACAATGTACTTTCTTCTTCCCGGAAAAATAATCCAATTTGGAAAACTAAAATTTTTGACAAGGAAGACCATATTATTACTATTGGTACATTTAAGTACCAATTGCAATATGCTGAAGACTGAAGTCAACTCTGGCCTTCCCTAACCCTTCCCGGGACACAGAGAACGAATTTGATGCAAACAAAGGTCATAGTCATCTACCAAAATGCCCTTTAAAACCAAGGTCATATTAGCCACTACAAGGACAAACAAATGACACACCATTGCATTTACTCATCCAACACGAGGTCTGTTTTCTTTTTCCTGGCTAAATATACCAAAACATCATCAAACGATCACCACCAAATGGAGAACAGAAACTATTATGCCTTTATACTGTACTTGGGTCAAAACCCCGAGTGCAAATCTTTGTCTTTAAACTGTAGGAAAATGACCTGAAATGGTAAAGTCACTTAACCCACGTTTTGTAAGTTCCGTGCTGTCACCTAACCGACACCAATGATAATAAACCAAAGAAGAGTGCTAATGCATTCAAAGATTGGATAAAGCAAACAGCTCACTTTTGTTTGAGAGATCAAGCGGGCCGTAACTCATGATGATGTTCATAATCATGGCCTCTAATTCTGATTGCAATAATGCACCGTTTTGAAAAATGTTCAAAAAAAGAAATAGTGTTGAATGTATTCTGGCCACTGCTTTTCCGCCCCTCTCCAAATAAGAACATAGCAATTATTCTCAGTGATCCGTGAAACGAAAAAGAAGAAACTTTTATCACAAAAGGGTTCTTTAAGTCTGTTAAGCTCTTCATTGTATATTTCATTATTGATGGATGATAATTTTTTAGCTCACAATTGCTGGATGTCCATTCCTTTGTGCTCCCTCTCCCATTCAACTCGTAATTGACATACCCCCCGCTGACCTAATCATGGGATGGGTCACTGCGATGGGAAAATAAAAAAAAACATATGTCATTTGGCCGTTCATTGATCGATCACTGAGGACTGAGGAGCATTGCCAAGGTAAGAGACTAAGAGTTGTTGCTATGCGCTTGAAGGTGGTTCGACCTGCATGCTTATACATATCATTAATTCACGCCTTTTGACGGCTCAAGAGGTTTTGATTCATTGTTGCAGTTCCCTGCGACCCAAGTCTGAAAATGATTTCTTTGTTATAAATGCCACGATACTGAACATAGCAATAAGAGCAAAGGCGCAACATTGAAGAATGGATATTTAGTTTTCAAACATATATACTCGATACGTGACCGTTGTGAATCGGTTATGTTACAGTGTAACTGGCTTGATATGATGAGCAAGTGGAAGCGTTTTAATTCCACTTTCACAAACATATCACAGCGGAGAATGACAATTACACGAGGGTGAGCCTCCGTGTATGGGTGGAAACAAAAAAGCTGATTTAAGTCGAAAAGCAGCTTCATGAGCTTCCCTTTACCCGGGAAAACATTACATGCTGAAGCTTATCGAGCCAAGCTACATTACAGAATCTATATAAACATTACACATTATTGACATTTGAGCCTCAAACACATAGAAACCGTGACTAAAACAAGCAGAAGCTAGGATCAAATGCATGCTTTTAGCCTATACTAATAATAATAATAATAGTGATCACTCCATTATCAATCAAGTTGCAGAATTAATTATGGGGACTCTTGATCCCCAAATGAGATGGTTTTATTATTTCTCCAGTCCTAGGACTAAATGCCCCTCCTCCTCCTCTTAAGGGACTACTTTGTTGTTGCTGCTGCTCTCCTCTTAGTCTACTGATTTGAGGGCTGCTGTATGTTGGTTTGTCTGAGTAAGATGTTCTTGGACTCTGGATGAGTGATCTGTGTGGATCTTTTGCTGGGGTGGTTGGCGTGGAGCTCGTCATTTTTGAGCTGCATGTCCTTCTGATCTCACCTCTGCTTCTCGTGATCATCTCATCTAATATCTCTGCACCGCTATCTGCACACGAAGCTCTACCACCTACCATTTCTCCTTCCTGTTGTGTGTTGCATTTATGTCATTAGGCCAACACTAGAGAAACAAAAATTTGCTCACAAACGACTAAACTCAACTGACGCCACATTTACATGACAGACTAACTTATAGAATGCACCCATCATTTGCCACTGAAAACGTCATATCTGAATTTGAAGTTACTACTTATACACTATGATGACAGTCAAACTAAAACCTTTGTGCCTTCAAGTTCAACCTTGTTTTATTCATGCTTTTTGTATAGCTAGTATATGTAGAATTTAGTTTTAGTCTGGTATCCTTAGGTATAGTTAAGACAGGTTCAAATTAGGTAAAACGCATTATTATCCCCTTTTGTGGTGCTGTTCGGAAGCTAAAAAATTGAACCAAGCTTATCTCTTCTTCTAGCCTCTAAAATATACCAATGGAAAACAAACATTGTTCTAAACACATTTTCTAAGGGAAGATTAGTGTCCTACCATTGTGTAGTTGATTGGAACAGCTACAGTTTCCTCGTATTCTGCTGCATCTAAGTCCTGAAGGTGTGCTCCCTTGAAAAACTTTGGCAATATGTACTGTCTCACAGGAACCAGGAGCATAATCAACAAAGGGAAAAGAACCCCGGCGATTGGCACCCATGTTATACCAAAACAAGCGAGCAAGTAGGCAGTCTGGAAGATGGTGAATGTTGCAATTGTCTTGAATGGCACCGTCTCTACAAATGTAGCATGATAGTCTTCCAACACCCTAACATATACATGTAAACATGCATTGAGACACTATTAATACAAGGAAGTGTTGAAGATGAGATTCTTGGAGATTAGGTTGGAAAATTTACTTGTAGCGCCTGCTTGGGGCAGTGAAAAGGAGTAGTATTCTTTCCCAGAACTGGTTACCAGGTAGACTTTCAATGGCCATGAAAGCAAAGTAACCCCAGAGGACTGAGGTTGGAATCATTCTCAGGCCAGGCATTGCAGCAACGCATCCTCCTACCATAATAGCTTGAAGAAAATTACTAACACGCTGCTCTTTCACTTCAATAGGTAACAGATCATCAATTTCCTTCTCAACATCAAACACTGTCTCATCGACTGGGGCATCGATGTGTTGTCCCATGCCTGATGCCAATTGAATGGTGGACTCTTTTAGCTCATTCAATCCCTAATCAAAACATTAAAATGCTAGTTAACACTATTTATAGCTACTTCTAACTAAGATTGTACTAGACTATTAGTGTACTGTACCCGAGCTGAGGATTGCTGGTAAATTAAAGGAGTCTGCATTTGTTGATATGCTTCTTGCATATTTCCATACAGTTGTCCCAAGCTTGAATTTTTTCTCATACTCTGCCTGGCCGTGGCAACAAGCCGGTTTCTAAGCAGCTGTAACTCAATTGTATGATACTTCATTAGTGGGAAAATTTGAAGGAACCAAAGGAATGCAGAAACTATAAAAACTCAATGTTCTGCAGAAAATTGACAGAAAAAGAAAAAGAAGAAAAAAAAAAAAGGCAGAAAAAAGATTCAGACCTGGTGTTTAAGAGTAGCAAGACTCTTAGTATGCATTGGTGACTGTGGAATGACACCATTCGAAGGTGGGATACCGAGTAGGCCGCACATTAATGTCTGAACATCAGTAGTTTGAAATGATCAGGAGGGGTACAGGCTAATTTTTAAATTAGGATTAAGACTGATGATCAAGTTAGAGAACTTTAAAGGACAGTGATCGATCAAGTTGGATAAATAACTACCAAGAATCCCAAAAGCAGTAAATCATAATGGAAAGAAGGCGGCTTTCGCAAGTTGAACTCTTTTTGCTGAGCAAGTTGAGACGCCACGCTGTGATCGAAATAGTACAGCACCGCAATCATTGTTGCTGGAATGAATGCTCCGAATATGTAGATTACAGGCACATCAAGCATTTCCTGCGAATTTTATAGATGAATGAAATCATCAACTATATCCACTGATGTGGAGGTTAAAAAACATAGCCGTCAAAGGTTTGTTAAAGATGATTAGCATGCCTTGATGACAGTCCAATTCTGGTAGGCGCCGGGCGACCAAGGATTGGGGCTTAAGAGTCGTCGAGGAATCCCTGGTGGAACACTTGCAGCTGGAATGTAGGAAATGGCTGTCCAGGCTAGAACCATAAGTGGCACTCCATAGTCAGCTACAAGGCTTCTAAGCCATCCTGTAAGTAAGGTCGTCAAACAACTCAGACTTGTTTAGAAAGCGGAATGAGCTAAAGCTATAAGCTTACAATGTGAGATAGATTTCCGGGAAGGAAAAAAAAAATGTCAAAATATGATCTTAGATTACCAGTGCCATATCTCCAAGACCTAGCTTTTCGGCTTTTCAATGCAGTCAATAAGAGGCCAAACGACAAAACCAAGGCAAACATCCCATTAGCAAACCTCCATGAAGGAATGAACTCTATGGAATTCTTATCCTCTCGCTTTGGCACGCGAAACTCTTCCACAAGTCCCTGCAACAGGGAAACAGAACCGTTTAGTACCAATTAGTGATATTAGAATATTGAGAAAATTCGGGAAGAATATTGAGATATTAGAATTGGTTAAAATATGCACCTTGATGGCTTGCTGCATGAAGAGCATTGCAATCAGCATTCCAAATAATTCACCGGCCACACGAGTGAACCTGTTGATAATGGAACAGGCTCCTAACACGGCCAATATGAAGAGCAGGATTGCTGTCCAGACACACACCCTGAAGGATTCCAAATACATCAGACCAGATGAATCAATCAGGTGAGATAATATCATGGAAATAGATATATAAACGTTAGGAAAATGGCTCACCAGCCGGTCCACGCGAGAAACAGATTGGGACCCAAATCAGGTCTTTGTTTGGCAAAGTTGAACATGAAGGTGTACATAATCACGGTAGGCTCTGCAACTCCAAGTATCAGCAAAGGTTGGCCTCCTATTATAGAGTGTATGATACCGCATAGCGCAGTGGAAGCCAGCGTTTGAACGGCCGTGAGAACTCCATCTGAAATTCAGGAGTATTGGTTTTGATCCATTCATTAATCAAGAAATCATATACGTACTACTACACACACAGGAAGTAACAATTTATTGATAGAGATTAGAGAATTAAGGTTGTGGTGTGGACATCTCCATTTCATTTGATGGTTCTATCCTCATGAAGCCTTGAAATACCAAAGCAAAGAAAAGAAAAGAAAAAAAAATGCATATTGGAAAAATGTAGAACACAAAAGGAAGGCTGGGAAAAGTGACCTGTGTTTCTTTCAAGCTGTTCACCAAAGGAGATGACTGGAATAGCTGAGGCAAAGAATATGTAGGTGGTGGGTGCCAATATCCTGATCAGGAACGAGGTACCAACCAAAAGTTACAGATATTAATAAGGTGAAATTTATGTATTTCCAAAAAAATGCGTGGGATCATCAATCTTGTTTTGGGAATAAAGAAAACTGGAAAAGGAACAAAAGAAAATCAGGTAATACCTGAAACCAGCACTGAAGCCACCAGTCCAGTCTTGCTTGTAACAGAGCAACCTGCCTTTGAGATCATTGGTTATCCCCTGGAATGGCACGAATGTCTCTTCCATAGAATTGTAGGGATTTTGCAAATGCCTGCAGCTGAAATAGAAATTAAAGAAAGACAAGCTTGCTTTAGGCTGCAGGCGGTCGACAAAAGGACGATGGAGAAGGAAGAAAAACACATGCTACAACAAACATCATATAATCATATTTATAAAACCCTCCTAGCATTGCCCAAAAAAAGATTTCAAAAGAAAGCAAGCCTTGTAAAGGAGAGATATGAATTGAGTGCTGGAAAGCAAGGGAAAGAAGAGAAAGTAAGGAGAGAGTGGGGAGCAGGAATTACTGGGGGAGGGATCAGATCAGTTAGGAAATGAGACCTGCCTCTGTCCAAATCCAATCCAAAAGTTCATACACCTAACATAGTTAATTGAGCTAATCAAAATGCTTGGGGAGGGAAGGTGTGAAAACAAGGTTTGGAGAAGCTGGAAGAGATCCAGCAGTATATATAATGATAATGGCAATGGAGTGTTTGTTATAAAGTTGGTATATATTTTTAGATGTACAGTAATCCCTCTGGTCCTTAATATAAGGTATTTTGATTTTGTCATAGGTTTCACCTAATATGCATTTATAATTAACGAAAAAACCTTAAAAATATGTTTTCACGTTCATTGTATTCTCGATTGTTATAAAACATTTTTAAAGTTTTTTTATCAATTAAAAATATATATTAGATTAATTTATGACAAATCAAAATGACTTATATTAAAAACTAAAGGGAGTATTTTAAATTCATGTATACACATGGAGTTTTTGTCATGCTGCTCTCTCCAATGAAAAACAAAGAGAGAAGAATGAGAGTTTTGCACAAAAAGAGAAGCTGTTGGTCAAATGAATATGGCTCCTACCAGTTACAACACACGCACAGGAATATACTCCACACTATATATACTGGTCTAGTAGTAGTAGTATATAAATTGAAAAGGAAGAGAATATTGTGACATAGTTTACACACATTCTTTTGACATAGTTTACACACAAATCTTTTGATCAGCTCTCTCACTCATCGAGATGTCTATGATGAACGAAAGAGATTAGTCATTTTTGTGAGAGGTGAAGACTTGAAAAAAAAAATTAAAAAAAAAAAAGTAAGGAGGAGGAAGGACTGAGGGAGAAAGAGTACGCAGACACAAGTTAGTAGGACGTAGTACGTAGTACACGGGGTGCGTTGAACTTTACGCTAGTTGACTGTCATCCCGCTGTACAAACTGCTGACTACACAACACAGTAACACTGCAGCCTAGTAATTTGTTTATTACTTCATTATCATATTTGAATGGCGGTGTCGATATTTTTTAATCTTCCTATCGTCATGATAATTGAATAAACAATCACAAGGATATCTTTCTTACTCTGGGGAAAGGATTACAATTTTACTACTACAAAAATAATCATTTCCTGGTTTGCGTTGAGGGAGAAATGACGGTTTCCAATGTGCTAGCTGTCCTCTCTCTCCAATGTGTAGTCTTCCTATAGTAATTTCTTTGTTCAAAAATGATTCTTTTGTTTTAACTTTTAACTTTCATTTCTAATATATAGTTTATACTAAAACAAATAAATTTAAAACGGAACAAGTACTCCCTCTAGTTCTTAATATAAAACATTTTAATTTGTCTTAAGTTTCACCTAATATGTTTTTTTAATTGACAAAGAAATCTTAAAAACATATTTTCACATTCGTTATGTTTTCTTGATTGTTATGAAATATTTTTAAGGTTTTTTCGTCAGTTAAAAATACGTATTAAGTTAAAAGTAAGACGAATCAAAATGACTTACATTAAGGACATGAGAGAGTATATATTAATTTGGGACGAGGAAATAGTATTCTCTCCATCCCAAATTATTTCGAGTTTGTATGTTTAGTTTTAGTTCAAACCAAAATTATTATCCAGTTTGTATTATCTAGTTTTAGGGATAATTTTGAGATGGAAAGAGTACTATTTTAACATGGAACATAATAGTCCAGATACTCGAGACTGAGTAGAATAACTATGACAGCGAATTGCAGCATCAGTTTCAAGTTTCAACATTGAGTCCGGCCTTCTTTGGGAGCCTGCATTCGAAATCCTTGAGTCCTAATTTCTCCCCCAGTTCATTCGTTCTTTCTTTACTTTTTCTATGCATATTTGCATGTTCCATTTCTCCGTTCCTAATTATTTTACTCCTTTTCTCTTGAAAAAAAAAAGAAAAAAGCAAACTAAAAACTAATCTATTGAACGAACTAAAAGAACAATTAACAATACAACTCCCACACTACATGGTGATAATTGATAATTTGATATACCTACCTCCTCCTTACCAGCTTGTAATTACTTTATTAGAATCTTCATTTGCTTGACAACAATAAATCAATAATACTGTACTAATACTAATAATGAATGAATTAATGCAGGCGGTCAAGGACACTTCGGTTTAAAGATTTCATCATCAATTCAACCCAGCCCCAAAAGTCTCCCGCAAACACTTCTTTTTTTTTTTTTTTCCTTTTGTTATTTAAAATGCAATTTCATATGCATTCAACGAATCATGCATGATGGAAAACGAAAAGCTGAAGATACAAGGAATCATCAACTGGGCCTCTGCCTTTTTCTTATCGTTCATTAAAAAAGGTCAACTGGATTAGAGTATTATATTTCGCCTAGGTTTATTTGAGGGATTGACAGATCGGTTTGCGGTGCCTGCAACTTCATTATTGTTTCGGTATACGACTCCATCATCAATCCCTCATTCCAGTAGTACTATACATGTCCCATCTCATCCCATTTAAATACTCCCTCCCATCCTAATTATGAGCCATTTTGATTTCGTCATATATTTAAACTATGATATATTTTTAATTAGAAAAAAAAATTTAAAAAATATATTTTAACATTCGTTGTGTTTTCATAATTATTATGAAATATTTTTAAGGTTTTTATTCTAATATGACTAAAATGTCCAAATGGTCCCTTACGTTTGGGCATACTTTAATTTACGTCCCTAACTTTAACATTTCAATATCGTAGTTTCAAACATTATGTTCTCAAACTTTTTTGGTCCCATTTCACTGTTTCCGGCCGTTGACATGCCGAAATCAGGAGTATTTTTGTCATTTAATTTAATTTGAATTTTTATTAAAATTTAAATTATTAAAAATATTTTAAAATTCATATTTTATTATTTAGTTGTTAAAATATTATTTATTAATTAAAAATATTATAATAAAAATTTTAAAATTTAAATTATTTTTAAAACTAATTTTTTCATTTATCATTTACCTCGTATCAAAGTAAATAGTAATTATGTTACACTTTTAACATTGGATTCACTGTAACTTAAAAAATTCACCGAGTTACAGTAAATAATTCAAAATTCAATTTCTTTAAAAAAAAAAAAAAAACTATTTTTTTTTAACTCTGACCGCTACAGTAAACCCTAAATGGTAATTATGTTGCACTTTTAACCTTAGACCCACTATAATTTAAAAAATTTACCGAGTTATAGTAAATAATTCAAAATTCATTTTTTTTTTAAAAAAAAAAGAAAAAGCAAAACCAAGATTTTTTTTTACTTTGACCACTACAGAGAGAATCTAAAGAGAAGAAATATTTTTAATTAATAAATAATATTTTAACAATTAAATAATAAAATTTGAATTTTAAAATAATTTTAATGATTTAAATTTTAATAAAAATTCAAATTAAATTAAAAGACAAAAATACCTCTGATTCCGGAATGTCAACGGCCGGAAACAGTGAAATTGGACCAAAAAAGTGTAAAAACATAATATTTGAGACTACGATATTGAAATGTTAATGTTAAGGACGTAAATTCAAGTAGGCCAAAATGTAAGAGACAATTTGTACATTTTAGTCTTCTAGTATTGTGTCCAGCTAGATGCACAGCTTTTTGTATTTGGTTTAGTAGTACTGAGTACAAGTCGGAAGTAGCAACGAAACTTCGTACTATACAGATCAATCAATATTTATTATTTAGGAGTTTTGATTTATTTTAATATTCTTTCCTCAACTACGTAATAATTTTATACTGCGCAGAGTTGCAATCCAATCATTTTGTCTCTTCAAACCAAAAAGGAAAACTAGTAATGAAAAAAGAAAAAAGACAAACAACTCATTCCTACTGTGTCCTCCTTATTGGAAAGAAAAAAGAAAACTAGTAATGAGACCTGAAATGATGATGATGATTAAATTGCAATTGGCATTCGGGGTAGGGCTTTTTCGGGTTTAAGGGAAAATCACCAAACATGTGTCATCGCGATTAGACTTTAGAGATTATTGATTGGATCTTATTTTGTTGTAAGCGACAAAAAATACAGTTGACCAAATGTGTGCCTCAGATTCCATGCCATCATTCTTCATTATCACCCCCAGCCTCAGTCGTTTAGTAGGAGTATATATTTTTGTCCCACCTCCCACCACCACCACCAGGTAAAAGAAAAGGTCCTCTTTTTTTTTTCTTTTTTTTTTTCACGATGATTGACACAGGTCAGGAAAATAAGAATGTACTGTTGTTTTTTTTTTTAAAAAAAAAATGATAATTCTAACGAGAATCGAACCTCAATTTCTTGGTAATAACCATCCTCCATTTTAATTCTTTAATCACCTCACCCAACTCTCCCGCCCATAATGTATTGTTGCTTTAATCGCAACAAATAATAAATATGTTTAATTAATTTGACAGCTCAAAATACATTCTATGCGGAATTTAGTTCACTCGGGGGTAAGTTCAATATCAACTCGGCTCAACCTCTTCAATCCCTTTGTGTCGGGATTGGCAGGCTGAGATCACACATGTCTTCCGGGAGTCCAATTTCGCATCGGATTACTTAGCTTTTGAAGCGACACAATATCCGATGGGATTGCATTATTTGGATGTACCACCCATCGGAACATTCTAGTTTAGATTTTCAGGCATTTCGCCTCCTCTTTTTGTACCGAAAAAAAAAAAACGTTACCAATGATTTTGGAAATAATTATTTCGATTTTTTTTTTTAAAAAAAAACAATTATATTATGGACTCTTTGTGATGATAGGTGATGTCCATAGGAAAAAGGAAACAACATTAGGACTTGTTAAATAAAACCGTGGAAATGAGGAATGAGCACAAACAATGGACATTGGACTCCTCGTTCAGTTTGGGCTGCCTACCTATGCACATGCTTACTGTATTACAAGTCCTGAATCTCCTGATCCTTCAACTTGATTGACCGTAGACGTGTTTGTGTCATCAACTTATTATACAACCAAGATCGCCATAAAACTTTCCTATCAATTTTGACTACAGCACCTCCTTCAATGGATGAATTGATTCCATCATCAACCAAATAGGAACACAAAACCAATGAAATGCGGCATTGGCTGATGATGTTAACTGATTTGTTTGTTTCATTTTTTTTTTATGGTTTCTTTAAGTTAATATATTAATATATGTCTCATTTCAGTATTCGGATTTACATTTCTAATACACCTTTTTATATTCTCAATACAAAAAAATACCTAAAAACACCCACTAAAAAACGAAACTAAGATAAGTACCCCGCCCTCCTTCTCCCTCTTTTTTCTCCTTGCTCCCCTTTTTGCATATCTATCAGAGAATATCATTCAAATCCTAGCATAGCTAGCTAGAACCACATGCGTACATATCCGCAAACCCTAGTAAAAATCAGAAATTACTCAAATAAGCATTGATATAGTAATTATTACTACTGCATTTCTTTTTCAATAAGTATGGGAATGAAATTTTACATCTTGAATAATTTTTACGAAAAAATATAAATTTTGGACAATAATTTTTAATAGAATGAATTCACATTACCATATCAAAGTTTTAACTTAACAAGAATTATGCTCGTGTGTTATACAGATTATGTTAAATACATTGTGCAAAATTATAAAATGGTTATTTCTTAAAATCAACATCATTTATTAGCCATGGTTGTGAAAATTACAATAATAGAAGTAACGATGAAAACTTAAAGAAGCTGGCTATAAATTTGGTCAAAATCACTTTCAAAAGGGGATACGGACTAAAGAATGAGCTCATGGTTGTGACGAAAGAACATAAGCGTAGGGTTGAAACAACTATAAATCTTGCATCCAGTTTCAATGTTATTGTTGTATGAAAACTTTTCATGTAATAATTTCAATGTTCTCTTTGTTTTCTACCGTTTTGTACTAGTGCCCATTGTTTTAAATAGCAGAAAAGGATAATAATGTTAGGAAGAGTTTAACTATTTAAAAATATTTCCCTCCAGTCCTTATTATAAAAATATTTTGATTTATCTTAAATTATATCATATTTTTTCAATCGAAAATAAAATCTTAAAAATATTTTTTTTTTTATTATAAATGGGAGAACTTTGAAACATTATTTACTAGTTCAATGTTTCAAGATTCTTAAAATTGGAAAAATTAATCTCATGACCCACAAAACAATAAAAGTGAGTTAGTGACTTGTCATGTACCGGGGCAAATTTGGCAAAGAGGAAAAGAATTGAGGCGGAAGAGATTGAAGAATGGATCGGGATGAGAGATTAGGGTTACATAAAATAGGGAAATTGTGAGAGAATAGAAAAGATAAGAAATGTTCCAAATCTGGAATTTGATAAATCTGATTCATCGCTTGCGTATTACATGCTTGACCAATGATATACTCTGACTAACTATCTCTAATTGCAACTTTGGTCCCTGCACTAACTATTACAATCAATTTGGTCCTAGAGCGTGACAATCCACCCCCTCGGGAAAGTCTTGTCCTCAAAACTGCCTATTACAAGAATGTTATACTGCATTACAAGGACCTAACAGACACTATCATCAACTGAAATCAATACTATCATCAAAACAAAGAGGTAATATATACTAGCAACTAATAGGACAATAACTATCACAAACGCTTCAACCAAGAATTCTATTATGCGTAGAAACAACCACTCATATCAGACACACAAGATTTAACAGAAGTCTTGTAATACACCCGATTTTCAGCTTGTTTTGTAATCATCCTATAGTCAAGTCATTCACATCCACAGCGTCACATATCAATTGTCCACAAGATGTTCCCTAATTCACCCTCTTTATCAATGTATTTGTCTTTATCAGCATCTAAGCGACACGTTATATTGAATTCTCTCATTTTGCAGTTCTGGTTACAACCTGGCCTGTAAAGGTCACCACATCTGAAACATAACCCATGATTGGTCCTATATTAAATTTCTTGCGGAACCAACTTCTTCACATAGCGGTTTCCAGAACCTTTGTGCCCATTAAACCTGACACCACTATTCTCAGAACCCGTTCCGTTAGGATTATTGTTTTTCTTATCCAACTGAGTTCCTATACCAACCTTCTGGTCAACATTTCCAGTTTTTGTACCATTTTTCTGGTTCTCATTACCCCTGTCACCACTACTAGAGGGATGTAAAGTACCAACATGATCACAAACCAGCACAGAATCAATTCCACCTTGCACTGTGTTTTTCAACTTGGCTTTAGACAAAACAACTAAATTATGTTCCTGATATAGAGCTATCTCAAAAGCAATTGCCAAAGTTTTTGGGTGCCACATTGTCACTGTTGGCTTAATTTTTTCCTTAAGATCACTAACAAAATAGGAAATGTAGTAGGTTTCATCAAACATAAACCATAAATTCAGCAATCTAAAGCGAAGTTCCTCAAATTTTTCCTGATAATCAACAACACTACATACTTGAACCAATTTGCTGAATTCTTCTGTACAATCTTGTTCCCCATGATTACCAAAACGTTGAATCAAGAATTCAGAAAATTCACTCCATGTAAGGTTACCGCGAATGGACTTGATTCCCTGGAACCAAGTGTCAGCTATGCCGTCCAAGAAAAGTTCCACTGCATCAACTTGTCAGTTTCTAGAATTCTATGAAGCAGGAAGTATTTTCGGCATTTCCTCAAACACTCCTGAGGGTTATTGCCTTCGAAGGCCGGCAAATCAAGACGGGTTGTTGGTACCAATTGCAACCTTGATTGCCACCATGTGAATAGCACCCTGTCTGACCACCTGGAATCGGTTCGTCGACGCGTGGGTCAGCTTCTCTCACTACACGCGTTGTGTTGGTTGGTGGCTTCGACTATGGGACTGAATCTTTCCTCACCGGTGCACGCATTGTGTTGACTAGTGGCTTCGACTATGGGACTGAATCTTTCCCCACCGGTGTCAAGTTGATGGGTTAGACAACAAGCCTTTTTCGTCATCGGTTAGATGGGCCTATCGCTGGATCTGATGAAATTTGAGTTAACGATGTTTGATTCACCGTCGAGATCACCGGAGTAACTGCTTCGAAGACATGAGCCTTTTCTGGATTGCAAACTTGTGGATCCCTCAGCATTTCCCACTTCATTTCGTATCGGTTGTTACGGTCGTCCAATTCCTTTCGAAGCCTTGATACATTTTCTTCGTGTTTCTTGGCAATATATCTTCGAAGATCCCGACCAACCTTTTTGTCAATGCTGAAATCTTTTCAATTAGTCTTGCGCGTAATTCCACCATCTTTGCTTCCTGTTCTGCCACCTTGGATTCAACCTTGGCTTCAATATCTAGAAACCACGCCTCTTACTTTTCTAATCGAACAGCCATATCATCGACGGCAGCATCAATTCTTTCACCGGTTCACCGTTGACACTCTTCGATCTAGCCATCATTTCCCAAGTTTAATTGAAGGAAACAGAAATTGCAGTGCGAATCGAAGCAACGAAGAAATTCGCATAGAGTTCAGAATTCAGAGCGGAAGTGAAGGAGAAGAACAAAAACTGTCTAAGGAATGACTGCTCTAGATACCAATTTGTCATGTACTGAGACAAATTCGATGAAAGGGAGAAGAATTGAGGTAGAAGAGATTGAAAAATAGATCAAGAATAAGAGATTAGAGTTTAGAAAAAGGGGAAATTAAGAGAGAATCTAAAGAGAAGGAATGTTCCAAATCTGGAATTTGATAAATCTGATTCATTGCTTACGTATTACATGCTTGACCAATAATTTATATTATGACTAACTATCTCTAATTGTAACCTTGGTCCCTGTACTAATTATTACAATCAATTTGGTCTTAGAGCGTGGCATGACTTATGAAAATCGGCCCACATATATATATATATATATATATATATATTTGAAATAAAATAGTACTTTCATTCATTTACTGGAAATCGTGCAGCTACGTACCAGAGTTTAAATCTGATCTCGAATATATCTCTAAAATTCTGTTGAAAACTCCAAACCACATATCTAAATATTAGATCTGGGGTGACTGATTTTTCATGGAGCGTATGTAACGTTGCGAACATTTTCAACGCCGCTATAAATACTGCAAACCGGACCTACCTCTCAGTAAAACAACCTGCTGAAAAAATATTGCGAACGAGAAAACCCTACCTCTCAAAAGATTATCTAAATAACCTATTGAAGTAACTAATTTGTGAGAATAACCTCACTTATTAAACGATAAATAACAAAACGAAAAACATCTAAACAAGTTTAATTCTCCCATCCTCCCATAATGAGAAGATGGGGGAAGGAATTTTTTTTTGGAATTGGGGTATGTGAGAGAGAGAGGGGAGAGAGGCAGCTGCTAGGGTTTGGGTGTATAGTTATTACTATCACTAGTTATAAATCGGCCCATACTTTGCCTTTGGACATAGATTTAATTGTGCATATTGTTCAAGCGTTTCTAATGAAATTCTCTCTTTTATTTGTAGCAACAAGAACATAAACAAAAATCACCCATTTCTAATAATAAATTAAATGGTCCAGTATGCTTCGGTAATTCGATGTCGGCCCAAACGCGCTGGTGAATGGTGATATTAATAAGCGCGCTATTCCCCATCCGCGGTTCCGTCTATATCGCTCTGTGAAATTCGATTTGGGAATTTCTTTGGCAATTCGAAAACCCTATAAAAGCCCTTCCCAAAATTTTACTTCTTCGAAGTCTAAACGCCCCCGGTTCACAAATTGGAATTCAAAATCGGAGCTCGGGGTGAAGAACAGACAAGCACCTCCCGCCTAGGTTCCTCAGAATGATTTGAGCCCTGCACTCATTAGTTCGAGGATATGGATGCGAAAGATATACTACAAGGATTGCCGAAGAACCATAGCGCCATCGCTTATCTTCAAAACGAGAAGAAATCCAGGCCTCCAAAAGAATCTCAAAGAAAACCCGATGGCATTTCCCGAGAGGTAGATAATACTACAGTCGTATATTCACTTCTCTCTCTCTCTCTCTCTCTTCTTTTTTTTTTTACTTCTTATCTGGGGGCAAATTGTTGTGGAATACTACTAACTAATGCTTTGACTGGAAAACAACATTGTGTGGGCTTCAGGTTTATGCGCTGACAGGTGGCTTGGCACCGCCGCTCGTGGCTTCTGTTGATGTCAATCAATTTAAACGGCGAACTCAAACTGAGAACGAGAAGGTCAGTCAGTTGTTTTGTTTTCCTTGAGTTCTCATGTTAATTTTTTTATGCTCTATGGGTTGAATTATATTGTTTTACCTGTCCAGAGTTGATTTTGGCCATTGAGCAAAAAAGAATTTTTCTTAGGCAATCAATGGTATTTAGGTCAAACTTTAAAATATTAGCTCTGACCACAATACTAGCCTTACTGGAACAGATGTAGGCTGTAGGAATAGAGGCTTTAGATGACTGAAGGTACTGTTATGATTCAGAAGGTTAAACGGATCTGTAGCTAAGGAGGGGAGAAAATACTAGCATGAGTATGTAAGTATTTTAGTGCCCGTGTCTATAATAAACCTTTACCAAAAAAGAAAATAACATCATGTGAAAAATATGAAATGATTGACAGGATGCTGAATCTTTCTAATTCAAGGGATAACCTGAGTAAATTTTTTCACTGTGGCTATTGGTCTGGAGATCATTTATGATGATTATAAAGTAATGACGGATGGGGAAGGGCCGTTACTCTGAGTAAATTCCACCCTCTGTCCGGAAAATAGTTCACTTTGTTTCACTGTTTTAGGTCAACCAACAAGTAGACAATTTTGCGGGAAGGAGGGAGTATAATATACGATCTGATGTACTGTGGACAATTAGCTGGGATTTTGTTTCGCCCTTTCTTTGTTTTTTTCCTTTGAACTTTTCTGGTGTTAACCCTATTCTCTCTCCATTATTATTGTGGACCAATTTCATCTTTTACTGAATATTAAGTTATTGTCTAGAAATATATTATTGTAGACTGATTTTACCCTTTACTGAATATTAAGTTATTATAGACATCCCCAATATGCTACATGTGATATGTTGAAAATATGAATTTATGTAGGAGTGAAAAAGCTTTAAATTTATGTAGGAGGAAGATGTTTATTTTACCCTATTATTGTGTTAGTGTCGATGTGTTTTGAACATTTTGACTGGACTTTCTCATCAGGTTACATGGCAGTGGCTTCCCTTCACTAATTCTGCCAGAAAAGATAACTTGCAGCTGTATCATTGGGTATGTTACCCTACTCACAAGTGATGTAGACATTTTCCACTCGTGTCGTTACCCTTTGACCTTTTCTTCATTCTGTAGGTTAGGGTTGTGAATGGAGTACCACCAACGGGGGATTATTCTTTCGCCAAGTATAACAAGGCATGTGGAATCATCTGTTAATCTGCTGCCCTTTCTCCTAGTTGCTTTATTTTTGCTTACTATGATTTACCTAATCTTATTGCTATTTTTACTTGATGCAGCATGTTGATGTGGTCAAGTACACAGATGAGGAGTATGAAAAGCATCTCACTGATCCTGTTGGTATCAAACTAGAATCTTAATTATTTCCTGTTATGTAATTGGAATATGAGTTGATGATTGATGTCAGAATTGTTGCCAAAATTTATATATTAATTTAGGAGTGGAACACTGGAAATTAAATATATTTTGTCACGTTGAGTGTTGCAAGTAGAAAAGTCTTTATCTTTTATTTGGTTTTCATTGGCGGAGATGAGGGCGGTATAACTTGGCTTTAGAGGAAAACAGGTGTGTAATATAAATAATGTTTAAAACGTAACTGTGTGTAATCAACTTTCACATGTTTCTCTTTGATTTGATGAAGTAGTGTAATTTGGTTATCAGTTTGTGTAATTGCTATTCTTTTTGTTTCCTTTTTGTCGTCCCTTTTGCTATTTTTGTGAATGGTGTGATCTGATCTCCTTATGTGTATATATTTGTTAAGATGTGGACCAAGGAGGAGACTGATAAGTTATTTGACCTATGCGAACTGTTCGATCTCCGCTTCATTGTGATTGCTGATAAGTTTCCATCATCACGAACTGTTGAGGAGTTGAAAGCCCGGTATTATAATGGTATTTTAGACAATTATCTGACAATTTTAATTTCGTGTTGATATGACATGAAAATGCATTTGAATGCCTTAATTTTGCAAACAGTTGTGGTGATTTGCTTCTTTTCTGTCAGTGACTCGTACGATCTTGATTGCCAGAGCTCCTTCTCCCGGTGATGTTGCTGGGCACCCCCTTGTAAAGGTCTGTTGGCCTGGACAATCTTTGTACTTATATTGCATCTTTCAAATAAAATGGTGAATTTGGTCTTTGCTTGTAACTTCACAATTGCGTTTCTGCAAAAGTCTTATGGTTGGATTTAGCATCATCACGGTCTCTTAACTCCTGTCATTGCAGGAACAGTACAATATTTTGCATGAGGTTGAGCGCAAGCGTTCATTATCCATGGTTCTCTCCCATACGAAACACCAAGAGCGAAAAGATGCAGAGGTTGGAAATCTGTTATTTTATCTTTGTGCCTCTAAGACACACTTACGATCCTCATGGTTGCCATTTAATTTTTATATCTGAATTATATTTGTAATTTGGTTTAGCTGATGATATCTTTTATTTGAAGGTTCTTGCTGAAGCAAAGAAAATATTAGAGACTCGGAAGGCTGCAAAGGTAAAGTTTGTATTTCTCTCCTCTTTGATATGTGCACACATGTGCAAACATTTACTCCCTCCACAGTCACATCTCTTTTTCTTGGATGTCCGAAGTTGTAGTCCCACTTATGTATGTAACTAAATTTAATCTGTGAATTCCCAAACATATCCACAAATCAACTACCTAAGCTATTTTAGTCAGATTTTCTTAAGTCTTTAAAAAGAAATGTTTGTATCGAAATGGAATGGAGGGAGTATATTCATGACTGTCGGATTGCATCCATTAATCTGTCATGGCTGTTAAGTTATCCTATTTGCTTTTTTTAGGACCCTGATGCGTTGGAACTTCCATCCATGCCTGATGCTATTCCAGAGGGAGAAGATAAAGCTGCTGTTGTGGTTGATTCTGCCTCTCCAACTCCAAATAATCATTTAATGACTGGTCCTGTGGCGCCCCATGTTTCTGAAATAGCTTCAACTGTAGCTTCTCTTCGCAGTGTAAGTCCTCTTCCCCTTGTTTTCTGTAACTTTTTGGTGATTTTATCTTTCTTCCTTTAACCAGTTGAGTTCTCTATTTAGCTGGATTGGTGGTTCCAAGTAGCTATTTTCCTATTTATTCCTGAAGCTTCTTCTTGAAGTCTTTCCTGTATAACATTATCTTTGTATGGAATATTTTGTGCTAAGAAGTGACTTAAAAAGACAGAAGCTTATCTTGAGAAGTCAAAAGTTTTTTGTGCCTACAATTTAGATGTGCTTGTTCACGGATCGCTACTATCTATGATGCCTGGTTAATATTTTTTTGGTTTACATCTGCTTCTGAAATATTTTGAACTAATTCTGCTAAACCAATATGCAAAACATAAGATACAAATCAGTGAATAGATTAACCAAGCAATATAAGGAATTTTTTTGGAGTGACTGAGTGGCGAAAATTTTCAGATGCGGGTTTATTTGAGAACTTATGGTTTGGAGCAAATGGTGCAAGCTGCTAGCTCCTCCGCTGGACTTCGTACTATTAAGCGTGTTGAACAAACTTTACAAGATCTCGGGGTTTGTTTCTGCTCCCTTTTTTTACTTTCTTCCACTTAGTACTGAACAACTTCATATTCGCTTAAAATTTCAACATTGTTAGAAAGACAATGTATTTTCATCACATTTCACATAGCTTTTTATTACATGTTTGGTAATGATTTCACCTTTACTGCTCAATAGGCAATGATCTTTTTCCTGAATAGGATATTGGCTTTTACAGCTCATTGTTATTTAATGCTCAATGGAAGATGATAGTTTTTCTTGATAAAACTATCAGCTTGATAACAATGAGAAAGTCATAGTTTCCGGAAATATTTTATGAGCTAATGCAATCTAATTCTAATTGAAGGGAATTTGGAGAATAGTTTACATTTGTGGTAGCCATTTAACACTAAATTGACTAAGTTACTTTGCATCTCTGCTTCATAGGTTAATTTGAAGCCCAGGGTTCCCACTAAAGCCGTATGTGCTGAGCATCTTGAACTAAGAAAGGAAATACTGACTTTATTAAATCTTCAAAAGCAGGTACTGTAATTGTCACTTTATTTTTTTTTCTTTCTTTCTTTCTTTTTTTTTTTTTGGAATTTCTTGCAGCAATATTGATTTTGTTTTTAGAATTTCAAAGTTTCTGAAAGCCAAGTAAAGTTGTTACTATTTTCTCCGATTCATGGATCCCTGAGATTGTGGTTTGCGTGGCTATTGATGATATAGCTTTTATTTTCTGCGGAAAAGACAATTTAATGTCTTCTTGTATTCTCCTGTTCTGGGTTTTTGTGAGTTGCTCATTTGCAAATTCAAGTTTCTTGAATCTCAGTTGCAATACAAGGAGGCTGAAGGCTCATCTTATCGCGATGCTTCGTATACTGAAACACCTGGAACACCTCCTAAAGTATGTGTGATGTGTTGTACTTTTTCCTTTTTTTGCCAATCTTTTATTACTTAAGCACAACATGCACATTTGTATTTTCCAAATGATGCCAGGGTTATGCAAATTGTAAGTTTTTGAGGTTTTTTTGACAGCGTTCTCAACGTGCTGATCAGGATCGTACTTTTGTTCCGGATTCATTCAGCTTCGGAGGTAACTTTGTAACCTTGTGTTTCCTTATTGGCCCATCTTATTTGATGTTTCATTTGAAGGACTGCTTTTTGAATATGAAGGTCACATTTGAATAGGTGATTTTCTTAAATAACTTTTGATGTCCAATGCAAATGGAGCTGGAAGTGCCATCACTGACAATTCTTTTAGTTTTGTGCTGATAATGAACTAGATGAATAAGGCTCAATTAAAATTGTGTGCTTCTTAATTTTAGCAAAGCTGCTGGAAATCAATATATCAAGTGCATCTATGCATCTTGGGTCGTACTTAAACAGACTGTCTATACTGAAATACAAAGTTGGGAATGTACTGGGAATGCTGCTGCTGTTGTGTTTTTGTAACTAAATTTTCACGTGATCTGGTTGCAGGTGAAAGAGGGGTTAAACGGGATCAGAAGCGCAAGGTATTTCTGTTATAAGAGGTTTCGTGATTTGTTGAAAATATTATCATCTTGTTCTAAGATTTATTTAGTCAAAATGTTTATATTGTTTGTGGTTCTCAAGGCACCGGCTGCAAGACTCTCGGAAGCTCCGTCATCACCTGCTCAGTCCAAAAGACCACGAAAGTTCAAATTAGATGGATAACTCTGCTGGTAAAATTCATGCACCTTTATTCCTTTATATAGTTCTGTGCTTGATTATCTCTTTTGGTGTAAATATATGCAGATAACTTCTATTTAAAATCTGATCGTGTTTTGCCGGTTGTTTTTGTTGTGTTTGTAAAATCTTTAAGAATATCTCCATTCTGAAGGCAACTTTTTGGATATCTGTATGGACAACTGTTTCATCTCCACCTTTATCAACTCACTTCTCGTGTGAAATTAGAAGTTCCTATTCGATACAACTTCAAGCATTTTAAATCTTGGTTTTTGCTGAGAGGATTGAAGGAATAACATATTTACTTTGCAATGTGTGGTTTATCCTACTATCCATGCTTCTCTCTTTCTCTCCTTTCTGGGCATGGTCTATCTGAACTTCTTTCTGTCTTTGGTGTGGCTGTTGCTATTATTATGGTTAATCTCGTTTCTGTTTCTACCCTCTCTTTTGTCCCATCATCCATAGTACTCCTTTATGTGATAAGATAAATACTCAACCCCCCTCAAGGCCAGTCAGTGTTAGGAGTGCACCTCTTTGCGGTTGAATTCTTTTCTTTTTTTCTTTTTTGTGTTTCTAATTCAACTTCCGTATTTTAAGAGCGGACAATAACGTTTGCAACCTTTGCGTTGCCAATAATGAATCATACTTAACACAATCTATTGACCTCTGTGCTTCGAGAATATTTCGACAGGCATTTTAACATAATTTGTATATGTAGGCTTAAAATCAAGCATCTGATGCTTTCCTTGTTGAGCAGGTTGAGACCGGCCGTTGACAGCACATCCGTGCATGTTCAGCTGTATGGCTTGTAGCATCTATCTTTAGGTCAGCTGATTTGTTAGGTAAAATGAACTTTCTCTACCCAATATTTTTCTCCTGGCGGTGATTAGAGAATCGTTAAGGAGGCTGCTGAGAGTTTTAGGATTTATTGGTGATAATTTAGATTTTGCCTTGATGTAAATAAAATTTTCTTTCATGATTTCGGTTTTAGAAAAAGATGCTTTCTTTTGGCTTCCCCCTACCACTTTCAACAACTATAAGGGAGAAAACTTGGGGACAATCACTTTAGCAAATCCACCCACATGAATATGCATGATTATATGCTCTCTGTTTTTAAAAAATAATAGTCTACGTTAAATTTTATAGATTTACTTAAAAAGTACAAATTTTGAAAATCAGAGTAAACTATTTTTTTGGGATAGATATAGGATATTGTATTTGTATTTTAGTATCCCAGCTCGGTTCTCTTTTTGACATCAAGAGGAATTTCAAGTAGAGACATCTAATTTCCAAAAAAAAAAAAGTAGAGACATCTGGTGGCAGTTTTGTAATCACACTCCTCGAATTCTGCTCTCTTTCCAAAGTGCGCATTATGCTCCTCATTGAACAAATGGCCATTTTTTCTCACAGCAAATGCCATGGCTAATTAACCCACATCAGTTTTATGATGCCAAATTTATCCATAAGCTAGCCAATTATGTTTAATTACGGAAATTTCATCTATTTTAACGGGCTATAGTAAAACATTTCTAGATTAATATCATGTATTCTATAATTAATAACTTTTATTAAATAATATTCTTTTGTGGTATTGACTCAAGACCAACAAGAAAAATAAACAAATTTGATAAATTTATAAGATAATAATTTTTTGACAATCTCTTATGTAAAGAAAGAAAAAGAGAGTTGGCAATTAGAAGAAAAGTCTGTCGTACAAAGGGCAGCCGCAATTTAGAAAAATAAGCGGTTCAACAGAATGTGGCCACATCAGCGTTTTTTCTTCCTGTAACACACCCCCCTTCAACCGTGCAATAGAAAAGGAATTCCCTTCTATATATACTAGTGATGTCTGCGCGACCCTGGCTCAGTCTATCTGTAGATCTTAGAAATATTTATATTTGAAAAAAATAAAATTTTGTATTTAGAGCGATATATTTTAGAAATGTTTGAAGGATTTAGAAATGTTTTATAAGTGTAATCATAGAAATATTTGTATTTCGCAAAAAAAAATAAAAAATTGTATTTCGCCATGTATGTTTTATAAGTGTTACTTATTAAATATAAATAGCTTAATCGAATATATGTGTTGAAGTAAATGTTAGATAAAATATAAAAGCATCCTAATAAATTTAAATATTAGTAAGACGATTTATTGACGTTCTCCATTGATCGTGCCAAATCAATACTTTGTTTTTGAGATTTTGAATAGCTTTGTAATAAGATTCATCCGAAGGGTATACGCTTAAAACAAAATTGACACTCTGTAACAAAAAACCTAATTGATCAATTCAATTTAAAAAACCACTCTAGTTGAATGAAACATAAAGAAAAAATTTAAAAAAAAAACGTGTCACGTAAAGTGGAAAGGGAGATTTAGTAATTTAGTTATGGTTAGACAAAAGGGCAATTTAGTATTTTCTACATGCCACGTGGCAATCATATGAGGTGTTTGAAAGGGAGGTTTTTGTTTCTAATATAGTAGGATATAATATAGAGAGAGAGAGAGAGAACACGTTCAAATAACCCCAAAGCATGAAAAATATAATAAAATTACCCATTTTTCAAATTTGTTGTGATATGGTGAAACTAGGAGTGTGCACGGTAAAGGTGGTCTGATTTTTAATCTAAATCGTAAACTAAACCACTAGAATGGTTTGAACAATTTTGAATCTAAAATCAAATCATTCCGCATTTGGAAACCGGACCAAACCAATCCATAATCAACGGTTTGGTTTTGCAGTTTCACGGTTTTGCTTTTACTTTACGGTTTCTTTTTTTTAAAAAAAAAAAAGGCCAAAACCTGAGCTTTTCGTTTTTTTCTTTGGCAAAAAAACTTTTTTTAAAATTTGCAACAAAAAAAAATATATAAAATTTTCTAACAATTTAAATTCAACACTTGCAAAAAACTAATGGTCGACAATTTTGAATTACACTTCAACTTTCAAAGGCCAAAAAAAATAATTCAAAAAAGTATAAAAAAAGCGTCTAAAAAGCAAAGAAGGGATAAAATGTATGATGAGAGCTTTTGAAATCCAAAAGAAAAATATAAAAAAAAAGTAGAAAAACAACGCAAAAAGAGAGGTTTAAGGGAATTAAAATTGGGAGTTATGACTAAACATGATATTGAGTTAATTAAGTCTATTATGTGACAAGTTGTGACTAATACTATACATTACTATATATGTTGAAATTCTAAAATATATAGCTATTATTAAACGGTCCGATCCGATTTAATCTATAGATTTTGACATGAAACTGTAAACCAAACCATTCCTTATGGTTTCTAAATTTTGAAACGGCCGGTTTCAAAATAAAACTTTGAAATCAATCCAAAACACAAACCGCGGTCTGCATTGATCGGTTTGAATCAATCCGTGAACACCCCTAACTGAAACAACTTATTAGTACTCTTAAAGGGGATGGATTTTTCCAGCCACGCAAATTAGTACTTGAATCTACCAATTTTGAAGAATTTCCCTTTTGCCCCTGCCACTCGGACCGAACCGGACAAGTCATTCGGTCCGATTCACGTGAGAACGGATAAATTATTAATTGTTATTTTAATGTTAGTTTATTCGCAGTATTGTTACATGTTGAATATCTCGTACTTTAAATATTATTAACAATATTTATACTTTAGTGCTTAAACTCTTGATTTTATATTTACTTGAAAATAAATAAGTAATTAATTTTTACTTGAAAACAAATTTAAGATTATTTGTTAAGTTAATTTATTTGAATTGATATTAAAATATAAATTTTGCTTTAATCATTATTTTAAAGATAATTTTTAGTTAAAATAATAATTATACATTTATAATGAAAAATAATAATTATACTACAAATATTGTGACAAATATATGCAAATAGATTAACTATTTTTTGTACTACAAAGATTGGTGATACTTAATGTAACTCAAATAATAAATTATTATTAAATTTAATGACCTAAAAACTAGATTAACTAATTACAACAAAAAATTTAAAAATTAAAAAAATAGCAATGAATCCGATTGATATTTTTTAATTTTTAGACCTTTTAAATAAAAAATATTGCTATGTTTTAATTACAAAAAAAATAAAATAAAAAAATTTAAAAATTAAAAAAAAGGCATGACCGGTCCGATTTATCATATCGGACCGAACCGGGACCGGCCGAGCAATCCGCTTGTCCCGGGTTAACCCGAGACGGGCAAAGAACGTGTCTTCTTGTTCGCCCGAACGGGTTCATTGCGCGTCCCGGATTAAACCTGGACGCACAATGAACGCGTTCGGGCGAAGAAGAGGACGGACGCGCAATGAACCCGTTCAGGCGAACAAAAGGACACGTTATTTGCTCGTCCTGGGTTACCCGGGTGGACCGCCCGGTCGGTCAATTTTTTTTAATTTTCAATTTTTTTTATTTTTTTCTAGTTAAATTATTTGATTTGAAAAAATTATAAAAATAAAATGATCTAATTTTAAAATATGTAGCTTCAAGTAGCACAGGTGATAGATTTGAAAATTAACACACTTCTTAAAAAGGATTGAATGCATGGGTTTCGATAAGACAGTGACTTGTGTAGAGAAATTTCACAAGGATCTTTAATGAATCATATAACCATTTATATTATGCCTTACGTTTAGAAATTGATCTATTAATGGTTAGAGAATAATTAAAATTTAGTCATATTATTACTTGTAAAATTTTTTTCTCAATTTTCTCTGTATGTATCATCACTCATTTGATTATTATAAATAGAATAATGATATGTGCCAAAGAAAGATTGTATGTATCTTTTAGGTTAATTTGAATTTTAAATAAATCGTAATAAAAAATAATTTATAAATAAACAATTTCTCATAAAGAATCAAATTACTACAATAAAACTACTTTTTCCACCATCCAAATCTTACATATTGAGGGAGGACGCGACGGGTCATTGGTATTATTTGAGCCATGCCCATTATTTTTTAATAATGTATTAAGGTTAATTTTCTGCATAATTTCTTTTAGTAAACTTTTTCCGTAAAAATTAAGCTGGGTAGCCAACAATAAGCATGGAAATTAGTTGATGGGGCTATTTTAGCCCCCGCCTAAAAAAAATTTGATGGGCCCAATGGAGTTATTTGCCATAGTTAGGGGCGTTACAGTGAAAAAGGTCAATAGTAGTAGTCGAAGTGGAGAATTGGATTCGTAGGAGGGACCAATGAGGAGAAGTATAAGTGCCAAACAGGATTGTATTTGTATACGTGGCATTAACTGAAGAGACACGCCAGCAGTCAATTGTCGATGTAGCTTCTTCGCGAGGAGAGACGGAGAGAGAGAGAGAGAAAGAAAGAAAGAAAGATCGATCCACACAACTATTTACTTTCTCATTTCCCCCATCCCGTCGTGAGGAAGAATCGCTGATTGAGTTAGTGAATGTACCAACTCTCAACTTTGCTGCAGCTTCGGAGGAAGAGATCGATTTGTTACCGGTTCTTAATTTGCCGGCGCCACCAGCAAGCTTAGCCAATTACGAAGGCTCCAATTCCGTCATTCATCTCCGGCGCCACCATGTGTTTTATGTAAGATCAAATGCCCTCTAAGAGTCAAAACCCATCAGATTGCAAGTTTCTCCCCTCCAAGTTGTCCCCGTGTCTTCAACTCATTTTCACTCTTCGCCAAAGACCCTCTTCCCCAACACTGCTCTCCTTTGGATTCTAGAAGGTAATCCATAACCTCTCACTCTCTTTTATGGTTTTCTGCTTGAAGTTTGAAGCCAAAGGATTCAGCCTGTATCTTCCTCACTTTTTTGTTTTGGTTCCTTTCTGCGTGTTTCACACTGGGATATTTTCTCGCCGGCTAATTTCTGTTATTCTTTGGTAGATGAACTTGGTTGTCGTCTTTAACTCGTTTTTCCTTCTCGGAGGTCTTTGATTGCTACTAGTGTTGGTATATTGGGGGTACAATTTTGTGTCCATTATTTGCTATTGATCGTGACTTTGTAATTAGGTTTATGGGTTTGTGCATAATTGTATTTCCGATACCCTTTCCCGAAATACTTTTAGTTTTAGTTCCATAATACCCTGCATTCGATTTACCAAACCCTATTTACAGACCGACTTCCCACCTTTGAAAGCATCTTCTTTTGTCTATCAAATTACGCTTAGTTGTTTTTTTTTTTTTTTTTTGAGGAATTCGCGTTTTGGGCTGTTGGTGGGTCAAGATTTTTCCTTTTTTCATTTTAAATTATCACATTGCGGTCAAGTGTCAATCTCTCTTTACCTGATGCCTTTTGAACTGTATATGAACTGATTAGAGAATTGTGATTGTTCCAGCTTTCCTCTTGTTGGAAGAAAAAAGGTGAACTGTATGTGGGGTTTAATGCGTAGAATTGGTATAGCCAGTTTGTGGAATTTGAGAGTGAGACCTGCCTGAGTGTCTTTGATCCTGTTGTTTTTTTCAGCTTCACCCTCCGCAATGAATAATAATAATCAGCTTCAGCAGTCACCCTCTTCATCATCTTCCAATGCATACCCATCTAGTAATCCGAGTGACATTACGTCGTTGAGCCCTCCACCACCACCACCTACATTTTCATCACCCTCTCCCCCAACCAGATTTCCACCACCACCTCTATTGCGCCCAAATCAAGTACCTACTCCATCTGTCAAGGTCCCACCCAATTTACTTTCCCCGGCTAACAATGGAATTAGGACTCCTATGAGTAGTCCTGCTCCTCATCTCAGCACTCCACCGGGTCCTCCTGTTTTCTCTTCTCCCCTGCAACCAGCTGCCGTCCCGTTCAGAACTTCACCAGCCACTCCTCAGCCCCTTGCTGCTTTCTCCCCTGCTTCGTCGCTGTCCTTACCCACGTCGTCATCTCCACAATTCTCAGATGGGGCTCCCGGACAGTTACTCCACCAGATGTCGGATACCGCTGAGGATTATAACCATGTTTCAGAACATTCTCCAAACGTCTTGTTCACTGCACATAAGGTACCCCTCTTCCCCTTCCGACCACATTCATATTTCTTTTACAAGTGATGAAACTCGTCTTACTAGGTGCTTGCAGGAAGCGTTTCCCTTTTGGTTTTGATTCTGTTCTACTTTATTAGGTGTTGAAAGAGAAAAAGGTAGCAAACATTCCCAGTTTAGGATTTGGGGCACTTGTTTCGGCAGGACAAGAGGTATCACCAGGCCCTCAAATAATACAGCGGGATCCTCACAGGTGCCAAAATTGTGGTTCTTATTCAAATCTCTATTGCAATATCTTACTTGGCTCAGGTCAGTGGCAGTGTGTTATATGCCGTAATCTGAATACAAGTGGCGGTGAATACATAGCCTCTAGCAAGGAAGAACTTCGTAATCTTCCAGAGCTATCATCTCCCTCAGTTGAATATGTTCAAACTGTTAATAAGAGACCTGGCTTTATTCCAGTTTCTGATTCAAGGGCAACAGGGCCAATTGTTCTGGTAATAGATGAGTGTTTGGATGAGGTACAGCTCCAGCATCTTCAAAGCTCCTTGCATGCTTTTGTTGATTCTCTGCCCCCAACAACTCGTCTGGGAATTGTGCTTTATGGTCGCGCAGTATCAGTCTATGATTTTTCTGAAGAATCAACTGCGTCTGCTGATGTGCTTCCTGGTAAGGAATCACCTAGTCAAGAGTCTTTAAAAGCAATGGTTTATGGGAGTGGAATTTACTTGGCCTCGATACATGCTTCTCTTCCTGTTGCACACTCGATATTTTCTTCGTTTAGACCATACAAACTCAACCTTCCTGAAACTTCCAGAGATCGTTGCCTCGGTGCTGCGGTAGAGGTAGCTCTGGCACTGATCCAGGGTCCGTCAGCAGAAATTTCAAGAGGAGTTGTTAAAAGGCCTGGTGGAAATAGCAGAATTATTGTATGTGCCGGTGGCCCTGTTACGTATGGACCTGGTTCAGTGCCTCATTCCTTTAGCCATCCTAATTATCTTCACATGGAGAAAACAGCTATAAAGTGGATGGAGAATCTAGGTCATGAGTCGCATCGACAAAGTACAGTGATTGATGTGTTATGTGCTGGAACTTGCCCAGTGCGAGTTCCTATATTGCAATCTCTTGCAAAAGCTTCTGGTGGAGTGCTAGTTCTTCATGATGATTTCGGTGAGGCGTTTGGTGTGAACTTGCAGCGGGCATCAGCTAGGGCTGCAGGTTCTCATGGCTTGTTGGAGATCCGCTGTTCTGACAACATTTTTGTAAGTCAAGTGATAGGCCCTGGCGAGGAGGCAGATGTTGATAGTAGTGAAGCTTTCAGGAATGATACGGCTCTTTCCATACAAATGTTAAGTGTGGAAGAAACTCAGAGTTTTGCATTGTGCATAGAGTCTAGGAGTGATATCAAAAGTGACTTTGTGTATTTTCAATTTGTAATTCAATACTCAAATGCCTATCAAGCAGAAGTCTCCAGAGTGATTACTGTCAAATTACCCACAGTGGATAGTGTTCCAAAATACCTAGAGAGTGTCCAAGATGAGGTGGCTGCGGTGCTCATCGCCAAAAAGACCCTTTTGCGAGCCAAAAATTTTAATGATGCACTTGATATGCGGTTGACAATTGATGAAAGAGTTAAGGATATTGCTACCAAGTTTGGTCAATTGCCAAAATCTAAACTTTATCAGTTTCCAAAGGAATTATCTTTGTTGCCAGAACTATTATTTCACCTCCGGAGGGGTCCTCTTTTGGGAAGCATCGTTGGTCATGAAGACGAGAGGTCTGTACTTCGAAACCTGTTTTTGAATGCATCCTTTGATTTGTCCCTGCGCATGGTTGCTCCTCGCTGTTTAATGCATCGAGAAGGTGGCACTTTTGAGGAACTACCAGCCCATGACCTAGCTATGCAATCTGATGCAGCAGTCGTTCTTGACCATGGCACGGATGTATTCATTTGGCTGGTGTGTTTTACTATTGTCATTGATTTATTTGTCAAGATAGTTGTTATCGGTGAATTGTTTTTGCATCTTGAAATCTCCATACCTTAAGTTTAAAAATATTTCTTGGCTTTCCTGTTTTATCCAAACTGTCTGGTTTGAAGTTTTCTTGGTTTTCTCCTTGTCTCTCTTCTTCATTTGTGGTGGTTAAGTGGTGGAATGGGGATGTCCGTTTTTATCATTTTCCTGTTTTAGCTGGCCTGCCAAGTGTGCGTTCCTTGTTGCTCTTTGTGAGACACATCTTGTAGTTTCTGCTTTGTATTTCATCTTTTTGTCCCTCTCATGTTAATGAGTGGATATTTGGTGGCATTTAGGGTGCTGAACTTGCTGCTCAGGAAGGCAAGAGTGCAGCCGCATTGGCAGCTTGCAGGACGTTGGCTGAAGAACTCACTGAACTGCGTTTCCCAGCTCCTCGCATTCTTGCATTCAAGGTAACCTTTCTTTATTGACATGTTTTTTCTAGGATCCTTTAACTCATTATAAATGTAAGCAAAAATTTCTTGTGCATTAATGTCAGGAGGGAAGCTCACAGGCTCGATATTTTGTAACTCGGTTGATCCCGGCACACAAAGACCCCCCCTATGAACAGGTAAGTGAGGAAGAAAACGGCTATTTTGGTTTTCATATGTGAAACAGAGAATAATGCATCTGGACGTATGGATTTTTTGAATGTAGGAGGCTAGGTTTCCACAGCTTAGGACATTGACAGCAGAGCAGAGAACGAAGCTGAAGAGCAGCTTTATCAACTTTGACGATCCTAGCTTCTGTGAGTGGATGCGTAGTTTGAAAGTATTGCCACCTGAGCCCATCTGATGTTTTGTGTGAACTGTTGATATGAGAAAATTTTGGGGTTTTGGCTTTGAGGAACGGGGGCATGCAGTTTTGTTTCTCTTTTCCTTGGAAGAAAGTTGTAGGATATTCTTGATAATTGAAAAAGAGGCAAGGAAAAAAAAAAAAGAAAAAAAAAAAGAGGCAAGTGTACAATGTATTCTGGGTAAAACAGTTGAGAATTGTAATTTTTTACTTTTTTCAACTTGCTAGTGTAGTAGTGTTTATTAATTCTTCCGCACAGTGGGGATCAGTTTCCGTAAATCCTCCTATCTGTGTATTCTCAGCGAGAATGGGAGTTTTCGTTTAGGAAAGAAACTGAAAAAGAAAACAAATACTGCACTAGCTTTAAATATTTTACAAAATGAAAAACTAGAAACTAAATCACATAATAGTGCAATGATTTTTTGAACTTCCGTCAAGATTGGTATATGATTGAGATCGAGAGTCAGCATCTCACAATCCCTAAAAACTTTAACCCTAGTGATTCCAAAATTAGAAGTTTCGTGCAAAGCCAGCAAACAAGTTAATGCCTCCGAGTGAAATAGAGTTCAGACTTGTAATGTTGTTGCCTTCATCTGCATTACCATGTTAGTTGGTGAAGTAACTTTCCACGCCCCTACTGTACAACGAGAGATTGGATGAAAAGAACCATCAATCAGAATGATAGCATGATCGCTTCATTCCTCAATTGTGCATTAACTTGATGAGTTCTAGCCTATTACCTATATCTGTTTTCATGAGATGAAATTCATGTTGAATAAGACTCTATTGAGCAAATACATCAGAATGGTGGTTCCTCCAAATTTTGTCATTTCTCTCTAACCAAATTTACCAGCAGATTATATAGAAGAGATCTAAGTCTAAAGCTGAAGGACCTGATTGTAGCCACTGAGCAAACCATTCTGATAAGGATGATGTACTCTGAGTAAACACATCTATCTATAGTATATTTTATATTATAAAGGAGAAACCAGAGAGAGAAACTGGTGGAGTATTTTTAGAATGCCACATAGGATATAATCTTATGTGGCATTTCTTTGAACTCTATATAAAAAAATTTCGTGTAATAAAAAATAAAGTCCTCATAAATTTAATTTAAGTGTAGTATTAATTTGTTTAAATTTTTCATACTACTACAAAATATAATATGACATCTACTTTCATCACCGCTAAGATTAAACTCTTTCACAATTTGCACAATATTTAATTTGACATTACATAAAAATTTACATTTTGATATTTGTAAGTAGATCTTATAATTGATATTTAGTCATATCATTTATACTATCCCAACTCGTTAACATCATTTGTGTTTGTTGCAATTTTATTTTATTAATGATATCAATATCGTGTTTAGATAAATCCCGTGCATCGCACGGGTTTAACATCTAGTTAGCAAATAATGCAGGTTCCAAGCTGCCTTCTTAATTATGTATAAGATATTATAATTTTATGAATAAACCATAATAAAAAGTGTCCCTCTTATTTTTACTGGATGAAAGAAGTAATCCCTCTTAAAGTGAAAATTCAAATTGAATAATACTCTCTCCGGTCTTTAAATGTAAAGAATTTTGATTTGTCTCATATTTCACTTACTATGCATTTTTAATTGAAAAAAATTTAAAAATATATTTTCACATTCGTTGGTGTTCTCCTAATTCTTAAGAAATTTTTTTTGTTTGTCAATTAGAAATGCGTACTAGATGAAACCTATGACAAATCAAAAAAATTATTTACTATCTCTGTCCCACAAAAATAGTTCACATTGAAGTTTCAAATTTGTACTAAAAATAGTACAAAAATCAAAACTCAATGTAAACTAATTTTTTTTTGGACAGAAGAAGCATAATTTTGAAACAGAAGTATATATACATATACAATAAAACCTTGCAGGCTTAAGTGTCTTACTATAATAACATAAGGAGCAAGGTAATAGTTACATCACATTTCCTAGAAACCATACAAAGAGAGATACAGTGATGGCAGTAAAGAGGAGTAGCAGTATGAGTAAACTCGCCTTATCCACTCCACCACTAACACTCTTTTAACTTCCCAACCCAGCTCAGACAGCCGTATCCATCCTGCCGCTGATGAGACTGCTGACTGCTAAATAACTCTGTTGCAGATGATGATGGAGTCCTTGTCCCTCCCTTCCAAATTGACCACAACCCTTTGGCTCACCGGCGCCCCCTCATCTTCTTCCCGCCCCTCTTCTCTCCTTTGGAACAACTTGTCTCACCATCAGCCCGGCGTCACAAGATGGACAATAAGGAGGAGGAGGAGGCTCATTCCCGTTCAGGCTTCTTTAGGGGGACTCCTGTCTGGCATCTTTAAGGGTGGTGCTGACACCGGTGAGGCTACTCGCACTCTCTACTCCGACACCCTCGCTCTTATTAACCGCCTCGAGCCCCAAATCTCGTCCTTATCCGATTCCCAGCTCCGGGAGAAGACTGCCCTCTTACAACAAAGAGCTCGTCAGGGTGATTCTTTGGACTCTTTACTCCCCGTTAGTCTCTCTCTCCCTCTCTCCCTATTCCTTGCCAAATGAAACCAATTGGGAGTGTTCTTTACTTATATCTTCTTATCCTCCCCCCCCAACCCCCCAATGATCTTTGCAGGAAGCATTTGCGATTGTGCGTGAGGCTTCTAAAAGGGTTCTTGGACTTCGACCCTTTGATGTCCAATTAATTGGTGGGATGGTTCTTCACAAAGGAGAAATTGCTGAAATGAGGACCGGTGAAGGGAAAACCCTGGTTGCTATATTGCCTGCTTACTTGAATGCCCTCACTGGTAAAGGAGTTCATGTTGTCACTGTCAATGATTATTTGGCCCGTAGAGATTGTGAATGGGTCGGTCAAGTTCCCAGGTTCCTAGGATTGAAGGTCGGCCTAATTCAGCGTACGTTTTGTGCATTTCTCATATTCAATATTCATAGTGCCAGATATCAGTCTATAAAATGTAGGATTACAGAACTTACTCGATCGAATATTTACTCATTCTTGTACTTGCAGAAAACATGACAAGTGAACAGAGGAGGGAGAATTACTTGTGTGACATAACTTATGTCACAAATAGTGAGCTTGGTTTTGATTACTTGAGAGATAACCTTGCCACGGAAAGTAATTTTTTTTAAAGCATTTATTTCCTTATTATGACTTCATTATTCCACGGTGTTCAGCTTGGGATGACTCTATTTGTTTAACTACAGAGTGTTGACGAGCTTGTCTTGAGAGGTTTCAATTATTGTGTCATTGATGAGGTTGATTCTATCCTTATCGATGAAGCAAGGACCCCTCTCATCATTTCTGGACCTGCTGAAAGACCTAGTGATCGGTATTATAAAGCTGCTAAGATTGCTGCGGCTTTTGAGAGAGATATACATTATACTGTGAGCTGCATAATTTAACTGTTCTGGAAACCAACTGGGTGTTTAATGTCTTCTTTATAGAAACAGCAAGCTTGAATGTCAAAACTCAAATGCATGGCACGCACACGCATGCGCAGGGATTTTTAAATAATTGAAAGCAACTTATTTTCTGATTGGTTTTGCAGGTTGAGGAAAAACAGAAAACTATATTGCTCACAGAACAGGGTTATTCAGATGCCGAAGAGATCCTGGATGTAAAGGATTTGTATGATCCCCGAGAACAGTGGGCATCATATATTTTAAATGCTGTGAAAGCCAAAGAACTTTTTCTTAGAGATGTCAATTACATTATCCGTGGCAAGGAAGTCCTCATAGTTGATGAATTTACTGGACGGGTCATGCAGGTAATTGCTTTCCTGTGTGACCATATATGTTACTTGGTTTTTGTTCGTTCTTATTCTTAGTTGACATTTGGTCCTAAATGTCAGGGGAGGCGCTGGAGTGATGGACTTCACCAGGCTGTTGAAGCGAAAGAAGGCTTACCCATACAAAATGAAACCGTAACCCTTGCTTCAATTAGCTATCAAAACTTTTTTCTCCAGGTTGATTTACCTTCTTGATCACATATATAAGTTTTGCTTGACCATCCAATGTTTTACACCAGTTTTGTTTTTTGTTGGTCATGTTAGATGTTCTAATTCTGGTTTTAGAATGTTTAGTTCCCAAAGCTTTGTGGCATGACTGGAACTGCTGCAACGGAGAGCGCAGAATTTCAAAGTATATACAAGCTCAAGGTTACAATTGTGCCCACAAACAAGCCCATGATAAGAAAGGTTCTTTCCTGGCATGCTCTCTGATTTATATATCTTTCTTTGTCTAATATTTTCAGATATTGAAACAATTCTTGCCTTTTCAGGACGAGTCTGATGTAGTGTTCAGGGCTGCTATTGGAAAATGGCGAGCGGTGGTTGTTGAGATTTCCAGGATGCACAAAACTGGTCGCCCTGTTCTTGTTGGTACAACTAGCGTTGAGCAGAGTGATATGCTCTCGGAACAGCTTCGTGAAGCTGGTATTCCCCACGAGGTAAGTTTTCATTAGACAATGAAGAGTTGTTCATGCTACGTATTTATAACTTAAATCTCCTTTAAGCATTTGCTTTTAATGGTTGCCTTTTCCTTATCTATCTCTTACTTGCCTCTTTATGTGGGCCCTGATTTCTGTTACTTATGTAAGGTTCTAAATGCAAAACCAGAAAATGTGGAAAGGGAAGCTGAAATTGTTGCACAAAGTGGTCGTTTAGGGGCAGTCACAATTGCAACTAATATGGCTGGTCGTGGAACGGATATTATCCTCGGTGGAAATGCAGAATTCATGGCAAGATTGAAGTTACGCGAGATGCTAATGCCAAGGTACTCCGTCTGCATCAAGATCATTCACATCTTTGATTTGTTTCTCACTAGTTTGTTGCCATATTGTCGATTATTGCTTAGCCGACATTTCCTTTTCCTGGTGCAGAGTTATTAAACCTGCTGAAGGAGCTTTTGTTTCTGTCAAGAAACTACCTCTAAAGAAGACATGGAAGGTTGAGTTTGATTTTTGATTACCTGTTGAAGTGATAATCTTTTGGTAGAATCTCAGAATCTTAACATCCTCCACGATATTTTAGGTGAATGAAAATTTATTTTCTTGCACACTGTCGTACGAGAGTACTGAATTGGCTGAGGAAGCTGTAGAATTAGCTGCAAAAACGTGGGGTCAAAGATCGCTGACTGAGCTTGAGGCGGAGGAAAGGTTGTCGTATTCTTGTGAGAAGGTGCATCTTATTCATTGTACACTGTTGGCTCATCTTGGAGACTTTTGTCTTTCTGAAATCATATGATATTCACACTGCTAAGATTATTATCCATATATCTCTGTTTGACATATTTTGGTGAGTCCATAACAAGTATTGATTGTGACGGTAAATGTATGGTGGTCAATTTCAGGGCCCTGTTGAAGATGAAGTGATTGGTAAACTGCGGAATGCCTTTCTTGAAATTTGTAAAGAATACAAAGTTTACTGCGAGGAAGAAAGGAAAAAGGTCATTTATGCTGCTAGTATTTTAATCATTTTTCGCTTCTGAATGGTAAGTTTAGTGGTTACTTACTGGACTCTTATTAGTGTTCTTCTGAGTGACGACAGGTGGTGGAAGCTGGTGGACTTCATGTGGTTGGAACTGAACGTCATGAATCACGTCGAATTGACAATCAGGTACTGTAATCCTGCATTACTGTCAAGACTCTTTGTTGATGGAGTTTATCACCTCAACAAACAGTAATCATCTAAAGTACGAAACTTTACGTTTGGGGGTTCATTGAGCATCTGTTGATTGACTTTTATTTCACTATTCTGGAGAGATCACTTTCTTTTTTGTACTATAATTGTACTTTGTAGAAAGTTATCTGCAACCAGATTTATTTTTTCTGCAGCTCCGTGGTCGAAGTGGCAGACAAGGAGATCCTGGAAGTTCCCGATTCTTTCTTAGTCTTGAAGATAACATATTTCGCATTTTTGGTGGAGACAGAATCCAGGTCTATTTTGCACTAACTTTTCTTATTTTGAAGTTGCTGCAAAGTGTGCAAGTGAACTTGAATATCCTAAAATTTTTGTGTGTACAGGGTTTGATGAGAGCTTTTAGAGTTGAGGACCTTCCTATTGAATCCAAAATGTTGACAAAAGCTCTTGATGAAGCTCAAAGGAAAGTGGAGAACTACTTTTTTGACATTCGGAAACAATTATTTGAATACGATGAGGTCTTAAACAGCCAAAGAGATCGTGTCTACGCCGAAAGAAGACGAGCCCTGGAGTCCGAAAATCTCCAGTCCCTTCTCATTGAATATGCAGAACTGACAATGGACGACATCCTGGAGGTATATAAAATAAGGTTATGGGCATGTATGACCAATATCTTGAAACCACGAGATCTTATAAATTCACATTAGATTTATCCTCCTACAGCTTATTATATTTCTAATGGAACTATTGATATTTTTTAACAAGATTCTGTTCAAAACCAAAATGGAAATGAAACCGCTGTCCATGTTGGCCCCACATTTTAGTTATATTTTTACGCTCCGGCTTGTGTTATTGATTTCGTTTAGCTATTTTTGCCATTACTCTGCAGGCAAATATCGGTTCTGATGCTCCAAAAGAAAGCTGGGATCTTGAGAAGCTTACTGCAAAACTCCAACAGTATGGATTGCTCTTACTAGTTTGGAATGTGTTGTAGCTATACCCCCAGACCTTGTTAGTTGCTATCTTAAGTTTCATTGTTGTTTTGGTATTTTCTCATCATGAGCTACTTGTTTCCCTGCCTTGTAGGTATTGCTATCTTTTAAATGACTTGACACCTGATTTGTTGGCAACAAAGTGCGATAATTATGAGGGCTTAAGGGATTACCTGCGTCTTCGAGGAAGAGAGGCCTATCTGCAGAAAAGGGTTTGTGTTTTTTGTTTGTAGAATCTTGCCTTTAATTGGGATGTTCTTGGGAATTGATTGGGATTGTCCTGGTATGTGTGGATGTAGGCCATGGTCGAGGAAAAGGCTCCAGGGCTCATGACGGAAGCAGAAAAGTTTCTGATGCTGAGCAATGTGGATAGGTTATGGAAAGAGCATTTGCAAGCCCTTAAGTTTGTGCAGCAAGCTGTAGGTTTACGTGGATATGCTCAACGTGATCCGCTTATTGAATATAAGCTTGAGGGGTACAACCTTTTCATTGAGATGATGGCTCAGATCAGAAGAAATGTCATATATTCTATTTATCAGGTTTGAGTTTCCAAAGTAATGAAATTTCAGTTATTTTATGTAAATGGTTGTTAGTTATGGCTGCTCAACTAGTGTCCATTTCTACAGTTTCAACCAGTGTTGGTGAAGGAACAAGATCAACAACGTGAGCCCAGTAAAGGAGACAAACTTGATTCAAGTGCAAAGGTTGGCAATAACAGAATGCCTGAAGAAGCTAGTACAAAGCCCTCCCGCACTGCGAGGCAATGAATTTTATGGATAAATAGATAGATGAACTTCGAGACCTAAATGACAAAGTTAATGTAAATGCAGAATATGAGTACATTCTGATTTTCGAATACATATATAAGCTGTGTAGTCGGAAAAATGGCTGTAGAAATGTATATAACTAACTAGAATCGAGTTGTTTCCTGTAAGCAACCTCCTAATTTATGTGCCGTTTAAAGAATAAAGTAAACAACATTTCTGAGACGAACGTGAAAAGAATTTGAAAAAAAGCAGCTAGCCTATGATGGAGGCTCATTCCCATCTTTTCTTGGCATCGAGGGTCTAGAGAAGATGATGTTCTCAAGCTGTAAATCATAATTGGTCCTCCTGTATCGGCGTTCTGGTGACTCCATGCTAGCAGGAGGTAATTTTGAAGAACAGGCTGATATGCGCCGTCTTGGACTCGAAAACTTCGCTGCGGGTGCTGGCGATGCTGGCTGCCTTTCCTCTGAAATTCTTTCCACGTTGCTGCCTCCATTCTTGGTTTCTTCTGCAAGTGCAAGTGGCAGAGGCTTCAATGGTTCACGCTGTTTAAGAATGGTCTTCTTCTGCATCATCAGTTTTTCCTTTGCCTTGGTAGCCGCTAATAGAGCTCTCTCCTGGTTCATGGTTATTAGTTTCCATGGATCAATGCTTGCATGAAAGTCACCACCCTGAGAGGGTCTGTTCAGCGCAGGTGATCTTCCAGTTTCTCCCTCGATTTTTATGGACAATTTCTCCTCTGGGGTCTGAAATGAGCAAAGTTCCCATAATTTGGAAGTAGTAGAAAGTGAGATATCCAACAACTGTAGGAAATTTCAGAACGCCATAACTGGGAACAAGCAATTTACCTGATTCACCCCTACTTCCCTGCATATTACTCGTGAGAGAAATGTTGGCTTCGTTTCAGGGGAGTTTAGGTCAACACCCTCACCATCTGAAGAAAAATCAGAGTCATCATCTTCCAGGGATTCTAGGTCTGCAAGCTGGTTCTCCTCTTTCATTGCCAAGATGTAATCATATGTCCTCATCCCCTGTAAATAAGAATCAGTTACAATCTAAAGTCTAGGATTCACCTTGGCAAAAGATATAATATTACCTTTCGAATCAGAAGAACATGAAAGAAGAGAAGCTGCCCTAGTGCGGCTGTACTATACATTGCCAGTAGAAATAGGAAAACCTGGAAGGGGGAAAAAGAAATTTGAAAATAAAGAGGTAGGTCAAGAAGAACTTGGATAATGTATGTTGTTATAGAACAAGCAAGTGAAGTAGTAGCCCTTACCGAAATGGCTGCCAGAACTCCGCGGGGGAAGTTCGTGTAGTGCCTTGTTTTCATCTCCTGAATGATCCCTTCTTTGTCTGCAAAACACCTAATAAATATTGCTACTGCAGTACCTCCCTCTACAATTAGCTGTGAAGGAAAAGAAGGGAGCAAGTGTCAATAATCTTTATATTGTCCAATCGTAACGGGGAGAAACTAATTAGTCTTGCAGGTTGCAGCTGTACCATTAAGAGAACAGACAGCATCAAGAGAATGAAGGTCGTATAGTTCTTCTTCCCAACACAGTTGTTCAACCACCTGCAGTGGTGATCAAAACCTTCCACACATCTGTTGCAGGTCCTACAGTGCTTGCTGTGCTTATGAACCTGCAGATAGTTGCCATTGACGAACAGAGAGAAATTAGAGAGTGAACAGAGTATCAAAATTGAAAAAGAGTTACTAATTCTTTACTTTTCCCTTAATGAGATGGGATGGGATAGGATGATGGACCTCAAAGTCGCATAGAGAGCAAAACGAGAGGTCGGAGTCTGAGAGTTTGAGATGAGGATTGATGATAGGTGGTGCAGAATAATGATCATCTACCAGTTCATCCTTGAGGTTGAGGACAAGTGGGGAAAAAGGCATGGGAAGAGAATCGAGGGAGGGATCCAGGGCAGAGGAGAAGCCATACTTCCTTCTGATAAAAGTGGTGAGGATTTTGGACTCCATTTTCCGGAACATCCTCCTTACAAGCTGCCGCAGCATAGACAGTCCATACTTGAGGGTAGCTCTTGTCCGGTTGTGGCTGGCACTCTTTTTCTTCCGAAGAAGCCTGTGACGGGTCTTGTCACTCGGGTCGATCCGAGTGCACCTAATGAAGAGGAATGCTGCGGAAACTGCCTGGATATACATGTATATAAGTTATTTTACACGGAAGTCGATTTTATTAGTGTGTGGGATTGGATCATGGATGTGTTAAAAAAAAAAAAAAAAAAGTACCGCAAAGGAGAAGATGGTGGTGACAGCAATCTCGGCAGCGTTGTTTCCCAGAAAGAGTCCAAGGAAACAGTAGAAGGCGGCTACCAGCAAACTGAACACCGACATTCCCACAATCTGAAGAAACAGCGAAAATTACATGAAAGCAGCTGAGCCTGAGAACAGGATAATGGTGGTAAACAGAAGAGAGAGAGAGAGAGAGGATAAAGGTACCACCGACCTACCTGCAAAGGGTGGAGAGGACGTTGCCAGCCATGGCGTCTCCTCATCATCATTACTCAAAATGGGATCTGCTGCTGAAACCCACACTACCCAGTGCTGATTTACTTAATTTAATGAATGAATTTTGAAGGAGATTCAGGCCGCCATATCTGTCTCCGCCGGATCCTCCTTCCTTTCTTTTTTTTTTTTTTTTTTGTCTCCAAAAAAAAATAATAAATAAAACAAAAGATAACAAACGGTCGACTACGTCATTTCCAGTTCCACCCCTTATTTTGAATTTTGAACGCTGGTTGTTGTTGTTCTCCTTTTTTGTCTGTGTCCCCCCATTAAATATCTGCTGACTGGACTGTCTTACCCCGATAATTCGTCTGCTTCTGTAGTCCGCTCACCCAAAATTTGAGCCCAATGATAAAGAAGCGGCCCAATCCAACCTTTTTTTTTTTTTTCTTTTTTCCTCTTTTTCTTCTTTTGCATATTATTATTTTCATCATCAATTGGTTTGGCTTCGGAAATTTCTGTTTCTTGAAACTGTCCGGAGAGGGGTTCCCTCTTTTGATTGATCTTAGTTTAGTGATAACCACGTCCCTCCTCCTTCGGATTTTCTCTACGGTCTCAAGGTTACTACTCTATCTAATCCAATTATCTAGAGGTTTTTTTTTATCTTTTTCTATAATAAACTAGATTTCTTCTACAGAGACAAGGTTCAACCACAACCCATGCAAATGGGTTGGATTTGGAGACCTTTCAGTTCAGGCAGGCCGCCAGAAGTGTGTCCACAAATCCACAGGAGTGAGTGTGAGGATTCATCTCGTCATTCATCACAGAAATAAAAGCATCCTACCAAACCAAATAAACAAAATTAAATTCACTCGATTTCCAATGGAAACCGAGGGCACTATCCTCTTCATTATGCATTCCCAATCAAACTGGAAAGCAGATTTCACTTGTACACATTTTTAGCCAAAAAGTCTTGAACCTCGGCAGCAACTTCATAACCACCCTCCACACATCTCCCCAGTGCCACACCAGAAACATAGTTACCCCCGAGAAACAATCCCTCAACTCCATTCTTACTGAGACCAGTTTTTGCAGCATCTAATGCATCCAAATGACCAACCAGAAACTGTGGGATTGCCTGCGGCCACACTCTAACCCCCAGAACCACGGGTTCTTTTGCATCAGCATTTACGAGCATTTTCCTAAGATCACGATCAACTGCTTCCACCAATTCACTCTCTTTCTGCACCAATGAATGTGCTTTGTAAGATATTATCAGCAAGACCATAGCTATGAAATGTCAAAAAGTGCATAGCAGAGTTGGTTTTACGACTGATAACTAGATTCTCATGTCTCTCGATATAATGACCCCTTCCATTTTTATTTTTCTTCTGGAAAAGGCAATCTTGCAAGTTTAGAAGAATCAAATCCTCCCAAATTCAAAGAATAATTTAAGATGACAACACTTTAATCAAAATCAGCACTCCGGGGCTGTAACATTATATCTGATAAAAAAATTAGAAAAATAAATAAATAAATAAAAATCTTAAAGACAATCAGCTACTTAAATCTGTACTCTATCACATAAGGGCATCTCCTCACCTTTGACAATATTCCAGTATTTGTTGCTCCCCCAATGTAATTTAGAAGAAGGACCTCTCCAGAAGGTGCGCGATTAGGGAAAAGGGATGAACTGTATATCGTTCCTGGACGACCAAGTTAAACAACAAAACAAGTCAGTTTGACAAAGAAAATGCCAAATCTCATATCTTCGATTCACTAAAATGATTATGCCAAATTTAGTCCCTTTAATTCACTAAAACAATTTTTACCCAAAGTTTCCACTCCTTGGCTGCGTGGATGCAACTGCCCAAAACCCTTTAGCTCACCATCAATCAAGCAATCCTCACGAATTGCCTCTCTAGGATATGAAACAGTTACTGCAGCAACCGGGGGATAGTAAAATTTTGAAAGTGCGTCAGCTGTGGCGGCCTGTCAACAAGTTTAATATGAAATTTGAGAATTCCCGAAGTTGATTTTACTTTAAAGATTAATTAGGACAGGAATGCAACCCAAGCAAACAGTAAGGGGGTGAAGGGTTTTGATGCGAAGTTTTATGTAACAGAGACTTCAGAAGAACAGCTTTCAGGGTACTATCGGCTGGAAGAAACTAATCCAATCAACCCGAAAAGAACAAGAATGAAAATTAAACTTCCAGTTCCAAAAATTAGATACGATCATACAAGTGTTTGGGGGAAAAAAACCAATTAGCCCCTTATGCATATAACTCTGAACTTACTGAAAGAGGACGCAATAAATTGCTTGCTACATAGGATGGAAGGGTCATGACCACACTTCTACTCTGAACCGAAATAATCCCCTCTGGTGTTTCATACAACAGTTTATACCCATTATCTTCAGACTTTGTAATACTGGAGAGCTTCCACGATAATTTCACTTTGCTGCCCAACCTAAAAAGCAGAATTGTATAAGTAACTCTGAAACAAGATGCAAACCTAAAAGGAGAGAAAGAATCAAGGGAAGCATATAATCAAGCTGCCTCTCAGACTAATGATCACGAACAAGTAATGCAGAAAGTCGTCCCTCAGGTGGCTTTTCTAGAAAATGCATCTAAAATAAATCAGGCATTAGCAGGAACTACCTTGTGGCAATCGCATTAGGCAACATGGCCAGTCCCTTCTTGAATGATCCAACAGTTTGACCTTTTGGCTTTGGTAAACGGCTGAGAATCGCCAAAAGTTAGGAAACAGACAAAGATGCACTAACCATAGAAGACGGGCAATGGATGAAGTAAAATTATTACGGATCTCGAGGCATTTGGGTACTGGTAGATCTCTCCCTAATTGCTTTAATGGTTCCACCTATGATACTACCTCCATTTTCTTCCAGCTTCCAGACTTTTCCGAAAGCTGCTTTCATACTAAGTTTTGCTGGATCACCAGCATAAACACCTGCAGAATGGAATTTCGATTGAAGCATCACCAACTTGTTCAGATAATCACGGTTGAGAACCTATCTTATTATGAATCAAAAGATACAGCACCTACAAGAGCATTGAAAAAAAAAAAAAAAAAATGGACAGACACTGCCAGATAGAAGCTTGTAACCATCCCTTGTCAACACCTATCACCACTATCACGATGAAACAATTTAAATAGTGGAATTGTGGTATTAGATCATGGATGGGAACAAACTGGCTTGCTAACAGTTAAAGAGTGAAATGTTACCAGAGGGATGAAGTTGGCATTCCAGTTTTCAATGCAATTTTTTCACATCAAAAGGCCAAAATAGAAACCTGAACCCAACGCGAAGCCAAAAACAAATATAGGCAGGCAGCCGTACCTGAACAAAACGGCTCGATGAGGCGTTCAAAGACTTCGGCCCCAAGGTTTCGCCGCACAAACTCTTCCACTGATTCCTCCCGACCCTGTCACCTTTGCCAGAGTACGTGACATGAGAAATTCTAGCAAATCTCTTCAAACTAATAAATCACAACAACTAATTAGATAACAAGAAGAAGAATAAATCGATATGGAGAGAAAGAAGGAGAAACACACTGGAGGGGAAGGGCGGAATCCCAAGGCACCAAAACCGGCCCTAAGTTTTCCAGGGAATGACATCAAATCGAAGAAAGGTAGGTCGGTGGGCTTTGAGGGAACTGCCCTGAGCTTTCCATCCCAATACACGAAACGAGGCGCATTTGGATCTCCCAACACCAAGTCATCCTTCAATCCGCTATCCACAACCAGTTTCAGCATTGGGTCCGACGGCTGGAAACTATTAGGACCCTCCTCCCACAAATATCCTTCCCTCTCCATCGTCATAATGTTTCCCCCCACTCGTTCTCTGGCTTCTGTCACCAACAATTTGTGGTGTTTTGGGGCCAGGGCTTGGGCAATGGTGAGCCCACTGATGCCGGCGCCTACTACTACACAGTCCAATCGGGTGGTACCGTAATCGACCGGAGCCTCGTTGGACGATGGGGTGACGGTGCTGGCAGATGAAGAGCATCGGAATCTGGAATTGAGCCTCTGGCAGGTGGAGAAGGATGGTGGCGTTCTTCTTGTGTTTCTGTTTATATTTGGCCAGTTACAATAACCCGTCGGAGTTGTAACGGTCGCCATTTCAACTCTGCAATGAAAATGATATTTTCCCGAGTACTTAACCGGTAGCTGAGTGCCGGCGGCAGTCCCTGGAAGACTCGGAGTCGGAGATAAACTCTCTGGACAGATAATACACTTATCTAAATTCTCATTTTGCCATCTGTAGTATTTTTACAGAGCAGTGGTAATTCATGACTAGATGTTTGGTTTGGCCAGGCGCCCTTCTAAATTATTATTTTATTAAAATTTAATTGAATTACTATTTTTTGAGAAATTAATTTTGCGTATATATCATTTATGTTATAATTTGGGGCTTAAAAAAATATACCTATAAATCTGAGATTATAAGGGAATAATAAATAATTAGTTTATAAGGCATTATTCTTAATTGCTGGATTTAGGTATTTTTATTTTTTGTTTATATTAAGCCTGCAAAATTATACGATTGGACATTTGAATTTGAATTAATATATCCATTCGTTTGAAATGTAACTGATCCTTATTTGTAGTAAAACATGTGTTTTGTTTAAAAAAAAAAATTATATTACTTCTAATTAAAAGAGACTTACGCGTGGCAAAAAGACTCTTAAAATCTGAAATATGGTGCATTGAAACCAAAACAGATGCATATTTTAGTTGCCACATAAGCTTCATGTCTTCTGCTTTAATAGGGTAAAAAGGATAATAGTAACGCCAGTCTATTGAGTGGGCCGGACCAAGCCAACTCCAAAATCTTCAGCCCACAATGCCTGTTAATACTTAATATAGTTTTACAGCCACGGTCTATTTGGATTGTGGACTCGAAACATGTTTTGTGGTTTGTTTGTGTAGTCATTTTTATACCCATGGAGTGATGGAGGACACTGTGAAATATGAACCCAAAAACAGGATGCAATCCCAGACAAACACAAACAAGATGCAATTGCTTTACTCACATCATTAGTAAAATTATTTTTCAGTTTGGATTTTTATAATTTTGGAATATAAATAGCATTATTTTTTCTTTCATTAATACCAATCTCATTGACCACCACCGGCCACCGGAATTTGCAGTTGGCAAAAATGTGTGTTTTCATATTTGTATAAATATTTTTTGAAAAAGATTAATTAGAAAACATAACTCAAATACACAAAACTACGAGATACAATTCAAAACTTTTTGCCTTACGGACCTATTATAAGTTATATGATTTTGATTCCTCAATTAATAATAATGAAAATGATGGAGAGATTAATAACAATATTTTCATCTTTCTTTTACATAATGAGTTTATAAAAATGGATATTAACTATTTGGCTGTCAATTTTGCAATTGATGTTGTTGGCTCGACGCAATTTTAGTATTAAAGTAAGTTTCAACTCTAGTTAAATGCAATCAATAAGCAACACTTGTTCAGCCTAGTGATTTCAGGCATATAAGTGTCTGCAATATCAAGTACAAGGTTATCACAAAAATGATCGCAAATAAACTCAAGACTGTCATGAGTGATCTCATTGATGAACACCAGAATGGTTTTCTGCCAGGAAGAAATATCAGTGAAAACATACTCATTACACACGAGGTGATTGAATCAATCAGGTCCAAAGAGGGTGATCTCGGCTTAACAGCAGTCAAGTTGGACATGAGTAAGGCGTGTGACAGTGTCTTGGCCTCTTCTTCAAGCAGCACTCTAGAAAGTTGGATTTTCACAAAGCCTTATTACTCTTATAATGTTTTGTGTCACCACTGTTTCATACTCCATCCAGTTCAATAGCGATGGTTTGCTTTTCTTCTCCCCAGCAAGAGGACTTCGTCAGGGATGTCCTCTATCACCTTACCTTTTTATTCTGTGTCAATAGGTGTTGTCATCAGCTATTAGGGCTAAAATAAATCAATTTCCAGGATTGAGAATCAAGATTAGCATAAATGCTCCTAGAATCAGCCACTTGATGTACGCGGATGACAGCCTCTTCTTCATTGAGTGCAAAAAGAGTTCAATTCTTGCTCTAGCATGCCTGATTGAGCAGTATGCTACTTTCTCTGGACAAAAGATCAACTTCCTCAAGTCCTGCATTTTGCTCAACCCAAATACATCTTCTCGGATGAAATCCTTTATCCATACCACCTTACAAATCCCTAAGGGGCAATTTCAGAGCAAGTACCTAGGTATGTCACTGGATTTTAAAGAAAAGAAAAACTTGCTTTTTCAAACTTTTACTGTCAGGTTGAGGAACAAATTTGTAGACTGGAAGGCATAACTTCTCTCTCTTGTGGGTAGAATAACACTTGCAAAATCAACCTTGTCAGCCACGTTAGTCTAACCAATGGGAGTTTTCAAACTCCCTACTTCCACTTTACAGGAGGCTGATCGCATTGTTGTACAGTTTATTTGGAAAGATAATAATTTGAACAGAGGTATTCATTGGAGATCTTGGAGGAAAATAGCCAAATCTCAATTCCATGGAGGCTTAGGTTTAAAGTCCTCTAAGAAATTTAACCAAGCATTACTTGCCAAACATGCATGAAAAATCATGTCAGATCCTGGTTCTCACATTTCGAGACTCTATAGAGGCAAATATTGTGGTAATGGCGTTTTTTCACAACCACAATCTCCAAACAAATCTACTTGGGGCTACAAGAGTATATTATGGGGAACTCAGTTATTATCTCAGAATGTCAAGTAGAAAGTGATCTCGGGGAAAGACATCAATATTGCAGATGAGTGGATTCCTAAACATCCCAACCCGATACAGAGGAATTCTTTTCTTACCACACACTCTAATCTTAGAGTCAAAGATTTGATCCCCAATGATGGCCAATGGAAGCTACAGTTTCTGCGTACGATGTTCCCAGCCCATATCATTCTTCGCATCACAGGGATTTTAATTGATCCAAACAGGCTTTTGGAAAATGATAAGTTGCAATGGACGAAGACTGATCATGGCAATTATATAGTGCGCGTAGGCTACCATACAACTCTCAACCTACTAGCCCCTAATGGTGTCCAAACCCAATCTCCAACTAATGTAGAAGTCAGAGCCTGGAAATGCTTGTGGAATGCTAAAGTTCAACCAAAGATGAAATTGTTGTTATGGAGAGCAGTGTTGAATGCTCTTCCTACTAAGATGGGTTTACAAAGAAGAGGTATTGAGCTTGATATCTCTTGCCCTGGTTATGGAAATCAGGATGAGGATACTCTGCACCTCTTTATAACATGTCCATCATCTCAAGCTATTTGGAGTTTGCTTACCCCTTATTCCAATCCATTCAGAACTGTACTAGCTCCTCCCTACTAGAGTGGTATATAGATTGAATTCAGTTGAGGCCTTCAACGAAAGAGATGGATTTATTTCTAATCATTCTTTAGAGGATTTGGTCTGAAAGGAATGACAAGATTTGGCGTAACCAGGTGCACAGTCCGGTCATCACTTGGCGACTGATTCAAAGTGATTTGCGACAACATAATCAAATGATCAAACGCCAACCAGTCTCTTAGAACTCCAATGTAAAGATCGTGACTCCAACAGCACAAGGTGCAGGTTTAAATGCCTCAATTCACTTTGATGACTTTTTTCACCGCGCACAATGGCAGCATCAGGAGCATGGGAGATTATATCACCTCAGGGAGCTATAATGCAAATCAAGGCGATCCCACTCCAGGTGTTATATCATCATTCCAAGCATAAGCCATGACCTGTCTCATGGCGCTTCGTCAGGCTTCACACCTTGGACTGACTCGTGTTGAAGTTTACACCGATTGCAAGTTATTATCTACTGATCTACGGACTATACTTGTATCGACGTAAGCACAAGAATTTATTCCTTTATTATTACTTCTAATTTCATCTTTTGAGTCATGCCAAGTAATCAAAGTTAGCAGATCTGATATTAGTGGTCTACATTATTTGGATTATAATTCATGTCGATGTAATAGCATAGGTACTTCCGATTAATTAGGTACTATTTTTTTTTTTTTTATAGAAAAACTCTAGTTGAAACAAGTCAACAAGTCATATCCCACATTCTGCTCTCACCCAATTAATTTTTTTTAATATAATAAAAAGATTGTAATATGACGGTTTGACATATCTGAGTCAAGTCTATAACGATATATTTGTATATTAAAATTATTACTATTAAAATTAAAATTTTACAGTTACTGATTGGAGTAAGTTTGTTGGCGGCGGGTAATAGTTGTAAAATATATAAAATGTATTTTGAGTTTAATTAGATATATTCCCGTACGTGCACATTTGGAACACTAAACAATACTCCATTTGTTTAAAAAAACTAACCTATATTAAATTTTGAACTCTGTACTAAAAATAGAACAGATTTCAAAACGCAATGTAAACTATTTTTTCTGGACAAAGTAAGAATTGTAACAAAATATGTAAATGACATAATAGAAAATTTTAGTGTGTAACATTTTTCATTTCAGATAATGAATTAACTAATATACAAGACTAGGGAACAAAGAAAATGAGTTTTTTTGCCATAAATCAAGTACATGGTGCGGAAAATGACCATCTTTCATGGAAGCAGTCTCAAACTCAACTCCCATTCACTGCACAACTTTGTTGTCTCATCAGGTTAATAAAACTGTCTTGATCTTTTAAACAAATAGTGACATGCGTTTTCAAAACTTTAAAACTACCAATGGATTTTAATGAGAATTGATAGTGTTTGTTTGGATGTGATTTGGTTTTGGTTTTTGTTTTAGTTTTTGACTAGTTGTGGGCCCGTGCGTTGGCCGGATTGTGGAAATATTTCGGCATAATTAGTGTAAGAAAAAAACTTGATAAAAAGTGAATAATAAAAACACGGTATCTTTAAAATTTTAGAAAAAAAAAAGATTTCAAACAGTAAGTAAATACGGAAATCTATAATGGCCAAACATTTTTTCTTTATTATGATTAAATATGGTAACACATATATAATATGTTAGAACATATAAAAGGGCACGACATCTTTATTATGATGTATGGTCTCGTTTATACATCACTTAGCAATACGGTCATCTCATCAATCTGCAACACAAAGTTATTGTAGAAAAACAAAAGATGAACTACCTTAAGTGACTAATTCACTTTTCAAACGGGACAGAAATTGACTTCGCTTATGCACCAGACTGCTGTCACGGCCTCTAATTTGAGTTATTTATAGTACATAAGATAACTATGGTCGTAGGGTTTAACATGTTATGGGATATTTTTTGTAAGTGATTATATGATTTTGTTGATAGGTTAAAACTTTAGGCTTTACTGATAGAATTTGAAGCAATAACTTAACATATTTGGGGAGTTTGTGAATATGGACGGAATATTATTCTGGTTAATTTACCCATAATTTTTTTAAATAAATTTCATTTATTAATTTTTGGACGTGGGAGGAATTAGGGTCATCAGTTTAAATCTCATTATTTTCGAATAATCATATCATGATGTGCCATAAATTTGGAAGTCATATTTGGAAATGATATTTATTGTACTTTTTTGAAAATTCTGAAAGCGTTTAGAAACGTTTCAAAATCACGGATGATGTGCCATACGGACCATGTTCAATGTTAACTAATTATTATGTTTTTGATTTACCTTGATTAATGAAATATATATGAGTAAATAAGTTAAATTAAATAGTTACTAATTTTTTTACTATATCTAATTAGGCTTGATTTTTATGATTGTTTGATTGGACATCTCATTATATGAGATGTGTTCGAAAAGCTTATTTTCTTAATATATAGGATTTGAGTTTGAACTGTGATTTGAAATGTATTTTGAGATAAATTTTAAAAAATATTTTGGGAATATTTTAAATAAAATAATAATATTTTTAGACCACCACCGGATCACCGGACCGCCACCGCTGCTGGCCGGCGAACGGCCGGCCAGATTTCTGCGGCGGCGGTGGCGGTCCGGTGACGGCGGGTGGTGGCGATGGACGAAAATTGGTAAAAATGGTCACTGAACTATTTTTAGTTCCAAAATGGTCACTGAACTAATAAAAACTGTTTCAAGTTAGATTTTAAAATGTAAATTAGAAGTTGTTTGAATGTATATTTTTCATTGGGTTTTGTGTTTAAGGTGTAAAATGAGTTAAAAACCAAAAATAAAACACATCCAAACAAAGGTATAATGTTTCATCTTTCATTTTGAATGTATTCAATAGTTGTTTGCAATATATATCATCATTTTTTCGCGTGCATAAACTTGTTAATCGGTTGACACAAAGTTTCTAACGAAATTGTCTTTTAGAGCATTTTTTTGTAAAGACCAAAATAACTAATTGTAATGAACAACTGAAATTGATATGAATGATTCAATCCAACAGAGCACGTTTCTATGATAGCGGAAGCTTGAATTAAATTATGATACAAAGACATGTTCTTGTTTCGTCTATAACTCACCAAGACGACCAACGACACCAGCTGTAACCATAACACGCGGATTGCAACGGAGGCAAATTTTTGGTTTGAAATTCAAAAATTATAACTCCGTACTTAAATCACCTTATAATCACCGCACATCTCCCGCCATCAGTAAAAAAATAGCCCTTTCTTTTTCCCCTTTTCTTTTCCCGGCCAGCCTGCGCAGTCGGAAGTTGCTTTTTTCCACTGGTTTCTCGCCCAGTCCGCTCAGTCGGAGGTAAATAATCATTCGCGGCGCGCATCTGAAATCCCCTCTGGTCTTCGCTTTTTATCTAATAGGATTGAATCGCCGGAGTGCAAGAATGTATGTTCTGGTTTCTCTCTGTTCGCCGGCGTCGTAAATCTCGGAACGAGCGTCCAATCTTCTTTTGTATAAAAGAAGAAGGAATAGAAATGAAATGAATAATTGATTCTCCTCTCCCTGTTGCTACTCTTGCTTTTAAATTGTGCAATAAAGCTTATGTTATCGTATTTCTGTGTCTTTGATTTACAGGTGAGAGTACTCAATTCTGTTAGGTTCCGACCGATGGGTTCCAGCAGCACACAACCGCCTCTATCAAATGTAAGTGCTACCGGCCCTTGGCCACAGAACTTCAGATTTTGAATTAATTTACAAATCGATTTTCACTCGTCTAAACGGTGGAACATAAAAAGCTCCAGATATGGTAGCTGAATATTTAATTGTTATCGTTCTCATACTTTTTTTAAATTTCTGGCAATATGAAGTTTATGTAATTGTGTTCTTGCTTATGACCCAGGAACAGGGGAGAGAGGTCCATACTTCTGTTGGGAATTGCCATCCTCGCAAAATTTCTATCGGGATTTTGCCGGATTCCTCCTCACAGTCCAGAGCCAAAGATTTTGCTATTCAAACTGGAAGAGCTCCAACTCGGGGTAAACCAATTTCTGCCAAAGATGGTAAAAATCTGAAGCAAAAAGAGGCTCCGGAGCATGAGACTTCCCCTTGGATTTCTACTAGATCCTTCTGCCATCAGTTACCAGTGCCAGAGCAACCTCATGGTACAGGAGAACCAACTCCTCCTGTACTGTTATCCAAAAAGCCTGTTGTGGAAAAAGATAACCGAGTTCATGACTCCAAGGTATTAAATCCCTTTCTGCCCTCACTTTCTAATCATCTTCCTCATATTTGTTGCTAAACTTTGGCATGACGTACATATTGGATCTACGGATTTCCTTGTATTTAAATGCCGTCGAAGTGTCGAGATTATTTGACCTTTCATCTGCTGTGTTTCTGAATTTCAGACGTATTAAACCTCTTTAAAGTGCTTTAAGCATTGATGTAATATTGGCTTCGAGTCCTTTGTTAAGATTTGTGGCCAAAAGTTTTTGCTGATATTTAAGAAATTTATAATTGATTTGCACTTTGTCTTGGTGGTGTTTGAGAATTGTGAACCATCTTATTTGTAAACAATTTAGGAGCTGTTTTGTGTACTTAGTGTTGTTTAAGCAAGTTCTAAATTTCATTCTCTGTTGTCACTGAAACGTGTGGCAGAATTCTAGTTTGGTTGAGCATAATGGAGTGATGGGCGACAACATACTATGTGTAATATGTTTTCGGTCGCTGGTACAAATATATTCTATTACGTGCTAAATAGACTTGGTCTCCTTCTTAGATTGATTCACTTCAGGATTTGCAGATGGTTCTTTAACTGTTGTTATCCTATGGTTTTTAAATGACCCTCGGTCAACTCTTATAGTGCATACGTGATTAGGCATCATAGAGAAAGTTTGATCTTGATCTCCTTTTTCTACTTTTCTGGTGATAAAGGGTGGAGCAACAATTGGTGTTGAGAAAGTCTCCTTTGCCACAATGAGGTTTATGTCCAAAAAGAACGTGGGAGAGCATGCAACTGCCAAAACAGAAACAAAGGGCAGCGAAACCTTGAGAATGAAGCTCTGGGAGATACTAGGAACCATTGCACCATCAAACAGTGAGCATGGTCTTGATGCAGAAACCAAAAGCATGTCACCATTCCAGAATATGGTTGAAGAGCATGTTCCTGCTGTGAAGCTTAGAGAGAGCTCATATTGCCTCAACATGGAAGCTGAAAACATGTCCCCATTGCAGAATAGTGATGACAAGAGCATTCCTGTTGCAAAGACGAGAAATAACTCATATTGCCTCCACACGGGAGCTGAGAACATGTCAGCAGTGCAGAATAATGAGGAAGGAAGTGTGCCTGGTGCAAAGCTTATACAGAACTCATATCACCTCGATTTGCAAGACATAAACAAGATGCAGGTACAGGATAACAATGCAGGGGGTGTTCCTGCCATGAAGCTTGGACAGAACTCAAATTGCCGCAACATGGAAGCCGAAAACACATCACAATTTCAGGTTACCGATATAGAGCATGTTCCTGTTGCAAAGCTAAGGCAGAAGTCATCTTACCTCAACATGCAAGCCAAGAACAAGACAGTGTTGCAGAAAGATGATGAAGAGGCTGTTCCTGTTGCAGATCCTAGACAGAACTCACATTGCTTTACTGTGCATGCCAAAAACATGTCATCATTGCAGAGTAAAGATCAAGAAAATGTTCCTGTTGCAAAGGCTAGACAGAACTCAGATACCATTGAAATGGATTCTCAAAGCCCTCCTGATGTCATAGTTGGGAGACTGAGGACACGCTCTTTGACTAGAAAAGGGGCTGCTGGTAGTTTGAAGGAAAGCAAAATGGAGAATGCGCCATCCACTCATCCTACGAAGGGGAAGAAAGGAGGAAACAACAACTCAGTTCTTAAAGAGGGTTTCTCTAGAAGACTACGATATGGTATCAGTGGAGGTCCTAAAACATCCACAAGAAAAATATGCGAGAGGTTCAGTGCTGGCACTGGGGCTCACATATTGTTCTCTGATGAAGTGGAAAATCAGCCGGCGAATAGTAGGAATAAAGGAATGCATTGCCATGTGAAATCACATTTGCAGGGAGATATAGAGAAATCCAAAGGAGTATTCTTTCAGCCCAAAAGAGTGGATCTCGAATTTGATTCTCATATGTCTGAACATCTGAATAAGAAAGTTTCTTGTCCAAAAATACTAGAGAATGTGTCACAGGCAAAAGAAAAGCTTGATGATGTGTGTCCTACTTTTGGAGTTAATCTAACCAAAGAAGGATGCTATCCCGAATCTCTTCCAAGTAAGATGAAAGAACAAGCCAAAGAAGGATCTCCTGGCACCCCCAAGAAAGTGGAATTGGGGGGAGCAGATAATGGCAGCCCTGGAAAACCTTTACTTAGCAAAAAGGGGATTCACAGCTTTAAAAGCTTTTTCTCTTCAAGATCAAAGTTTGTCGAGTCAGATACTGAGCAAGAGGACTCTCCTGTATCCTCAACTATAGATGCCTTTGATAATCTATACTGTGGTTTTTGATAGCAAGCTTAATGAGATTATTACCTCTGTGATTCCTTAAGCTTTTTTAGTATGCTGTGGGACAGTTTGAAAAGTCTCCCCCCATGAAAAAATCAAAGCCTGTGATAGAAGAACCTGAGTGTAGGATGCCTCTATCTTCATCTTCTTCCGAGGACAGTGATTTGCAGACTTCCAGAGAGGCTCCACGGGCTAAAGGTCAGAAGGATATTAACCATAGAAATCAGAGAAGCATGCCTGAATTTTAATTGTTTACGTGATATATGAGTGCTCTTATTGTACACTACTGTGATTTTTGATGATTTGATTATAACTTTTGAATTCATCTCACAAAGTTAGTTAGTGGTTGATATGTTTTTTGGTAATATGCCACTTTACCATTTGCAAATTTGCAGGTTTTGGAAAATCAAAACTAATTTTCCGTGAGGTTCCTATTGTTCGGAAATCAGACTTTGTCATTCATTTGAACAAGAAACATTTCTTTGAGGAAACAGTGAACGCTTCCGAACTTCTTTCCAGTTTCTCATCCGGAAAAGGCAGTTTATTTTGAGCTTGGTTGATTTTCTCAATTGTATGACAAAATCCTTTTTGTTCAAGATTGTCTAACACCGTCGTTTGGCTCTGCACTCTACAGTACTTGAAGAAGACTGCAACCGTCAGCCACGATTAGACTCGAATGAAGAGGATGGACTCCGTAGGTAATTAGTGCAGTTATAATAATTTGATCACTTCTTTTGTTCAAACTTACTAAGTTATATGTTTAAACATGTCAGCATTGTTTCACTATTTGCATTGGCTTTGGAGAGAGTCAAAAGCAACATGAAATCAATGGTCAAGAAAAAATGTGCTGAAATTCTGATGTCTGCTGCTGAAGGGATACAGTTGCAGCTGCAAACTGCTGAATCCCAGATTCAAGCTGATATGTAGGTGTTATGCTTGATGAATTTCCAATTCATGAATTTGATTTATCATCCTCAACTGAGACCTTTTTTCTCAGGGTGACGCTGAATAGTATCAACAAATTAAAAAGAAAGCGTGTTGATGCAAGATTTGAAGGTGATGTATCTGAGAAACTTTGGACATTAACTTGTCAAACTGCCTTAAGCCACTTGAAGTTGTCTCCACTTATATCATCTGAAATTGAGTTTCACTGGTAGTAAATTGTAAAGTCACTTAATGGTAATAAGTTTAATTGATGTGTTTCTGCTGTAAGTTCTATCCTTTCAGACAAGTCCATAATTTGTCAAGAGACTGACTGTTTAATCTTAAAATTGAAGAATGCTCAAAATAGAATCCGTGGATATATAAAATCCATTGGTAGTTGATGTTATTTTTTTCTCTTCTATATGCTTTGGTAATTATCGGAATGAGAGTTTTACATCGACTTAATTTCACTACCATGTTACATTCTTGAAAAAATTAAATTAATATTGGTGCAGAACTTCAAGGACAGCTGAAGGTACTCCATGAAAGATACAAGGATGACGTTAATCGTCATCTTCAAGATTGCAGATCTACTGTTGAAAGTCTGGAGGCGCACCAGCTAGAACTCAAAGCAACTGTGGAAAAACAATGTATGTTTCTGTGATATTCGGAGAATAGCTGCATGTTTCATGCAAGTATATATTTACTTTTTCTTTTTTGAATTTAATAATCTCAGGTTTATCACATAATAAGCTTATATCGCAAGCCGAAAAAGCCATTGAGACACAATTAAATGATGCCCAGAAGAGAATAACAGAGGTCCATAATGTGAGTTCTCTGTCCGGCCTTTCACCCTACTTTTACCCTCTCTCTCACAGGACATATCTTTATGCTTTACATATGAGTATTATGAATCCGATTTTGTATGTGACTTAGCCAGATCCTGTTTTAGACAGTATTTTGAGTTACACTCTTGTAATAATGGGTATGAATTACAATGTAATCGCAGCTGGCTAGGAAGAAGATGTCTCAGTTAAAACATGATGTGGCTGACTGCTTCTAA